TATTGCTAGGAGCCGTAGTACTGGGGATACAGCTCACAGTTTCTTCTTGCAAGTAAGCTTAGGCTTTCTACTAGTGAATTCTACAGGGCAGTCCAAGCTTCCTGTTTTTGGTGGAGTAAAACGCAGGAAAAAATCTCACCCCTTTTTAAAGAGAAGTGGTAAACTAAAAGCACGGTTTTTATTGTTTTTGCAGAATACCCGGCTAAAATAACTGCTGTGGTATGCAGGGCAGCTAGGTCCCCACCTCTTATCCCTCTCCAGGACAGTGATGGTGTTATAGAGGCCTAGAGAACTATAACTAGTAGCGGCCCAAAAGTATCACAAGGATATCAAAATTTCAATCACATGTAACAGTTAGAGGCTTATCTAGGAGTTCTTTAAACCCCTAGTAGGCGCGGGAGTAGATATAAGTGTAGACTTATAGAGCTTTCCTTTCCTAGGTAGGGTGTTCCGCAGGGACCGTTCGAGCGTTGCGGTGTTGGGGGTTGGTGTTGGGGGCTTCTGCGGGAGGTGGCGGTGGCGGGAGGCAGAACGCGGGAGCTGCGTTGTTGGTGGTTCCAGGCAGCCCGAGCTCGGGAGCGCGGGAACACGAAAAAAAAATTTTCACACGAAACCCGCAGTCTTTTTTTCATCAAAACATGGAACGTGATTGGACTGTTGTATCAAGAAAAGTGGAGAAGTGACTAAGCTTGAAAAGGGCTATAAAACGATGTATGAATCAGTACCCAATACCCCCAAATGTGGGGGTTGGGTTGGAGGGTGCGTAGTTGTGATAATAACCACTTTTAACTAGGGCTTTATAAAGCTCGTGGAATCTTGGAGCGATGTTTTGGTAAGCCTTTTAAATAACTAAGAATAAAATGTTATCAGGTCCAGGGGCCTTTTAGTAAAACTACTAAAGATAGCAGTGTATACTTCGTTCCCGCTGGTTTCTAGCCAGTTGGTTAATTCTGCCTGGTTAGTTGGCCACTTAATAGGCTTAGCCTCCGCGGGTTTTAAAACAAAGTGGAAAAAAAAATGCATAATATTTATTTTAAAAGGAGATTACTTGCTTTTTCTTAATTCCCTATAAAATAGGTCAAGATAGGCAGTTTTGGACAGATCTTTTTTTTTTAGTGTAGCTAAAAGCTTTAAAAATCTCCTTATTCCAAGCTTTTTCCAGAAATTTATTCCAGCATGCTGGTTTAGCGTGCTTGATTTACTAGAAATATTAATTTTTAATCTCTAAAAGATTCTCGTAGAGCTCTGTACAAGGATTATTTTTGTAAAGTTTTCTAGCTTTTCCAAGCTGTTTTCTTAGTTTTTTAAGTTCCTCTGACCACCATGCTTTTAACTAGGTAAATGGTTTTTTTTTTGGGATACTAGTATCTGCAGCTGTTTGTATTATCTATTGGAGATTTAAAGTTTTAGTTTCTAGCTTTATCTCACTATTTAAACTCCCCTGCCTTGTTTCTATATCTAACTTAAGAATTTTCATACTAAATAAAGCCCAATTTGCTTTACTTAGATTGTATGGCAGGTGTTAGGAGCACTCGGAAGCGCGATAGCTAGATCCTTAGCTAAGATGCTTAGTCAGGTGCGAAGTGTTTATATTCGCACCCGCGGGCCTGAACTCCTGAAGGCCAGCGATTAGTTCTGCAATATACGTGGTCCTATCTTCTCTCCCATAGAGACACTCCCTTTCGCACCGTAGCGCCCCATTCAGCTCGTTACCAACCCCCACGCATAACAGCAGGCTAACCAGGGGCTTTTAATATCTTGTGTTTTTACTTCAACAGAATAAGGCAAAATTTCGTGGTCTAATCCCGAGGCAAGTTCTTGGTTAATTTCCCAATTTACTTTATACTAATTTAGACCTTTGGTAATAAAGGTTAAGTTAATAACAGATATATTTTTATTCCCTTTTTATAGCATGTTTGCAGATCAGGCTTATTTAGCAGTTTATATTAGTGTTCTTCAAGCTATTTAATTAAAGTATCGGCCCTGGTAGGTGATAATATCTTTAAATTCCACCAGCTATAATATATATTAAAGTCCCCCTATTACTGCATATGCGGAGGGGGGGTGATCCTAGCTAGGGCTTTTTCTATTGTCTACTTAATACCTTCCTCTAGTGATTGCTCGTTATATATATTTATTAGTTACAGATCTTGAATTTCTGCACCTAAGATATCTATTACCAGTAAATCACTGTCAGTGCTAATATCGTTTCTTTGGTAATAATTAAACCTAGATATCTTTCTATAGTAGATTGCTACTCTAGGTCTAACCTTGGTTTGTTCAGGAAGGATAGCGGTATATGCTGGGTGGGATATAGTAAAGCTGTTATTAGGCAATATCCATGGTTCCTGGAGAATAATAAAGTTAATATTAAGCTCCAGGCCTATTTCTAGGCAAGATAACATAGCATTCTGATTGCGTCCAGTATTATTTTGCAGGAAACAGATTCCTAACTCAGTGTTTTTCTGATTTATTAGTAATCTAATTCCATGCTACTGTTAGGGATTGGTCTTTCTGTAGGCCTAGGCCTTGGTTTTGGTTTGACTTTTTCCCATTCCTTACAGTTTTTTGCTATCTGCTCTATGGGCTTGACCGCAATTAGCGCATTTAACCTGTGTATGGGGACATTCCTGGCTTTTTACTTCGCATGTGGAACATTCATGGTGTTGGGTTACAAAAAGGTCAAAACAATAGGAAAAAAAGGAAAAACAGCAAAAAGTAAAAAGAATTGGAATTTCACATGGTTTAACCCCTTTTATAAGGTCCCCCCCACTCCTAGAATGTCATACTGCTTATTCATGTTTGATTTTACCCACTATGTACGTATCTGTTTGTTAGTTCAAATCCTACCACCCAGGGGTGGTAGGTAGAGCATGCATAGTCTCTGACTGAAAAATGCTCTATAATATGGAAGAATAATAATAATAATAATAAATAATAATAATAATGTTAGGGACTGTGGATAAAGTCTTGGAATATGATTCCTACTCCTAACTAGTTAAAAATAATTTTTCGGAACAGTGGTATAAAGGTCCCCTGTGGTCTTAGGGTAGGAAGAATAGCAGACATTAAGGTTATCTCTGCCAAGGCTTTCGAGCTTTTAAGAAGGCGGAAGCGAAAAGGGGCTAAAATAAAAGTTTTTATAGTAAGTCTCTATGATATTAAACAGGCACTTCGCCCCTGGAAACACGCGTCACCGTCTGAGACACGTCTTCCATATAGTGACTGATGTAGAAAGTAGTCTGTCAAGGTTGGGAACAATAGGACCGTCTGTGACTTCCTGCACGCCGAACTTCTTAAGAATTGTAGATTCCCACATCTGCGCGGTAATATCCCACGTAGACAGGTTGTCAGGATAAAGATAGTCCATATTGGGTCATCATGTGAAGTAATAAAGTGACGTGGCTATATTAGCTGTGGCTCCAGAGAGGATATGTCTCACCGTCTGGGGCCCTCCCGCAGAGGCACGGATACGTGTCGCAACGTTGACCGACGTAAGGAAGGTGTTGAGGCCAATCTTCCTGTCCGGTATTGGTACAGTGCGCTTTGCACTGCCAGTGCACGAAGAGGAAGAACGTGAAAATTTTCCGACTATAGACTAATTAAATATGTAGTGCACGCGAGTATTGTCAGGTGATTGGTCTCACAAAATCCAACAGACACAAGGAGGGTTTAGAGCAACTGGAAGTATTTGGCATGGAAACCCCCGATGTAGTTCTGTTACATGATTGACTCGAATGCAGGCTTTATTGGCTTCCTGGTGCCTTGCTTCGGTAGAATAATGCATTTGTAATGATGATGAAGCGCGGCCACGGAAAGGGCCCGTGGTTCCCCCAACGTTAGCCCTTTTTCTCCGTTAAACTTAACCAGTAAGTTGTCATCATCTGTAATGTCGACCCTTGCCTTTCTTGTGATCTATACGGTCATTAGTCTCGGACCCTTTGAGAAATATACCCCATTCCCCAATACCGGGGGAAAGGCTCCGCGTGGACAGGCAGGAAGTCGAGCGGACGTGGTCGGGTGAGAGTAAAGAAAATCGTAGGCTCTGATTTCAATCGTACGGCCAGCAATATCTCGGATCTTGGAAGACCGGGGACGGCCGGTATAACAAGGGAGATACTCCGAAGATATCATGGAACCGATTTATTGGAGCAAATGCGGCTCTTATTTAAGGTTTGGTAATCCGTATCATCTGAAGACCCCAATTGTATAGCTTTACTGGTGGAGTCGGCAACCGGGGAGCCATCCATGCTTCTCTACTTTCACCCTGAGAAACCTCTGACGAAAAGGCCTTGGCTTCGGCATCATACCCCGCAATTGTCCTAGCTGTGATGTTGGTACGAACAAATGAATGGCATGGCTCTCTTCATCGACAGTACCGTGCTTTCCGGTCAAGGACCTTTTGCGTCCATTTCTTTTCTTGCGTTCCTTGCCGCGGTTGATAGAAGTGCCCGATCGAGTACTCAATCGTATGCACTTGGTGGCTTGGTCAAGGTTCATCGAGTCTCCCGTACTAACATGCAGCGAACTAGCTGGTCCAGGAGCAAGGGAAACGGTACTTCAGTAGCTATCCGAAATCAGAGATGCGTGTCTTGCCACCAGCGATGGTTGATTGACAGCGCTTGTTTCCATTTTTTTGTTGAGTACTAATCATCTTTCCACACCTCCGCAGTTCTATCCGTCCAGGTTCTCCGCGGCAGGTTTCTGCTCTAGCACCATCTTGGTTTTCGTACCTAGACCCTTTCTCATGCAACCTGCATATCTCCCGCAAGTAAGTTCAGTGCCGAGTTGTCCAGCTTGGTTATTACCAACCACGGAGAACTATCTGAACAATATATTTCCGAATCTATTTCACTGCTCTAAGTACTATGACCGGGCTGCTCCACTTTGGCCTCCTACATGGGGATTTCTCACCAATACACAAATCATCATGTGGGCAAATACTGCACAATAATTCATGAGATCATTCTCCTCTGCTTTATGCATGCAAGACCTCTCTGTCACTCCTCATCCGTTTCGTCCTGTTCAATGCCATTGCCCTCATAGACCGTCCAAAGCAGCACCCAGCCGAGTAATGCTTCTGCGGCTAGTCCCCACCACACTCCACCAACAATATTATACTTCAAGCCAAGCGCTAATCCCCATCCACCAACAATGGGCCCCAATGTCCTCGCAGCGCAAGTGATACTTTGCGCAACCCCGTGAACGGTGCCAAGAACAAGGGGACTGGAAACGCAATTGTTAATGAGTATAATACCCGCCGGAAGTGCAAATGTGCGAGAGACAACCTGCAGAAAGACCATGATGGTAAAGTAAGGCCAAATAAGATAGGCAACTCGAGGCAGGATCACAGCAAACGGTAATAGGGCGTATGCAAGAGGTGAGAATGGGAGGAAAACACGAAATGCTTTCAAAGTTCCCAGCCAAGACTGCACATAAGGGTAAACGAAGATCTGCAATGGCAGACCAATGACACCAATAATGGTTGTCGCAAGACCAACCTGTGATGATTCCAGTCCCAAGCCACCACCAAAGTGGAACCAGCCTTGCTCGCTCAGTGGGGTTCGCGGGATGGAGAGAAATGTGAATGTCATGGAATTAAAGGCGCTGGCGTGGAATGCAAGAAGGAAATTGATGGCCAGGATTAGAATCAAGTTTCGTGTCCAAACGTGGCGGAACCCGGGACGCTTCCTTTGCTTTGCACGGGCTTGGGATTCATCGGCGGAGCCCATGTTGCCGTTGACATCGCCAGAAAACAAAGGCTCGTCGTCTGCTTGATGATTGTTCAGAGGTTGATAATCCTTGCGAAGGGAGCAACCTGTCATAACTCTTTTCAACGTCCGTCCCGCCTTCAATCCCCAATCACTTCGGTACTGAGCAAGCTCATGCGTCTAACCAAATCAGCATGCCAGCTCTCCCGATATTGAAAATACGTTCACGCGACACTCACCTCTTCCAGTCCGAAGAGCACCGCTACCATGGCCATGAAAACAATAAGTGCATTAACAAGATTCGGCAGGGCAAACGGCCATTCTTTCATCCACGACACACCTTCCCTTCCACCGAACTTACTCCCGGGACCAAATAACCCGGGGTAGGTCTTGATGGGATCTGCCATGGACCCTCCAAGTATCGGTCCAATAATCACACCTACATTGAAACACATTGGAAGAATCAAGAAGGCCAGCGACTGATACTTTTTATCACTCACAATCTCCGCGATCATCGTCCGTAACACCCCGACGTTACTATTCAGCACGCCACCCGCAATTCTAAACAACACGGCTGCAGTAAAGCTCTTTGAGAACGCAAATCCAATACACGAAATACATGTCCCAGCCAACCCAATCAGCATAACCCTCTTCCGTCCCATGATCTCCATATCCGCGAAACTCCCCCACCACATCGCGGTGAGGAACTGAGCAGCGGTAAAGCTACCCTGCATAACCCCAGCCTGGGTGCTGATCGTGGAGGCTGGAAGAGATGTATCATACGACTGAAGCTGATAAAACAAGTAGGCCTGGAGGGAAGTTTGCGTAAGCGGCTCAGAGAGACGAGCAAAGGTCAAGATGGCCAGTTGACCTTTCTTCGGCATGGAAGCCCAGCCTACCATTTCCGCGGGCGCGGTGTCATTGTGGGGGGATGCACTATTAGAAGAGTCCGAGTCAAGGCGAGTATCTGTGATACTAGCAGAATCGGAGTTGGTGTCACTACTTCTGTGAGACGAGCTACTCTCAGCAAAAGTAGAATATTCCCGTGTCTCTGTCGATAGCCCGTCACTCAGGAGTGCACGCGAGCTCGAGCGGGTCTCCCGGTGATTCGATTGCGACCGAGTCGTGGATGCGCGTGATGACCATGTGAAGACCAAATGGTCACCACCTGTGCTCGCGCGCTGACTCGCAGCTTGATGGCTGGTGTGCTGGGAACCCATCGGGATGCTGAGCTACCTGGCGGTCGAATGTTCAGGGAAGTTTAAGATTTCGGATGCAGACTGGGGCTGATGCAAATAGGAATCATCTGAAGTAACAGAGCATAAAGAATATTGCTATCGATATGGGTGCCTTGTATTAACACATGATCTCTGCTTAGTTATTACAGGGTTGTCACAGATAGAAGTGCATATAACATGTTACTTTGTATGTTGTATGTTATGGGCATATTGAATTGCATTACGGTATAACTTTGGCAACAACACCTTCTATTGACCATGATCAACCATGTCTATATGTGCTTACCACCAAGAGCGCACAACAGGAAAAAAAAAAAAAAACAAAAATAAAAAAAAGGCAACATAGAGGCGGCTGAATCGCAGGCCATCACGAATGCTGACCACTCTTGCATGCCATACGCCACAACCCTTGTCACGGTGGGGTCTAGAGCTGGCTGGCGAGGGGAGGAACTATTTAAAGTTCGCATGATCTTTCAAGCATGTACTACATATCACCAGTACATTTCTTGGTTATATGACAATTACGGCTATGCAAGGGTGAAGTACTGTAATACAAGAAATTGAAACATACTGACCGCATCCATAACGGAAATACAGGGACCATCCCGGAAGCTGGCTGTACAGTGGACTGGTTCGTGCCCAGCGGCGAGGAGCGAACGAAACGTGAAGGATCGAGCCTATCCCGAAAATCCCCCCCTGCCAAGATCCCGAGACCCCGCATCGATGAGAACCATGGTTGTGGAGACCTGTACCGTATCAATGTAACTATGCACCGATGGGGCCGATACAAGATTCAGTTTGATGGGTATTGTTAGGATGATTACGAAAGCCCTCAGCTGGAACATGGTCGCATTAGAGATAGCCGATCTTGCTCGTCCGGGCCACTGCAGCCGTCTCGAGCTTCACTAGCGGATACTAGTCGAGACTATCCAGACAATATGCTGATGTTATCCAAGTCCGCCGGCGATTAGCGGTGATGTCACGGAGATTCTCCAAGTTTGCTGCAAGGGCTAAACTGGAAACAAAAAGCACATTTGGCAGTCAGTTTGATACAGTTCCCGGCATTCGACATCTATCGTTGCCTTTTTTGGGGGCTCGTGCATATTCCCCTTCATGTGGATGTGTCGGCATCTGCCCTCGCGGTGACTCCGATTTGAGTGGCGCAGAAGGGCACGGAGCATTGGAGAAATGCGAAGTTGAGGCCTGCCCCCCCCCCCCAAAAAAAAAAAAAAAAAAAAAGCTGCAGATGGCCTCTTAGTCAATGGCTTGGTCGTATTCTTCAGATAAGAGGTGCTATCACGGTGCTACATTGAGAGAGAATACCTCTGGAAGGAAAACACAACTGAAACAAAACGTATAGGAAAGAAATTATTAAGAGGCCCGAAAAGTACTGAACTACTCTAATAAATATAGAACATAGATTGAAGCCAGACACTGTGGAACCATACCGAATTCGCGTCACTGGGAAGCCACCAACAGGTACTTCAGCGATGTTGTCTCCAGCCACTGGCGGTCGTGCTGTGAGCCTTTGACAATGCAGTCGCGTGCAAATCCGACCATTTTATTCTGCATTGGTGTATTAGGCTCTCCCTCGGTTAACAAGACCATCAGGAGATGGAGACCAGCGTAGAACACTACGTGGAACATTGAATCCTCATCCAGAGACTGATATCCTCTGGCAAGGCCCTGGAGAACCTGGTCACTGAAAGCCTGGTCATCAGTTTGACCGACGAGTATCAGTTCGCCAATCAGCTGGCCAAAGTCTTGGTTCTGACAGCCAAAATGGACAGTCTCCCAGTCAATCGGGGTGAGTATAGTGTCTTGGTTGGGGATTGGTACGTCGTTGCGGATGAGGAAACTATTTCAATGAGAATAGCAGCTTAGTGGACAGAAAATGATAGTATCAGGTAGCGGCACTCACTGTCTCGCTCCAAGATCCCCATGGATAAGACCCATTCTACCTTGAATATCTTTCTTGAGGCCCTCCTGGACGCGTTGCCGGATAGCCTCTTCGTAGCCCTCAAAGAGCTGCGGGGACATGCGTATCTGAGTTTCCAAAGTCCCACGATAGAGATTAAAGTAAAGCTCCCGATCAGGGATCTTCTCACGTCGGGTGGCTGCGGGACCAGATCCATTCTCTTCTGAATTTCGGTGATGGAACAAGGCCAGCCAAGATCCAACCGCACGGCCAAGGGACGTCGCGAAGGACGGGGAGATAGCGTCGGACGAGCGAAGGTATTCCGGAAGAGTCACCGTATTCTCCAAATTCTCGATAATCTGAGTGCTGTACTCTGGAATAAAATGGAGGAGTCGTGGCGGCCTGATAACAAAGCCATTTTCGTTGATAATCGGACAGATTCCTTTGGAGTGGACATCGTGCTCAGTGAACTAGTTCCCGGCGATATAGTGAGTGTAAGAGGAGTGGATAAGAATTCCGGTTTGCAGGAGCTTACGCATCGCGCTGCGTCAATTGCAATTCCAAGCCAGGGTGCATCCCATCCTTTCGTGTGCTTGAATAGAACACTCTTGCTGCCGTCTGGCAGGGGCTTGCTCAGAGTTGCGAAGAAGGTCGAGTTGACGTGTTGTCCCGGGACATCTGCAATATCAGAGCAGGCAAAGGGAGTATCACGGAGCTTTTTAAAAATGGGAATGAGGTCGTCGGGGATACCCTGAGGCATCAGAGTTGTGGAACCCACCATCGTCTCTGACATCGTGGTTATCATGTAAATCAAGTAGAGTTTCCGGTGACGGTCAGTTAGAAGGAAGAAAAAATAACACGATCAACACTATGGCCGAACGGGATCTCGCTTATGTATAATCGCAGATCAGTCTTACTATGCATAAGTCCCAGAGCTACACGTACTAGTTACTTCCGAGATTAAATCTGATGAATCGATATTGTCGGTATTCGTCCCATTTGGATGGCAGGTCTACTCATAGCTAAGTTTTTGTTATCTTGTTGAAGTACAACCAATAAATTTGCTTGATCAAACTGTATCTACCAACGAGGCATTTGAGTTTTTAGATCATGATAACTTCTAGATTGAGTTCGTCTCAGGCCGTGCGCGAGCCCGTTTACTCCCGCTTAATCGTACTACGCCCACCAAGTGCTTGACGTTCCGAGCGAGCAATATAGTAGTAGACAATCCCGTACGAGATATCCAAGACAAAAAAAGCGCCTGAAAGCCACCTCATCAGGATGCTATTCGCCCAGCCCCATGCGGAAGGCCAATACACAGCACGAACAAAAAGCCCGGGTACACCAAAACTGGACGCAGTGAATCGAGAGAGCCTGGAAGGATGGGATTATTAGCCATAGTTGCCATTGGAATTGCGAAGCCTTCGAACGGCCAGTCTTACCACATGCCAAAGGAAGCACCACGCGTATGCCCTCGCTCAATGAGTAGGCTCAGCGCACTTGCACTCAATGTTACTTGGCAAATCATCCCTCCCCAGTAAAGAGCTTTCGTTGGACCCAGATGCATCGCCAGAGCAATATGACCCGACAGGAAGCCCAAAAAACCCAGCACCGTGATTGCAGGTAGATACCTCACCAATGGAGACGAATGAGGCCCGGATTCGCGCGCAAACTTCACAGAGACGTAGATCACGTAAACATTGACCAGCAGCCATAGGGTAATGACGGCAGCCGCAACCAGATGGGGTGGGCGATGAATCACAGCAAACACCGTTTCCCAGGCAAGATTATTGCACAGTGAAAACAGGGACACTCCAGAGGTGCGATCGCGCAAGGCCGTCCGGATCGTGGTGAAGTAGTTCACCAGCCATCCTGTTCCCGAGACGATGAAAATCGAGCCCACCACCCATCTTATCTCCTGAAACTCAGGAGGCGCCAAATTGAAGTCGAATTCATCCATGACCAAGCCTGACGAGCTGCTTTGGAGATATGTTTGGGGGGAGGTTCTGGGTCTCAGTATTCTGGCAACTGTACCTATCAGCTGAGCTGCTGAAATCGACCAATTTTTCTTCCCACTAATTGACCCAGGCAGCCCCAAACAGCGATGCCCGAGCCCCCACCTTATTATCGTTATTACCAGGTAATTTTTGATTTCGTTCTGCGGTATTGGCCTCGGCCGGCGCGAACAGCTCCGAACTTGATTGGCACCAGCTGGATGATGAGAAGAGCTCGGCCATTGTTTGCTCTCGATAGCTCCGAAGAGAGCGAAGATCCAGCGCCACAATGGATGTCACGATGGAACTTTCCTCAATGGGTAAACGTTGTCAAGGCCAGGATGCGATTGATCTGGCGGACTTGCCGAATAGTGGGGACGGAGGACGCCAGACTGTGCACAGCGTGATCGACATCCTCTCAATAAAGCATGAACCTATGCTGCAGAATGGGGTGACGACCTCTGAGCTGTCCGTCGATCAATAGCTCGAAAACAAGCCACGAAGCTCTAGAGATGCTCGTTTCCGCTACTCCATTATAGGGCGGCAAGCTTCGCAATACTAGTGCATACACCCATCTCCGCCCATGTATTACCGGAACCTTATCGAATAGAATTTACAACAATACACGTTCTGCGCAAACCATTCCCATTGCAATTCCATTCCCCAGTGGATACCGTGGATTCATCAAGCAGTGTGTGGAACGGCGCTAGCTTGCAGCAATGGCGAAACCGAGGGCCTCAGATGGTGGGCGAGGTATTCATTGAAATGACCTGGTAATCGTCCTTCACACCAGCACCCCATCTCCAACTGCGCAAGTCCCCGGCAAGAATCCTACAACATAATGGCGAAAACACTCGAAGACACGGTTACCAGTGCCCCGCTCCGGAGGCGTAGCACAGGACAGCTGGTGAAAGATCTTTTTATCTTGTCCCGTTTTGACCGGTATAATCCACTACTGGCGACTTTCTCCGGAGGTGAGTTTCTGGGGGGGAAAAGGTGGGAAGAAAGGTAGAGGTTAACCGACCCCGAAGTATGGGCGACCTTGCTTGCAGGTGCGGGTAAGATTGCGACAAACCCGGCGTCGATTACACCCTCCTACGTTTTCCAGCAAGCGCTCCTCGTGTTCATCAGCGGCTATATCTTCTGCGGCGCGGGAATGGTCTGGAACGATTGGATTGATCTGAAAATTGACCAACAAGTGGCCCGCACAAAGCAGCGTCCCCTGGCGGCTGGACGAGTCACGACAACGGAAGCACTGATCTGGATGATGGCCCAGTATATTGCTGCGTGGTACTTGGTGGCATACTCACTCAGCAACCAGCATGTGTAAGTGACTCTGAGAAGCCCCTCACCACCGAGCTGACGATGAAAATGTAGTCTCGAAGCCATGATTCCAGTCACGATTAGTACTACCCTGTATCCATTTGGCAAACGATCTTTCTTCCGGTCCATTTACTTCTACCCGCAGTACTTCCTCGGCTTCACGCTGGGATGGCCAAGTGTGATTGGCTGGCTGGCAATCAAAGGTCAGGATCAGTCCTTGCAAGACAACATTGCCGAGTCATTTGCACTGGGAGTTACGGTCTTCACCTGGGTCCTTTATCTCAACACTGCATATAGCTACCAGGATATCGAGGGCGACAAGAAGGCGAATGTGAACTCAGTCTACTTTTTAGCAGGCTCTTACATTCATTATTTCTTGGTCTTCCTCGCTGGGCTGGTGCTAGGGGCTACCTTCCTTCAGCTGAAGGCACAGGGCTCCCATTGGCTATGGGGGTCTTGGTTGTCGGTCTGGGGTTACTCTTTGGCCGGCCAACTGTCACGATTCAACGCCAAGGATCCTTCCAGTGGCGGGTCTCTGCACAAGGAGAATTTTGCTCTGGGAATTTGGACTGTTTTTGCCTGTGCGATGGAGCTCGTTTTGAAGTTCTGAAGGTATTGACGTTGTTGCCGAGATCCAATGAAGACAGGAAGTGAATAAGGTTGTTGGCGGAGGTCGGGACGTCACGTTTGACCAAGTAAGGGGGGATGAGACAATTGTTTTCAAACAGAAGTCGATCCCTGTGGAATTGGCGATGTATAACGATTGATACTAGATTACGTTGGTAGGATGAAATGAAATGATAACATGCCTTAAGCATCCGTGCCAGCGTGATAAATATCTATTGATTTAGAAAAATTCTGTTATATCCATTTCTGTTCAACAAAAAGGCCTAGTATTTTCATCCGAAAATATAGAGAACTAAGTAGTCCAGTCGTGTTGTTTACCTCCAACCTGGTGACCCTTTATTCACAGCTCAATTTCCTCCGCCCGTCGTTTGATCCGCAACTGCGCTCGAGGATTCCTCCAAATCATCATACCGTCCGTTTGAGCCCCCGAAACTTCCTTATTTTCGAATTCAAAGTCATACCTGAGGAGAAGATGGCAGAGAACCACCTTAGCTTCGATAGCTGCCAAAAACCGCCCAGGGCATGCATGCTTGCCATAGCCAAAGCCCATATGATTAGCGCTGAGGCTAACAAACGAAACGGCTGAGGACTGGGATGGATCATCCCGTAGACTTTGAAAGCGATATCCGTCAAATGTCGCAGGATCAGGCCAGATCGATGAGTTCCACATGTGGTCGGTGGAGATCTTGACCTGTTCGCCCTTGCTGATCTTGGTGCCATCAGACAGAGTGACTGGCTCAAGAGCAATACGGGAGAGAGTGTCTAGGAAACAAATTAATCAAAAGAAATTCCTCAACTAGAACCAGAGCTGTTATACGCACACAAGCCTAAAGGCTGGATTCGCTGGCTTTCCTTGAGCACACTATCCAGCAGGGTCATCTTGTGCAAGGAAGTCTCTCGCCAACCATGCTTCCTCACGACGGAAATGATCTCTTGTCGTAATGGCTGGATCATCCCGGGGTTCTCACACAAAGCAGAGACTACCTTGGTCATCAAGTCTCCCGTGGTGTGCACGGCAGCATATGCCAGTCGTAACTGCGTGAGAGTAGCATCGTAAGAACGATTTTGGGACCGCGCAACACCGTCAATCCAGGTCATGGCATCGGTACGATCAGTACCTCCAGCATCTTTTGTCTGGTCTCTTCGTTCCCGGCGCGCCTGATCAATATAACGACGGGCCCGTTTGATTGTCCCTCGGAGTCTATTACAAGCGGGCAGGAACCAATGCACAACAGGAATGAGCCACGGGTTCCATTCTTGCAGAGCCTTCACAGCGAACGTCCTATCCATCGTGTAGCCAGTTGCAAGCCCAAGCCATTCCGGGTTGCGACATAGCTCTTCACCGACAAAGATGCGGGCAGTAAGTTGCGCGATGAGCATCAGCATCGACTGATGAAGGGGAACAGTATCCCATTCTTCAACGAAAAGACCTTGTCAGCATACTGTATGATTCCATCTGGGTAGTATAGAATTGGGCATTACCCTTGTCGTCTCCCCAGTTCTTTTCCAGGTAATCCTTCGTCTCTTCCGCTAGTGGATTCACCACCGCATCTATAAGCTGCAATCAGAAGTCAAGCCACCGCAGATAGTATATGATTCGACTCACCGAGTTTACGTGAGAAGCTAACTGCAGTGTCCCAGACAACCCCGTTGTGGAAATCGCCACCAAACAAAGTCTCAAGACCAGGCACGGTCGTGAGGAAGTCCTAAACAAGGTATCTGTCAGCTGATACTTTCCAACGATAGTCATCCCGTCCACCATACCTTTTCCAATCCCAACTGGAAACTCAACCGCTCATCATTTCGGACTTCATGCGCGTATCTGTTCGAAAGAATGGTGGATTTTCCGAGGGTCGTAGTCGGCTGATCCTCGGCGAGCTATGGGAATTAGATCCCGAAAATGAGGACCTGCTAAGAACGGGCATACCTTCGATCGATCCAAAGCAGCCGGATCAAAGTCCTTGAACATAGGCCAGTTACCCTGGGGCGCAGACTGCGTCTTGCTCGGCCATAACTTGAGCAGCCAGAAGACTGAAAAGGTACCACTGAGAGTGAAAATGACTGGCACCCAAGGTGCTCCAAGCAGCTCTTCCACGGCGAGTCTGAAAGCCATGATGGGGTAGAAAGGACTTCGTGCCGAGGGAGATTCTCTGCGGGGAGCTCAGCTACATAGGTGGCTACTCTCGTACTGGTACACATATTTGTTATACATAGTATTTGTTTGATGGCATCGAAAGGCAGATCAATACAAACTATCAGATACCACCGGGTCCACCAGGGCACCTGGGCACAAGTGGAGTCTGTTGTTACATACCCCGTACACGGGCTTGTGGATACCTGTAATGGACTGCTAATACGCGGTATGTCATGTAATTTAAGTTTGTATCAATGTATTACGGAGGACAAGCTGAAAAGAATAATATGTTATTGACCCGAAACCCGAAACAAAAAGCAATATCCCAATGTGCTATGTGATCTATCTACATGCAGGCGCTGCTATTGCTTCAATGCCATAATCAATCTAAAGACGTCCGACTCAAGTGTCTTGTTGTTCGACCAATCCACATGCGTGAAACCAGCCTCAGTAAGCAGCTGCTCCCAGAGCTGCTCACTAGCAAGCACATGCTCCCGGCCATCATCAAAGCGCCACCATCCATCCAAAAGCGCGAAAGTGAGGTCCAGCCAAGGGACATTTCGGGTGAGCTCAAGTAGACAAAGCATTCCCTTGGGACGTAGGAGATCATAAAGTGCTCGGCATGAATGGCGCAGGTCCTTTGTCGCATGGATGCAATTAGACGAAAGAATAACGTCGTAGCTTCCAACTGCCTCGTCAGGAATCTGCTCGACATTCATTGTGGAGTACTCCACGCAATCGTAGGCACTGAATGTCTTACGGGCGCGCGAGACCAGCGCGGCCGAGATATCGGTGAAATTATACTGGACCGGGATACCCTGACTTACAAGCTGATCCAGGATGAATCTGGTGGTGCCACCGGTACCAGCACCGAGTTCCAAGATGCGGAAGGGCTCTGCGGCGGTCGCAGAGGAAGATGCAAGGGCTTGAGGGAGGAAATTACCGAGCATGAGAGTGCCCATCTTGAACATTGGGGCGTTCGTATAAACATCTTGTAGGAGATCGCCTGTTGTTTTATCGCTAAAAAGCAGACGGAGAGCATCAGCCTTGCCAGAGAGGCAGTCGGCAAGCTGCGCGCCCGTACGATGCAACAGCATATGCTCCGAGCGATGTCGAGGGAATCTTTCAACAATGTCTTGATGCAATGACAATGCGTCCATCAGTTCCAGAGGCTGGGAAGTTCGGATATATCCGCTCCCGGAGTAAACAATCAGTCCCTCCTTCTGAAGTAGACTGTAGTAGTATGCCACAGCATTTCGATGTTTGGCAATGTGAGTGACTTCAGGAACCGGTGCTTGTGGTGGAATGCTCCGGAGATCGCATCCCAAAGCAGCGAAAGCCTCGGTCACGTAGGCCAACACAAGTGACATCTGACGAGAGGAGACACGCTGAAAGAAGCCCGCGAAATCTGCCTCCTGAGCATATAGTCCAATATTTTCTCGCGCATTTGCAAAGCGCTCAGTTGCTTGATCCACGAAATGGATAACCTCATCGGCGCCTTGTGGTCGCGAAGATATGTTCAACCCAGTTGCTAGTTTGGCGGACGATGCCAAACCAGATTGCACAAGGCGATCGTGGAGGTCATTGATGGTCACTGTCTGGTACGTTTGCATTAAGCTCACTTGTAGACCAAATGTCTGTAAAAGCTCAGACTCTAGCTCCAAAGCAACTAAAGAGTCAAGACCAAGACTGTGAAGCTGAGTATCAGGATGCACTGTGTCGGCACTTGCCAGATATTGTGCAACAATGCCAGACAACTTGACCATGGTATCATTTGATATGCTGATGCTTTCAACGTCTGAAGGAGCAGGAGAAGAGCATGCAGTTGAGGTAAATGGGCTGGAGTATTCAGAGCTGTCTGTGTTGCTTACTTCTCTAGAGATCCCCCGTTGTTGAACCAGGTCAACAAGAGAGCCAAAATTACCACCATCATCCGAGACTTGGAGAGTGATGTCGACGCCAAATGCCTCTTTGATCTTGTGCTCAAGGTCTGTTGCCGCTAAAGAGTCCATGCCAATGTCTGTCAATATCGTAGCGGCTGTGATTTCCTCCAGTGGAAATCCTGTCAATTCATGCACAAGCTGGGCAGTCGTAGACCAAACGTCTGCTGGAGGGCAATCTTTCACTTCTCGAGCTGTAATGGGCTTTGACTCAAGAGCAGGCGCTGTCGTAGGTGGTTGGACTGAGGGAACTGGCTCAAAACTTTTTTCGGCGACATTTGATCGCTCAATAGCTCGCTGGAGAACATGAGAGGCAACTTTCACAAAGTTCGCACCCAGAACCGAGAAGACGAGCGAATTAGATGCGGGGTCAAAGGCGTATGTGTCGTAATAAATTGAACGGCCTTCTCCTGATGACTGTCGCGTATAGACTGTCCAAGACGGGTTTGGAGATGATGGAGCGCCACTGTGAACAATAACTTCTCGTACACCAGAGCAAGTGAAAATTTCGGATGATTTGCATTCGAGCATTGCGAGGGCATGAATCTCGGCAAGAAGCGTGACCTGATCTAACAAGATCGGATTGATGCTTTGCTGTTTCAGCCAGTCTCGAGATGCATGTGGCATGCTTATCTGCGCGGTAGCTTCACGTTGACTCATTTTGATTGACTCAATGCCTTGGTGGGCCGAATCGTACTTTGCAACTTTCTCCAGCAACTTGTACGCAATGCTGCCATTTGCGGAGAAAACTATAGCATCATTCAGAAGACCATGACAGTGTTCGTAATCAATCGTTCCTGGTAAGACTTTGTGCATCGCAGGACTAGATTGCCGTTGATCTTCGAGAATGATTTTTCCACTGGCATGAGGTGAAGTTTGTGTACCTGACTGGCCTTCCAACGACCATTCCCAGGTCCACCCTTCCAGCTGTTTCAATTGCAGTCCTAGGTTGGAAACGAGATTTGACCCAAGCGGAGCATATATGTCAAGGTTCTCAATGCGCACTGTTTGGAATGACAATGGCAAGCCCGGAGTCAAAATGGCAGCAGCCTGGCAGGCCAATTCAATATATAAGGAAAGTGGCCATAAGGATCTGTTCAAGACCTCACGGCCTTGTAAAATCTGTGAGATTCCAGGGTTGAGTTGATCGATGTTAAATCTGGAGATATGGCGCTCGGGGCTAGAGAGGGTGGCCAGCGAAATTAGAGATGGTTTCTGATCGGGTATGCGCTCGACGTGCACAGGTTCGGCACGAGGAAGCCAGTGAGAAGACTCGTTAAATTGATAACCAGGCAAGTCCAAGGGACTGAAAAGGTAGCTTTCCACTGGATGATACCCCCAAAATTGGAACGAGACTCGCTCCTTCCAGAGCCGCACGGTTGTCTCCGCAATTGATTGTGTAGGGTCTGCCGATCCAAGTTGCAATCCATAGAAAGAGTCAGAATCACCGACACCAAGTGCATCTCTTGCTAAATTCACACCCCCAGATCCGGAACCTGCTTCGAGCCAAATGCAAGATCCCAGTCGCTCTCTGATGCGAAGGACACCGTCGACGAAATACACTGGCTTCCGCGAATGCTCGGCTACCAACTCTGGAGTGAAGGTCTCCCAGCTGCTCGATTCTGAGCAAGTCTCAATCGGGATTATCGGGGCCAAGTAAGATATACTCTTAGTGAGTTCAAGGTACTGATCCAAGAAGAAATCTATGTACTTCGAGTGGAACCCGTGACTGGTGTTCAGCTTTCGCATCTTCAGGCCCGACAGTTGACTTGCCAACCCTTCAATAGCTGTATCACTACCAACCAAGACATGACTGGTTGGCCCATTGAAACAGGCGACTTCAACGTTATTGTTGGCACCCGATTGAGTCAAGGCAAGCGTAGTGGCCCTGTCGGCCTTAATAGAAAGCATGGCGCCTTTCTCACTGCCCCATTCGGATTGGATTAACTTCGCTCGGCCAGCCACCAACTTCAATGCATCGGGCAACGTGATTACACCACAGACACACATTGCTGTTAATTGTCCGAAGCTATGACCGATCACTCGCGCGACTGATAAGCCTGAATCGATCCAAGCTGCCGCACATGCGTATTGCACCGCAAAGAATGCGCAATGTAATGACACGAGGTCAGAAACAGGAATTTGACTGAAGATGCCAGGGAAAAGGCTCGGTAAACCCATGTCCTGGAGGATCGAGTCACATTGGTCCAAGTGTTTCCGTACCAGTCCAAATGAGTCGTACACTGCCTTATTCAGATGAACCTTCACTCCTGTCTGACCACCAAACACAAGAACGACTGGTTTCGCCTCCCCTCCAGAGACCAAGGATATCGAATCAAGAGGGCTGAAATCATTCAAGCGCTGTTGCAGGTTTGCTAGAGATGACGCATCGAATGCTATTTGATGGCGCAGGCTGCGATTCTGCCTTCGGGTAATATTGAAAGCAACATCGGCTAGGCCAGGACGGCCCTTCTCAATGAACTTCACAATAGCGGCGCAGTTTCTTTGAAGGCTTGCAGTGGAGTGTCCAGTAACTAGAATGGGATAGCGAGTGAGCGCTTGCTTGGTCTTCGCGGTTCGCGCTCGCGTTTCGTTGGTTTTTGTGGACGGCGCTTGGCAGATGATGAAGACTGTATTGTTTCCGGCCGCGCCATAGTTGTTGACACAGCCTGCGCGGAACTTAACATCCCAGTTTTTTATACTCGTGGGAACAGCGAGATGTGTCTGCTGTTCTTGCGGGATTTTAGCGTTCAAGCTCTTGAAGTTTGCTTGCGGAGGCAACTGTTCGTGTCTTATCATTGTCAACAGTTTCAAAACACCCGCAACCCCCGACGCCGCTTCTGTATGACCAAGATTCCCTTTGATGGATCCAATATGAGCCTTTCCTTTTCGATCCTTGCCAAATACCTCGTTGATACTGCGCCACTCGATCGGATCTCCTCGCGGCGTTCCGGTTCCATGAGCCTCAATATATGAAATGTCATTAGGAGCCATGCCTGCACGACTAAGAGCTCGTCGATACAGGCTGACCTGAGAATTGGAGGCTGGAACAGTGATAGAGTTACTGCCATTCGACTGATTTGTAGCTGTGGCTGCAATAACCCCAAGAATGTGATCGCCGTCATCGACGGCCGCAGAGAGTTTTTTTAACACAACTAATCCACATCCCTCTCCACGGGAGTACCCATTTCCGGATGAGTCAAAAGATCGACAGGGTGTGCCAGTGGAGTTGAGAAAATTGGCTGCTGCAAGATTTTGGTGTGTAGCCGGGCTGGACATGATACTGATCCCTCCTGCCAGAGCCATAGAGCAATCACCCAACACGATGTCTCGACAAGCTTGATGGATGGCGACCGCGGAAGAAGAGCATGCTGTATCGACTGTAATTGATGGTCCGGTCCACTTGAAGAAATGACTGATTCGCCCGCTGATGAATGCTCGGGAAGTGCCGATGAACGAAAACGCAGTTGGCATGTGAGCGTTGACATTATGCTCATAATCAGAGCCACCGACTCCAAGATAGCAACCAAAGTCGGTATTCTGTGCGCCGCTCCCAAAGTATCCTGATGACTCAACTGCCTGATAAGCCACCTGCAGCGCAATCCGTTGTTGGGGATCCATGTACGTAGCTTCGCGCGGGGATATCCCAAACAACGAATAATCAAACTGATCGACACCAGAAACAAAGTTCCCATTCAAGTCATTTAATTGTGAGCCTTGGCGGAAGTGCGCTGGATCATATCTTTGGTGTGGAACTTTCCCGTTCATTGACTGTGCCGTAGAAACGAGCTTCCAAAGTTCGCCTAACGATTCGGCCCCAGAATATTTGCATGCAGCTCCAACAATGGCAATACAATGGTCAGGATAGTCGTACTCATGTGATTCTCCCTTTTTCTGGGTTTTTGACGGAGAATTAGCACGGACAGTGGTCAGATTTGTCGAAACAGCTAGAGATGGCGGCACACAACCGGAAAGCCCAAGTTCCAGAAGAATGGAGCTGTCATAGAGGCTGGTAGATAGAAGTGAATCTACAGTCATAGACATGGTGAGATACCATTTTGCCGGGTCTGTCAATATTGACTTGAGACAGACTTCATGTAGCCGACTCGTGTCTTTCTCAACCTTCCCTGTTGTATTGTTTCGCCAAGGAACGGAGAGGTTTTCGGCATGACGATACTGCAACAATGGCTGAGATTCGCAAAATTGAAGTATCCTTTGGAGTATTGTTTTGTTTTCCTCGGCGTGATAGCAACCATTCACTTGAACTCTGGTGAATTGAATTGATTTTCCAAGGAAATCGCTGCGTAAAGCAGGAATGTCGGCGTCTAAGGCTGTAATCGTTACGGCGCATTCGTCGACTTCGACTGAAACATAGGCCTTGAGTAATTGTTAGATCATAGCAGGTGATTTGCTAGTTTGACTGAGCCATACCTGAGGATAATTACTTAATATCTGTTCCACATGTTCTCTTTGGGAATGAACTCCCCACCGTGCCATAAAACATGTCATCGAGGATCCAGTGTTTTGGCCCAAATCAACATAAGCTCCGATGCACATAGCGAGTCTCAACGCAGTCGCAGCATTTCGACCAATCTCAGGCCTTTTCAATGAACATGCGAGGGCGGCGGCACTTAATGAGCCTGTACATAGGCCCTGAAAGCCGCCATGGCGAGCTGCATCTCGAACACGAGCGTGCGCGTCGTCAGATGGCAGTTGATCCAGGAAGTCAATGTATTGGACGATGTGAATCAAGATTGTCAAGGGTGCAAGCAGGATATTTGGGAGCGCCTCAGGAACTTCAAGGGTGCAACCATGATCAAGCACCGAACTTTTCAAGTTCTCTAATGGTGAAGGTGAAATACATTGTAAGCGAGGATCATTGACTTTCAGTTGTGATAGCAAGATGGGCAGATCCAACACTGCCTGACGCAAATCCTCAAGATCATGATCATTTGAAACATGATCCCGAATATGCTCAATATTTCGTTGAGATGGAAGAATTGTCTGTGGACCACAGACGACTGCACGCGGCAATACAGAGGCCATCTCTGTCTAAGAAGCGTCTCAAGCAACAGGAAACGAAGACCACAAAGACCACGAAGGTTTTCAATTACTTATCACCTGAACTCTTTCCTTAAACAGAAATCCAAACTTAGTAATGGCAACCTGAGTGACAATCTCTGTAGAACCGAAAAAATAAATAGCGGCAGCCCACTGAAAATACGGAATTTTAGATCGCAATACCTACCGTTACATACAATGATACAACGCCAAATACAATGTAATTTTGACGGCGCCCCACATGAGCGCCGGTGTCTTCCTAATTAGGGCCGCAAGGCCCATGCTACGTACATACCTTTTCTGCAGATCGTAATCGATTAATTGAATATGATTGTAATCGTACTGATGTAAAATTGAAGGAGTGTAAAGTAAGCTGTGCGTTGAATTCATAGTAAACATCCCGAAATTACCGCAGCTCCAAATGCAAGCTGCACATTGCTCATTGTTTGAGTTCCAAAAATTCCAAAATGCTGGCAATACCCGACGACTGATCGACTCCAAGGTTGGACAACATCGCTCTAGCCTTCGCTGTGAGAGAAGCCAGGGTTTGTCGAGTGTACTCAAAGCTTCCCGTAGACTCAATGATTTGAATTGTATAGCGCTTCACAGACTCGTCCTCGGACTTCTGTCTGAGAATATTCATCAACTGTGAATTGCCGGCCTCGTTCCGAATGCTATGAATGATTGGATATGAGAACTTGCCCTCCGTGATATCTTCTCCGAAGCCTTTGTTTTTGGCATATTGGTCACTCTGTAGATTCTGGTAATCGTCTCTGATTTGGAAGATAACTCCCAGAAGGTCGACCAGAGGCACACAGTCCCTGTTGGTCCGCTGGTCAGCCATTACTTCCTTGAAGAAACAGAGATGCCCAACTCACTGTGTTCTTTCGCTTTCCAGTTGAATCAACTTGATGGCAAGTCGGAACAGTCCTCCAGTCTTGTTTGCGACCATCTCCAGATACTCCTTCTCTGTAGGGCAGGTGAGCGAGTCTCTCCAATACAGATCCATTCCCTGCCCCCGATGAAGCCGTAAAAGTTCCTCTGTAAATATATCAAGCGCTTTAGGCTTGCCTAGCGCAAACAATTCACTCTGAGCTCGGAAGTAAGCGTAGTTCGCCGAGTTGATTGTTTGCGCAATGCCGAAAATGCTGTGCGCCACAGGTAGCCCACGCCGGAGCTTCGAGGAGTCTTGAATGTCGTCAATCCTATAGCGAGTGAGTATTTCAACCGGTAAGTCCCCACAAGGAGAGATATTAACTGCCATTACTTACAATAGTGAAGCTACATGGAGCAGCCCAACAACCCGCTTTATGATTTCTAGTTTCTCCTCCGGGATCTTGAACCATTCGTTAAAAGCCGAGATGAGCTTTCCACGAATGTCCTTGCCGGGAAGGCTCGCCAGGTAATCCAATGGCGCAGAGATGATCTAGTGTGCGATTGGGTTAACATCAAGAAATGCGAAGGTTGACCGCAGCGATATGGTCGTATACCTGTTCTTCTCTGAACTTATTTTGTTGTTCGATTTCGGCGACATGGTGAAAGATTGAGTGGGACTTGGGTTCCGGAATAGATCCATTGACAGGAATTTCCGTAAAGCTCAAAGGCAGTGGGGGATTGCTTGGGCTCCAACGTGACGAGGAGTATACCTGATGGGAAGGCGGGCTGAGCTCGTTGAATGCCATCGGTGGAAGTTGGATCATGTTTGGATCGGAATGAAACTAGGAATAGGCAATTGAAACAAACTGAAAGCTAAAGTGCAATGCGAACTTTGCGATTCAATGAGCTCAGTGAGGTCAATGGCAGACTTCAGCGAAAATAGTGTGAATCACTGGAGTAGATTGATCCTGGGTACCTATCAAGCTAACTTCAAACGAAACAATACGCTTCAATCTGTATTGTCAGTACTTCAAAGGAATCGATCAATACAGTACAGTCCAAAATTACAGATCTCGGTTGAGCAGATATTTAATTAGTATGTATTTTTGTTATCTTGGATCTTCAAACTATTGTTACCAGAGGCGCTTATCCACACCACCCACGAGCAGGATCCTGCATAATTATCAATTGACAATTAATGGCTCATGCAGACATGTTACCGCTATGTGGTTCCTGGCACTCCGCACTGTCGATCTCATGAACCATGGTGGTCAAACTGCCTCTTCACCATCTCGACAACATCACCTGCAAGAAGCCAGTGCCCATCACTGGGACTTGTGTAATGCGGGACCTTGACTCCGCAGTTCAGCTGGAGGCTTGCTTGTGCTCCATATGTGCTCCGTATCAAGCCTTGCTTTTTGTGGGACCGTCATAGTTGACGGAGAAAACAACCAAACGACGCCACAATTTTGTGGGCCTCGAAATTCTCGGTTGACATCAACTCACTGATAACCTCCGACCCGAACGACCGCCGAAGCCAGCCGAGGACAGCTGGGCCGCAAAAGCTCGTCGATATGAACCCAAGAGAGATGGTCCTTTGAAGTGTTCAAGTGGATACATCATGGCATCAGGGCCTTTCAAAGTCATCATCATCGGTGGCTCCATTGCCGGGCTCACGTTGGCTCACTGCTTAGACAAAGCAGGAATTGATTACGTTGTCTTGGAGAAGCGGAAAGAGGTCACCCCTCAAGAAGGCGCTTCCATTCTAATCCTGCCTCATGGAGGCCGTATATTGGATCAATTGGGGGTATTTAATGCTTTAGAGGCACACGTCCAGCCATTGCATACAGCGCATATTTCCTATCCCGATGGATTCAAACACACCAACAGATCGCCGCAGGTGCTTGCAGATCGGTAAGTGACCCTTACTCACTTTTGTCCAAGCTGGATACGCGGAGCTAAATTCAATATGTCGAGGAAAGATTTGGAGTACCTATGGCATTGGTGGAACGGCGCAATCTGCTCAAAGTTCTGTATGATACGCTACCCGATCGATCTCGCGTGCAGGTAGACAAGAAGGTACTGGCACTGGAGCACGAACAGGGCAGCCTCGTGACTGTTCAAGTGGAAGATGGAGCCATCTACAAAGGCTCCCTCGTTGTGGGGGCGGACGGTGTTCACAGTCGTGTACGCAGCGAGCTATGGCGCCTCGCGGACAAGGAAAAGCCAGGAGCCATCAAAGACAAAGAGAAGAGCAGTGAGTATCTGCTGACTACCAAAGTACATGACAGTGCACTGACCACATGCCTTCGTAGGTATGACTGTCAAGTATGCCTGTGTCTTTGGCATCTCCAATTCTGTGTCTAACCTAGTTCCTGGAGAACAAATATCTACATTGAATGACGGCAGATCATTTCTGACCTTTCCAGGAAAGAGTGGCCGGGTATTTTGGTTCCTGATGAACAAACTCGAGAGGAAATACGCATATTCCGAGGTTCCTCGATTGACCTCCGAAGATGCCAAACGGATGGCCGAGCAATATGTCGATGATCACATTTGGAATGGCGTTCATTTCAAAGATATATGGGACAAAAGAGAAGTTTTCGGTGCAACCAACCTGGAAGAGAATATCTTCCAAACGTGGCATTGGGGCCGCGTGTTATGTCTCGGAGACAGCATGCACAAGGTATATTTGGCTTTCCGACGCTCCTAGCTTCTCTTAAAATAACCATTATCCGTGCAGATGGCTCCCAACACTGGTCAAGGGGCAAATTGCGCCATTGAGGATGCTGCTCTGCTTACAAACTACCTAAGGCAATCGATCAACAGCACGAAGGAGAGCACGAAGGAGAATAGAAAGTTGTCCGATGAAAAACTCAGCACTGTTCTGGAGCAATTCAGTCAGGATAGGATAGAGCGCCTTCAAAGTATATACAGACTCGCCCGTGTTGTGGTTCGGCTTCACGCACGTCAAAATCTGTTTCTGCGGCTGATGGGCCGCTACTATCTACCTCATACTGGCGATCTTCCTGCAGACATGGCATCGAAGTCTATTGCCGGCGGTGTGTACTTGGACTTTTTGCCTCTGCCGGGTCGCTCTGGGCCTGGTTGGAAACACTTTGCCTCCAAAACGCACTCGCTACCTCGGAGTTTGACACTCTTCTCTGCTTTGGTGCTTATATTGGGCATCGCTTTCTGGACAGGACGGGGCATTCTTCTTCCATCCATCCAGGGCTTGGGACTTATTGAGACATCTATACATAGTTAGATTCTTACAATATATTAGAACATTAAGTCCAGGGATACGACAACCCAATGAGGTTTACTCTATCAAAGGTGTGTCGGGTCATACAGGAACTTGTTGGACAAGGGCTTAGAGCCTGATATCGTAGTTGTGAATTTTACTGTATGTTCATTTTACTAGCAGCGTGAGGCTATGGTGCGACAAAAACTAATTAGGCACAGTTGGATCTCGGCGACAATCGCGATTTGAATTAAGCACGCGACCCGAAGTATCAAAAGGTACTTTGTTCCTGGCTCTGCTTCTGCCACTCCTTGTCTTGGAGCAGTGCATGTGACGCCTACGTGAACTGATCGCATTCCGGTGGTGGCAGGTATTCTGTATGGGTATTGTAATTGTTTGCTGAGCGGGGATCATGACGAAATGGCAGTACGAAAGGCACGATTCCCAGGGACAACAAAAGCTGCCGAATACAAGCGGATCCACAGGGTAGATCAACTTAGCTCCACAGAACCTGTGGGTCTAGAAAGCAATTTTCTGATGTAGATCCGTGGCTCGCGCACACGGGTCATGGCTCCTGCAGATAGAGCTGAATGTGAAAAGTGAGTTCCTGCGAAGTGGATCATTGATGGTTCAGCTGTGACCAGCCACACTCGTTGTACGATGGCCCTGTGCACGCGTAAGATTACCGAGCTAGGCTCTACTCAGAGCTGCCGAGGTGGGACAAGCTTCTCGGGCGATGGTTAGCTTGCCGTTAATACCTCATTTTCCCTGCCTTCATTGGAGCTTTAGGGTTCGCGATACCTCCTCTTCCAGCACGAAAGCTTCTTGTTCCATTTCTCATCTTTCATCGTTAAATCGTCAAGTCAAACATGGGTTCCATCGGCCAGACCGCCAAGCGGCAACCCCTAGAGCTTCGGGGACATCTCAAAAAGTTCAAATCTTTTAACTGCACGCCCGTTCTTGGAACTGAGTTTCCAGATGCAAAATTGGCAGAATGGCTCCAGGCGCCAAATGCAGACGATCTGATAAGAGATTTGGCCATCACAGGTAGGTTAAAATATATAGAATCGGTCCATGATACATACAGCCAATACTGACCCCCATGAAACAGTCTCGCAACGGGGAGTTGTGGTCTTTCGATCGCAAACCGATCTCACAGACGAGCTGCAGAAAACCTTGGTTCAGAAGCTCGGAGAGCTGACCGGAAAGCCATCGGACTCAAGTTGGCATATCCACCCTCTTGCCAAATACAGCGCCACTGGAGATAAAACGCGGCACCTGATCACTACCGACCCAAGCAAAAAGCCGGCTGAAGACCGTTTCAATAACCAGGCTCAACAGCCCATGGGTGTTCGGGCCGCATGGCACACCGATATCAGTTACGAACCAAATCCGGCAGACTATAGTATGCTGAAGATGATTCAGCTCCCGGAGCGAGGTGGAGGTGAGTATCGTACAAATAAAGATAATTGATTCGCTCATCAGAACGTGGTTGTTTTGAAAGTCTGACACGATATATATTCAGACACCCTGTACGCCTCATCCTACGAGATCCTCGACAAGATCTCCCCTGCTTATCGGGGATTTCTCGAGACACTCACGGCGACCTTTGCGCAGCCACGGTACCGCCAGTCGTCTGAGGAGAAAAAGTGCGAGATCCACCTGGAGCCCCGCGGCTCGCCAAAAAATATCGGTAGCGATCTCAGCGCTGTTCACCCAGTGGTGCGAACCAACCCGGTAACTGGATGGAAGAGTCTGTACGGGGCTGGGATGCACACTCAAAGAATCAATGAGGTGACCACAGAGGAGAGTCGTCGACTGCTCGATTGGTTGCTGCAAATGGTTGTCGAAAACCACGATCTTCAATTCCGGCACAATTGGAAGAACCCATATGACGTTGGTGAGTTGTATTTGAGACCCTGCCATTCTATGGGGCGTTGATAACTGACTGTTTTAGCTATTTGGGATAACAGGTCGGTGTTTCACGCCGGAATCATGGACTACAAGGGACAGGGACCTCGCACGGGTCATCGCTATGTTGGAGTGGGCGAGGAGCCTTACCTGGATCCTGAGAGCAAGACTCGTCGTGAAGCCCTAGGTGACTTCAGTTAGATATGTAGCAGATATTTGATTATTTTCGGTACACTATTTGTGTTTTGAAATGCGCGTCTCATTGACAGTCAATTATTTCACAAAAGATTCCTTAGTAAAATTCAACGAAGGCACTCATTTCTTCTATAATCCATATCAAATATCCAAGGGTTCTCGATCGTTTATATTCAGTATGCGCGAATTGTTTCAATTGTTGGGTGAGGATGACGACTATACGTATCAATCCAGTGGTTCAAATTGATACCGAAACCCAGATCAATGCAAATCATGAATCTCGTTTCTTTATCGTTACATCCAGACCCTCTTGTTTGAAGAACCACAAGTTCTCAACTTTGAAAGCTGCAGGATCCAGAATTTTGATCTATGAATGTTAGAAGTTTTGGATGAAATTCAAAAAATGAGAGCCTCTTACGTCGTATCGCAGTAGAAATGCCGAGATAAGTTTCTTAATTTCCATGATAGCAACGTTCTTGCCCAGACAGACTCTTCGCCCGGAGCCAAACTAAATGGAGCAGTCAATATCACCAAATGCCAAACCGTCAAACAAACTCAAGGTACCTACTGTGATCATGCATGACTCCATCTTTCTTCGGTGCTGGGGGGTACAGTCCAGCCATCTCTCCGGGCGCCAATGATCAACATCCTCACCGAACGTCGGCTTGTGGCGCCCAGCAACATACGGGCTCATTCCGACAAGCGTCCCAGGGGGAAGATAGAGATCGTCTATTTTCAGACCCGTTTCGGGAACAACTCGTTCGAAAGGTAGACAGAATGGAGGGTGTAGTCGCAAAGCCTCATTCATGCAAGCGTCCAGATAGTTGAGGTTCTGCAACTCTTTCCATGCAGGAGCAGGCTGTGTGAGCAAACCTTGTTCCTCAGCCTCAAGGAGCTCACTGTAGAGACGGTGCATGCTATCTCGGTGAACAAGCAGGTTGTACCAGATTGTACTCATTACAGTTGCGGTGGAGTCTGATCCGGCAAAGACGTTTAGTAGTGACAGGGAAGAGACTGTCCTGGAAGTTGCCATGAGCTTGCAGGTACCAAATGCCATTTCTGCGGTATGCATCTTACCAGGGAAGCATTGTGGGATTGTTTGATTTCATCAACAGCAATTGTGCCGTCATGTCGTTGTAATTGGATCCTGGCTTCTCCGTTGGTTCCTCGAATTGTTGTTCACGGGATTTGATGAGTGCTGTTGTTTGTTTATGGATTTGTGGAAGAGAATCAACTTTCAAGGTCGTGAGAATGACATGGATAATTCCACCCAGGCTCCGCAAAGTCGAGCTTTGGCTCATCTATGATGTTGTTTCACGTCAGAAATCAAACTGTCAATCTAATTACGATAAGTTCAGTATATAGAGATACTGACAGGAGCTATGACCTGGAAAATCTTCCAATTAGATTCCAAGATTTTCTTTGCATCATCGGCCCCCATTTCAAGGAGGCCATATGGCTTAGTGAACATCCATGCCCACACCGTATCGAATGCAAATGCTTGTAGCCAGGTCAAAAGGGAGCTGGGAGCACCAGACTCTGCATGATCTAGTTGGCAAAACAGTCGCCCTATATTATCATCAATGACGCCTTCGAGACTTTGTAGTTTAGAGAACGAGTATAAAGGGGACACAGGAGCCCTCAAGGCCTTGTGTATAGCCTCATCTCGGGCGGTAAAGACATCCGGAGGCTCATCAGGACCTTTGAAAACATCATAGAAGCTGCCCTATATGAACTGGTCAATTGTCAGTCTTTCATGGGGAGCTTGAACCAGGTCAGGTATATACCTTTAGAAATCCCGCGCGAGCGGGATAGATCGCCGAGATAGCATCGGGGTCCGCGACCGAGACCATATTCGGTCCAAAGCGAACTACACTCCCATACCGACTATGGAGGTTTCTGTGGATTTCATGAGATTTGCGACTTCTAACCCATCGCACACGGGGTACATTGGTGAATCGCGCCGCCAATGGACCGGGAATACCATGCAGCCGGAAGTATCTTCGAGCGAGCCACCAGAATCCGGTAGCAAGCAAGCCTGCTAGGATGACGCTTGCTCTCTTGCTAAGCATGATTGTAAAGTCTTATCACACGGTCTATAATCCAGAGCAATTTGCGGGTGCAGGAAAGTACGCTGACTAAATGCTGGAACCTGGGCCACTGCGGCGACAGAATATGACCAAGACACGAAGAAACCGATCCATCTGGCAGAGAGTCCGGTTACAGTTAGCGGTGTTTGCAACGCATAATCGATCCGCTCTGGTGATTTCAAACCACCTTTGCCCCGTACTCATGGTTACACTCACCTGGCGCTTGTAACTTATGGAAGGAAGTGCTTGGCGTCATGTATTGTGAGTGGACCCGCTAGTAATAATCTTCATACAGGCCATGATGCCAATTAGGGTTTCATACATGCTCGTATCTAACATCCCCATTTTGTAGCTCGAGCAGCTGAACTCAGTTTTTCAGTTTGTCCAACCGACACGAGGATTCACGATCGGGCTGTCACACTGTACTGTTGAACGTCTAGATTTCAATTCGCGGGCCTGCGGGACCACTGTGGTGCTTCTGGGATCGACTCCGCCGATCTTGCTGCAGCTAGCTCCCAAATCCGACATATAAGATGTGTCATTTTCTGGGATCGCGCGCCCTCCTTCCAAACCGAGACAACTTGGATAGGGGCCTGAAGGAGTTGGGTCCTCCGCAGCCAACCCCACGACGCCACGCAAGCTTACGCCGGGAACCTCGCTAATGGTAACACGGTATGATGCAGCGTCAATCGGGGAAGGTAGCAGGGGCATAGATCAAGTGGGCTCCGAGTGGTTCAGCTGCCGGGCCAACTAGCTTCACAGGAATTGACCAGACCCCGAGAGTTTTGGAGAATTGCGATCGCGAAAATCCGGCGAAGTCCAAGTGCGAAACACTAGGCGCGATCTTAAGACATTCTCTTTGTTCGGCTTCCCATAATGGAGTTCGACAGACTTGTGACGAAGGACAGTGATCTGGTTCGCGGCGCGCTTGTGGTGGGCGTCGTGGTCCTATTGATCACCGTCCTGTATCCAAAGCTCCACCATGGCGGGGAGCTGGTCAATGACAGGAAAGGGTATGAACTTCTCTGGACGAATGCGAAGAAGCGTTTTCAGCTTGGTGCGCGAGGGATTCTGGCTGCGGCTTTTGAAAAAGTAAGATCTCTTTACTAACTGAAAAGCCATGACTGCAATTGTCTCAGTTTAAGATGATGCTGACGAAATTCTCAAAAGCACAAAAACGCATTCTATATGGTCACTGACAATGGCATTGAAATGATCGTGAATCCAAAATACGCGCATGAAATTCGCAACGACGAAAGATTTAGTATTGCTGCGTATAATGAACAGGTGAAGCTCAGTCATCTTTCTTCATGGCCCTACTAACATTTCTCTAGTCGTTCCATGGCACGATACCAGGATTTGAAATATTCAAGCAGAACGTTGTGGAAGAACGACTGTTCATCAACGCAGTTCGGAATAAATTGACCCGATCTCTTGGTATGTGCGCATCCTGTTGAGTTGGGGTCAGTTGCTAACGATCGTTCGCTTCTAGGGAAAGTACTTGGATCAATCTCGAGCGAAGTCGACGATGCCTTACAAAAACATTGGTCTGATAACAAAGGTAGGCTGGATGGTAGTGTCTGCGAGTCTGGCTGATCAAGCGGCAGAATGGCACAGCATTCCTTTGCATGCGACAATTCTCCCCATCATCGCGCAGCAGTCATCCAGAGTGTTCTTGGGTGAGGAGCTGTGTCACAATGCCAACTGGCTACGCATTACAGTGAATCACACGATCAGCTTTTTCACAGCGGTGGAGGCGATGCGTGTGTGGCCCAAGTGTCTGCGACGCCTGGCAGCAAGATTTTCACCAATGTGTAAAAACCTTCGCGCAGAGATTCAAGAGGCCCGGAACATCATCACACCGGTCCTTGAAACAAGAAGAGCCCAGCGAGCGGAGCTTTTGAATCAGGGAAAAGATCCGAAGGAATTCAATGATCTGATTGAATGGCTAGAGGAGCTGTCCGGTGGGCAGTCCTATGACCCTGCACGTGCCCAGCTGAAAATCTCCGTGGCTGCGATACACACGACGTCGGATTTGCTCACACAGACTCTCTTCAATATCGTGGGTAACTCGAAGTTGATCGAAGATCTTCGTGAAGAAATTATCTCCACCATTAACACATATGGCTGGCAGAAGTCCGCAATTTATAATTTGAAACTGATGGACAGTGTTCTTAAAGAGACCCAGCGGTTGAAGCCCATTTCCATCGGTAAATGTCTAGTTTCTTTCCCGTAGAGGACTTACTGATTAACGCTTTCAGGCACAATGGTTCGTGTTGCTTTGGAGGATGTCCAACTGTCCGACGGATTAGAGATTCCCAAAGGAACTAAAACTCTGGTTTCGTGTCACAACATGTGGGACCCTGATGTCTATGATAATGCCGACGAATTCAACGGTTATCGGTTTTACAAGCTACGGAAGCTTCCTGGACAGGAAAATTCGGCACAACTGGTCTCCACGAGCGCTAATCACTTCGGATTTGGTCATGGCATGCATGCCTGCCCTGGCAGGTTCTTTGCTGCCGCCGAGGTCAAAGTGACCTTATGTCATATTTTGCTGAAGTACGATCTCCGGCTGGTGGGTGATCGTCCAAATGTGATTGAGCACGGTGTTGCCCAGTATGCCAATACGTGGGGGCCGCTCGAGATTAAACGACGAAAAGAGGAGATTTCGGTGTAAAGCTATGTCGCCCCTTGTATTCAACTGGTAGCAGGCAGCAAAACAGGATACATAATTAAGAAAATTCTGCATTCAAAATCCGCCAAGGCACTAGTGCTGGATCCCGAGAACTAAACCGATAAAGATCGATCAATGTCTTTTCCTATCTTTTCCCCTCAACCTGGATCGCCCGACCTAAACACGGGCCGCGTTCCGTTACCCGTTCATCAGTAAATGGAGACTGTAAAGTTACGTTACAGTCCCTGGCAAAAGTTTGCATAATCCGGTTCCGCGCAACGCAACCATGGTTTATACTGCCATACATAAAATATATATATCTAGCAACATAAGATGGTTTATAATAAAATAGTTATACTACATGCAATATAAATGGCAAAAATATGCAAAAAGAAGCAGAAAATTAGTTTTCCTTTTATTTATTACTCTTACAATCTAGTATCCAGATTGAGGCGTAAAAGTCACCTTAGGCTTATTAGTATTTACTGTAACAAATTAAACAAAATAGTAATAAGAAGCTTTTATATACAAAAGGGGTAGAAAACTAGCCTATATTTTATATAAATCTGCTTGTTACATTATTATATTATAATTATTGCTAGTAGTACAAGCTGTAAATTTTTGTATTATAGACTTTACACAAGTGCATATATATATATTTCTTTTATGTGCAAATTTTTTTAAATACAACACAACAAAGTTATATTAAAAAATAGTAATTTTAATTTAAATATTAAATTATATATAAATAATTAATATTTAAAATTTTTTTTTTTGCATATATATTTTTTGTATTTTGTAATTAAATTTTCAAATCTAGAAGTTTTCAATTTTTAGTGCTACTTATTATAGTAGATATATTTAATAGTATAAATGTATAATTAAAAAATTCTACTAAAAAGTATAGTCACACACTGAATAGTAGTACAATAAGCTATTAAATATGCATAGTTTTATACTTCAGGTACATTTTGTAGTATAATACAATAGAATATAATGTTGTAATTGGGGTGGTCTAGAATTGTGTTATGCATACTTTTGGCTAAGAACTATACATGCGCGGATTGGGCAGTATTGCACCATAATACACAGGTAATAAAGAAAACTACGCGTAGAATCAAATCAGATCCACATTATCACATCCACTATTGAATCTGAGTTCTTGAAGCTTCCCAAGCATGTGCAACCATCTTATAGACTATGCTGAAAGCTCACGCAGAGCCCCACCCATTCGGTCATAAGAAACGTATCCGCTCTCTCCAGCTTGAAGCTGTCGCGAAAGCCGGACACCCAAAAACCATGGGCAGGCCTGAAAAATACGAAGCCCCTGCGGGGAAGCCCTCAAGAAGCTGCCTGACCACAAACGTGAAGGCTCTACTGGCTGTGGCAGCCGTCCTTTTACTGTGGAAACATTTACTTTTCAACACTTCGAGGCCTGAGTTTTCGTATGAAGAGCTTCAGGATTTTCTACTCAACATTCCTTCCGCTCAGAAAGCTCGAGAATGGAGCAGCTACTATACCTGGGGGTCTCATTTCCCCGGACAGGGGCTGGATCAAGCTCAGTGGACACAAACGAAATGGTCCGAATTCGGGATTGCAAAAGTCGAAGTCACGAGCCATTCGGTTTATTTGTCTCGGCCGCAAGGCCAACGGGTAGCGCTTCTAGATCTCAAAAAGGCCGATGACCAAGTTGTTCATGAAGTCAGCTTCATAGAAAATGACGTTCCCCCTGGCGGTGCTGAAAGACCATTCATCCCGGCATTCTTTGCGTGGTCCGCTAGAGGGAATGTGACGGCCGAATATGTATACGCCAATTTTGGTCTTGACCAAGACTACGAGGACTTGGCACGGGCGGGAATTAATGTCGAAGGCAAGATTGTCATCATCAAGTTGACCTTCAACTCGCCGCTCCTTGAACGGCTAAATGCGACCGCGAGCCGTTTCACCCAAATCGCTAGCGCAACAAAAGCCGGTGCAATCGGTGTTCTGGCGTACACCGATACCCAAGGTGATGACCCGTATACAGAAGCAAATGGATATCTGCCATTCCCAGATGGGCCTGCTCGTCCTCCGTCGATGATTCAAAGGGGTACCATTGGGGTCGTTGGTAAGGCATCCGGAATCACTGCTATGATACATCCGCTAATCCAAACGGCTCTAGAATCTTCTCCGAACGATGATGAATTCAGAGCCACCATTCCTACAATCCCTGCTATTCCAATTTCTTATGCCGATGCAGCAAAGCTTCTTCGCGCGTTGAACAGCCGTGGACCGGCTGCAGCCGACTTCAACGAACGGTGGGCTGGAGGCGGACTGGGATACATGGGTGTGCAATATAATGTTGGGCCTTCGTCGCCTAGTGTGGTCATACATCTATCCAGCAATCCCGAGATTCAAATTGGCCAAGTTCACAACGTGATGGGTACAATTGAGGGCAGTATCAAGGATGAGATCATTCTGCTTGGTAATCATCGCGATACTTGGGGACCCGGCGCCGGCGACAGCCACAGTGGATCAAGTGCCCTCAACGAGGTGGTTCGTGCCTTTGGTGCAGCTCTTCGAAAGGGCTGGAAGCCACTCCGAACCATTGTCTTCGCAAGCTGGGAAGGAGAGGAGGTGGGCCGCGTCGGATCGCGATCTTGGCTCCAAGAGAATACGCAGACAGCGAATACCAGCATCGCTGCTTACTTGAACGTTGTCGAAGCTGCTGCGGGCGCCAGATTTCACGCTCAGGCGAGCCCACTGCTTTCCAAAGCAATCCTCGAAGTTACAGACCAAGTCTTATCGCCCAATCAAACTATATCACGGCAGACTGTCCTTGATGTTTGGGGCGGTGACATTCGGTTCGGGACAGCTGGTGATTCAATTTTGTTCCAAGGCTGCGCCTGCTTGCCGAGTAGTGACTTTGGATTCTTGACCGGGCCAGGTGACCCTGTCTTCCCATATCACTCCATGTATGACACCTTAGAGTATATGGACAAGTACGGTGATCCTACGTGGGAATATCACGTTGCCACGGCAAAGGTTTGGGGGTTATTGGCTGCACGTCTTGCGGAAACACCCGTTCTGTCATTCAACGTCACCGACTATGCGATTGCCATGAAAAAGGCTGCAAATTCCCTAGAGACTCTATTTCCAAAGTCTGAAAATACATTCCTCAAGCCACTCCAAGAGGCCATTGAGGCGTTGTTCCCAGTAGCAATGGCGCACGATTCCAGAAGCAGTGCACTTCTTGAATCTGCACTTGCTCAGCGTACAGCGCCTTGGTTGCGGGCGAAGCTTCAAACAGTCAACCAGAAGTATATGTACTTCGAACGTATCTTCTGTCGCGATTTAAAGCGTTTGACAAAGGACACTAACCACTTGTTCGTGCCTTCAACCCCGTACTACGTCCATAAGCGCGGGTTCCCGCATTTAGAGATGGCAATCAAGACTGGCAACACTTCGCAGATTGAGGTAAGTTCATCTTGAACCCCAGAAAAACGCAATAGGCTTTGACTTACACACCATTTCATGTAAAGAGTGAGAGAGATATACTTATTGGACGCATTAGGCGTGCTACTGAATTGTTGATTTAAACAATATTGCGGGGTCTTTCTGGATTAAGCTATATACGACGCTATGGTAATGATGAAAAATAAAATGAGCTCCAACGAAAAGTTTTCAAAGTTATGAGTATAGTCCAGACGTCCTAGCTAATAAGCATGAGCCCGAAAAACGCGTCTTATGGTGCTAGAACGTAGCCAGTATGAGAAGCACCAACCCATCATTGTTTCAGATAGTCGACCATCCATCATCAATAGGAAGCATCGCTCCACTGATTCTTAAACTATTGTCAGAACTAAGAAAAATGATGGCATTAGCGACATCCTCCGCTCGAACAAGTTCGAAATCCGGTCGGTGCACTTTCACGGAATCAATGATCGGTAGCATGGTTTGAACCGCTGCAAAATCAATGGCAGAATTATCAACGCTGCTTGAAATAGCTGAAGTGACCCCTAAACAATCGACCGCAGATGTAAGCTTCTGTAATTCACGATATCTCTGTCCTGAGCTCACCTCCAGGGCAAATCGCGTTACAGCGAATGTTATCTGCCTTGAACCTCCAAGCCACATTCTTAGTTACTCCTTGGAGCGCATGTTTGCCTAAATCGAAATCAAAAAGCGTCAATGCATATCCTTATGAATCCCCTCGAGTTGACGTACTAGCTGTATAGGCGACTCCCGAAACAGCACCACTAGAGCCTGCCTTGCTGGAGATATTGACTATACTTCCACCTTTCTGTTCCTTCATAATCGGAAGAACCTCCCTCATTAGCCTGACGGGTGCGGTGAGGTTGATTGCCATGCATCGTTCCCACATATCGTCCGTGAGAGTATCCACGCTACTGCAATGGTCTATAACACCCGCAACATTGACAAGAACATTGACGCCACCGAATGCTTCCAAGCATCTGCATGTAATTTCAGCAGCAGCAGATGCACCCGTCAAGTCGCATTGCAGGAATTCGAGATTGGGGTTGCTTTCAAGCGATGACGGTCGAGAGGAAACGTCTACCGCTAGGACCCGAGCTCCTTCTTTGACGGCAGCTTGTGTAGTAGCCAAGCCAATGCCGGACGCACTTCCCGTGACGATAACGACCTGTCAGTGATTTGGTTAGTTTCCTCGCAACTGTCAATGAATCGCACAATCATGTACCTTTCCTTCCAAGACGCCCATGATTTTACGTGTTTGATGCTCTGGGGTGTTTTTGTCGACAATTGCATTTCTATCTGCAATACGGGGCGACCACACCAAGAGGGCGATGCTATCTGGCTAGCGGGAAAGCTAACAAGGTACGTACTCCATGGGTACCTGCTGATTCCCCGGCATGATCAGACTCCAAGCTCCCCCAACTACAATACTTTAGTACGTAATTGCATTGAATACAGTTTAGCAGACCCTGTAACTTACCTAGATACTGTTTGCCTGCCTAGACCACCTGAAAAAAATTACATGTCATATCAGAGTGGAGCTTGCGTCATGGACGACCTGGACCATGCAGTGTAATTAATGGCTTGAGCTGAAGATGCGCCGACCTGTGGATAACGATGAGAGTACGGAGTTCATTGTAAGCCACATTCGTACTAGGTAGGTCGATCGCGGACCCACGGTTCATGACCAGGTGTCGTGTGCGCGTAATTTATTAAGGTTTCAGCCGCTCTTCAAGACCAGGGCGTAATGAAAGATAAATACATACAAATTCTGTAACCGTATTACTTCTGTCTGATCGTATCCGCCATTGGATCTCTCATGCGATCTTTCTCATCTTGCATGCTAGTCGCCGCTCGAAATTTGCCTTCAGAAGCAGTGGGCCCTGCCGATCAGGATGGACAGGTCTTCAGCTACCTACCGTGGACGTCTGGGCAGCTGGGACACTCGCAAGGGCTTACGTATTACCGCTATCGAACTGTAGTTCAGCAGTAATGGGCCCTGCAGATGGGCCCTCAACAAGCAGGCAAATACTTTAGTCTGTTCTCCCTTTTGACCACCATCCCTTGTAATGTGTACCAATGAACACGGGATTGTCTAGTGAATTCGATACTTTAGTTACATAGGGCGGAAAATCAAAGAAAATTCGGGCATAAGCATAGCCACTGTTTGCTTCTTCACTCATCCCGAGTGGTCAACGAGCATCTAAGCCCTAAGTCACAATTATCTATTAATCACCAAATTTTGGTCCGCATTTCAACGTGATTGAATCTCACAATCATGATGGAAACAAGCGGTTGTCATATCGACTCTGACACAAGATCCATTCCAGCATTATGGATGAGGGCTGGCACTTCCCAAGGGACTTTTTCTTCGTGGGGAGTACCTGCCTAAGTCCACGCAAGAATGGGAACCAATATTACTTGCTATCATGGGGTCCAGGAATGCAGATCCCAGGCAGTTAGATGGCATTGGAGGAGGGACATCTACGACATCCAAAGTTGCCGTGATATCGCGCTCTGAAAGACCTGGAGCCCATTTGGACTATACATTTGTTCAAGTGGATTTTGCCCGAGGCAAACTGGACATGTCAGGGACCTGTGGCAACATGGCTTCTGGTACTGGACTTTTTTTTTGCTCTATACCAAGGCCTCGTGAAGCCCCAGCATCATCAAGATCAAGTAAGTGTAATCATTGGACCTCAATAATTGCCGGATATTCGCTCGGTTTACAAGTCAATATTAACCGAAAGAAGGTCGATGTCAGGGTATATGCCGTCAACACAGGACAAGAGCTTGTGGTTTCTGTCGATTTGAACAAGAGAGGCCAGGAGTACGGTGACCCAAGATCGTACCCAGTAAAGGTCACGTTCCTTGCTCCTGGCGGAACCATGACAGGCCAGCTTTTGCCTGTGAAGGACGCTCAAACGACATTATACTTCGAGTGTCCTCAGACGGGTTCTACTCGAGCAGTCCGGACTACCTTGATAGACTGTGCCAATCCCTTTGTACTGGTCGATTCTCGCTCTCTGCCTGCGGAGTATCATCTGGATGGACCTTCTGGCAAAACAGCCAAAGAAATTATTGAAAGCATTCGATGTGCAGCCATGGTTCGCATGGGCCTCCAGACAGCTGCCTACAGAAAAGCCGGCCGTGTTCGTCGGGGTACTCCCAAGATTGTCCTTTTGACTATGCCCAGCGCAGCAGTCCAGGTCGGCTCTCCCAATGTGCCGGCGAAACTGGTTGACGTGGAGGTTGTGGCATATAGTATGGGAAATCCGCATCCCACGCTTCAACTTACTGGAGCAATCTGTCTCGGAGCCGCTTTGAGTGTTCCCGGGACGGTTGCCTGGGACCTGTTGATCTCAAATCACGGCTATCCATCCCCTTCGAGCGAAGCCGGAAGTGATTTTTTTTATCTCTTACTCCAAACAGTACAAAACGATGGTGTATACAACACCCTACTGGGTTCATTGAGTCCAAGATCACCACATCCCACACTGCTGACGGAAAGCTGTTCATTGAAAGCGGAAGTGTATTTTGCTCGGCCAGGAAGTTATTTGAGGGGACTGTATTCTATTAATGTGTCTAAATTTCGGGAATCCATAAAGTAGAGATTTCATTACGCTACATGCCGTGAATTTCCACATAGACTCGCAGCCAAAATCAGCGATCCACTCAGTGATAACACACATGTATGACGACCGTATCATCGTCAATAGATCGGAAGAAACATTTCAGTCACCTGACATCTGGAGATTTCAAATTTACCGCTAGATTTTTAGCGGCCGCGCCGCCCCTTTGCCTTCCAAGGTTTCCCTTCTCTTTTCCTTGCTTTACTTTTTTGGTGTATCGATTTTTAATATATTTCCTTCGCTATCACTTACGCAAGCGTCGTTGTCTCGCCAAAGTGCCTCTGTGGCGATTCTTGTGTGGCTTCCGAAATCAAACAAAATCGTCTAGATACAAATATATTTTATCGCTATCGTCTCCCACCGGTTTCGCTGAGAAGACCAGGTGGGCAAGATGCTGGACAACTCCCAATTGGGCCTGGGAGATCCAACATTGGGATCTTCTTCGTCATCCAACTCCCAAATTCTCTTCAAAGCGAGTTCTCGGCATTTCTTCTGTAACGACGCAGAGGGATGGGGACCGACGAGCTCGGTGCGATCTGACTTGACTCCATGCTTCCAGGAGATCGGCATCACGTCTGTCGCTGTCTTTGGTCTGAGTTTTGGAGCGGGCACTATTTTCTTGTTGACGAAGAATGCCGCCCAGCCTGTCAAGAAGAATTGGCATTTCTATGCCAAGCTGGTGAGTTGCCGGAAGTTTGATTAGATCGATTGGAGGGTGGATTGAGCCTAACATGGTTGCTTCAACTTCTAGGTGGTTCTTTCTGGGGTGATTGCCACGACCGCGGCTCAAATCGCATTGGAGACTCACGCAGGGGTTGGGATTAGCGACGTTCGCTTTTGGTCTCCTATTCTCGCCTTGATGTCACTTGGCACCATTTTCGCGGTACAATTTCTAGAGCACTGGCGGAGCAAACACCCCAATGGCGTTGTGCTGTTCTATTGGCTTTTGCTGATCATCGCGTACGGAATTAAGCTACAGTCACTGGCAGTTCGAAAAGTCTACGAGAACAATATTGTATACTTCTCTGTTTTCACATCCACCTTGGGCTTGGCTCTGTTGGAGTTTGTTCTCGAGTATTTGGTTCCGAAGAACCAGACTGATTACAATTTAGTTGAAGATGGGTCTCCCTATGAATCTGCAGACATCTTTGCTGTCCTCACATTTTCCTGGCTTACACCATTGATGAAGTATGGGTACAAACACTATCTTACCCAGGATGACCTCTGGGACTTACGACATCAAGACACAACTCATGTCACTGGTAACGAGCTTGCCGAGCAGTGGGAAAAAGAGGTTGCGACTAAGAGAAGTCCATCACTTTGGTTGGCCCTTTTCAAGACATTCCAAGGTCCGTATATTTGGGGAATAATTCTCAAATGCGCCAGTGATATTTTCTCGTTCATTCAGCCGCAACTTCTGAGAGTTCTGATTGCGTTCATTGATTCATACCGAACAGACTCACCAGAGTCACCTATCCGAGGAGTCGCTATTGCACTTTCCATGTTCTTGGTGTCAACCTTACAGAGTGTACTTGTGCACCAACACTTTCAAAGAGCATTTGATACGGGAATGCGCGTGAAATCTTCCCTGACGGCAATTATCTATACCAAAGCGCTGAAGCTCTCGACCGAAGGTCGTTCCTCAAAGACAACTGGCGATATCGTCAACCACATGGCTGTTGATCAACAGCGTATATCCGACCTTGCTTCGTCAGGTGCACAACTCATATCCGGTCCTTTCCAGATTATTCTCTGCCTGATATCCCTCTACCAACTTATTGGTCCGAGCATGTTTGCTGGTGTCGGTGTCATGTTGATCATGATTCCATTGAACAGTGCGATCACTCGGTCAATGAAGAGATTGCAAGTTACGCAGATGCAGACTAAAGATGCAAGAACCCGTCTAATGATTGGTATCATTAACAACATGAAAAGCATTAAGCTCTACGCTTGGGGCAGTGCTTTCATGGCCAAGCTGAATCATATTCGAAACGACCTGGAGTTGAAGAATCTTCGCAAATTCGGCGTCATGCAAGCCTTCGCCTATTTTGCTTGGAACTTGGCACCGTTTCTGGTGTCTTGTGGCACCTTCAGTATTTTTGCCTTAACGAGTGGTCGTCCTCTGACTACAGATATTGTGTTCCCTTCTTTGACACTTTTCAATCTACTTGCTTTCCCACTAGCCGTATTACCAATGACTATTACGGCCACCGTCGAGGCCGGTGTCGCTGTCAAACGTCTTACCGGCTACTTGACTGCAGAGGAATTGCAATCTGATTCTGTTGATTTCAAAAAAATTGTCGAGGTTCCTGGCGATGAATCGCTTCGGATTTCTGGCGGTTCTTTCACTTGGAACAGATACCAAGGGGCCGAAGCGCAAGTTCTGAAGGACATCTACTTCAAGGCCAGGAAAGGAGAGCTTACCTGTATTGTTGGCCGAGTCGGTTCTGGGAAATCGTCTTTGCTACAAGCCTTCCTCGGTGATCTCTGGAAAGCATCTGGTCAGGTCACTGTTCGTGGACAGATTGCTTACGTTGCACAGACGCCCTGGGTGATGAACACCACGGTCAAGGAAAACATTGTCTTTGGTCACCGATGGGACCCCGATTTCTATAACCTCACCCTAGAAGCCTGCGCGCTGCAGGATGACCTTAAAGCCTTGCCGGATGGTGATAAGACCGAAGTTGGTGAACAGGGAATCTCATTATCAGGGGGTCAAAAGGCTCGTTTGACCCTCGCCCGTGCCGTCTATGCTCGAGCAGACGTTTATCTTCTCGATGATATTCTCTCGGCGGTTGATCAGCATGTTGGGCGACACCTCATCAATCGTGTGCTTGGAAAAGATGGTATTCTCAAAACGAAAACTCGTGTGCTCGCAACAAACACTCTCAATGTCTTGAAGGAAGCGGACTTCGTGACACTGGTTGCAAATAAAACGCTCATAGAGAGTGGTACATATCCGCAACTTTTGGCTGTGGATGGAGAGGTTGCGAAACTTCTTAGAACTGGTACGAACCACGAGAACAAAAAAACTGACAGTGGCTCCAACACTCCTGCTAGTAGCAATAAGACTGATCCTGAATCTTTGGATGCTGAGGGGTCAGTTCCTACTCCGTTCCCTATTGCTTCGTGTGCCGCCACCCGGCGAACAAGTACTGTTACTCTCCGCCGTGCCAGCATAGCGACATGGCGAGGCCCCACCCGCAATCTTGTAGACGAAGAGAACGGCAAACTGAAGACCAAAAAAATAGAAGAGGTTTCTGCTAAAGGGAAAGTCAAATGGGCTGTGTACTGGGAGTATGCCAAGGAAAGCACTATAATTGGTGTCCTGGTCTATTTCATCTCTATTCTGGCTGTGCAAACCGGACAGGTTGGCAGTAGCTTCTGGCTGAAGAAATGGTCTGAGAGCGGTGATAGTAAGGGTTCTCCCAGTGTTGGTTACTTCATTGAGATCTACTTCGCACTTGGAATGGGGTCTGCTGCGTTGGTCATTGTGCAAAACTTAGTCTTATGGATCTTCTGCGCCATTGAGGTAAATCTTCGCTTATTCTTTGTCTTTGCCACTTGGGAGGCAGCATGATTGAATGCTAATTCTGCGCTTAGGCTTCACGGAAGCTGCATCAACGTATGGCCATTTCCATCTTCCGCTCGCCCATGAGCTTCTTTGAGACTACAACTTCGGGGCAAATTCTCAACCGCTTTTCCAGGTATCACATACATGATTGGTTCTTCCTTTGTTTTTTGTTTTCGGAAATTCTAAGCATTTCTTTAGTGATATCTATCGCCTTGATGAGGTCCTTGCCCGCGCCTTTAATACTGTACGTACCTTTCCACCAGTCCCCAAATAAGTACTGCCTATTAATCTTCGACGCAGTTGTTCAACAACCTGAGCAGACTATTGTTCACAACAATTGTCATCTCAATTTCAACGCCTGCATTCCTTCTTTTTGTTGTTCCCTTGAGCTGGGTCTATAATATGTACCAGAAGTATTACTTGCGGACCTCGCGCGAGTTGAAACGACTGGACAGTGTCACCAAAAGCCCTATATTCGCACACTTCCAGGAGACTCTCAACGGTGCCTCAACAATTAGGGCTTACAGGCAACAAAATAAGTTCTCCCTGGAGAATGAATGGTATATGGATGCAAACCTACGCGCCTACTTCGCATCAATCTCCGCCAATCGATGGCTGGGGGTCCGTCTTGAATTTATTGGGTCGATAGTCATTCTGGCGGCCGCCGGGCTATCCATTATCAATGTTACAACTATCACCAACTCTCCCCTGTCTGCCAGTATGGTCGGTCTTGCAATGTCTTACGCTCTTCAAATCACCCAATTCTTGAACTCGCTTGTGCGTCAAACCGTGGAAGTTGAGACAAACATTATCTCTGTGAGCGTGTACTCGAGTATGCCAACCTCCCCAGCGAAGCACCCGAAGTCATCGAGAGCAAACGTCCAGCTAGCAGCTGGCCAGCAGATGGGGCCGTCTCTTTTGAGGACTTCAGCACCCGATACCGCGAGGGTCTTGACCTAGTATTGAAGGGCATCAACCTCGAGATCAAGCCACATGAGAAAATAGGCGTGGTAGGCCGGACAGGTGCAGGCAAGAGCTCACTCACATTAGCCCTATTCCGCTTAATTGAGCCCGCTGGTGGTAAAATTAGGTAAGAATTGACTCGTGTCAATGGTTGTGCCATTCTGAGATTCTCTTCTGACGAGTTTCAGCATCGACGGATTGGACGTTTCTACGATTGGCCTTCAAGATTTGCGAAGTCGCTTGGCTATAATTCCCCAAGACTCTGCCGTCTTCCAAGGCACAGTCCGCGACAACATTGACCCCCATAATGTCCATGATGATACCGACCTTTGGCGTGTGTTAGGTGAGCACTAACCATAATGCTACTGCATGAATCATCGTTCATTTATTAACCTTCGTGACCCAGAATACTCTCGCCTTAAGGAGTACATCTCACAGTTGGATGGCAAGCTTGATGCGAAAATTGAAGAGGGAGGTAAGTGGCACACAGTTTGCCACATCCTATTGACTTTCAGATAGTACTGACAAATAAATTAAAAGGGTCAAATCTGAGCCAAGGCCAGCGCCAGCTCCTATCTCTTGCCCGGGCACTATTGACATCTAGTAATATTCTTATTCTCGACGAAGCCACGGTAAGCTCACCCTACGCGAACTCACACACTTCAACCGATATTAATTATCTCCGAATTAGGCCGCTGTCGACGTGGAAACCGATGCTGCTCTCCAACAAACACTCCGTAGCGACCTTTTCAAGAACCGCACCATCATCACAATTGCTCACCGGATAAACACCATCATTGATTCGGATCGAATCCTCGTTCTCGATAAAGGTGAAGTGGTTGAATTTGATACTCCTGCGAAACTGCTAGGTGATCGCGCTGAATTTTACGAGTTGGTCAAAGAGGCCGGTTTGCTGGACGATAGGCCCTCGCTTCTGCAGTGATGTCCCTTGGTTTGATATGGCTGGCTTGATATAGACAGTTGATAGATGAATATGTTCACTGGGTAGGATACAGATGTCTAGTTGTATATATCATGGATAGAGCCATGCTCATTGTACTAGCACTTGATTTTGATTGTAATAGTAACATTGATTGAATTTCGGTTTATCTTTGAGATAAGATGGGTGATCAAATGTGGAGAGCTCTTTTAGTTATGGAGGTTTTGGTTCTAGTAAATTGATACACTGGCAGCCACGGTACAAATACGGACTCAACAAGTTTCACCTTTTGTCCTATCGTATCAAATAAATACCAATTATAAAATTAGCCAGCATACAAAATGTTTGGACTTTATAGGAGGCTATGAGGAAAGAGTCCGACTTGACTCCAGACTTGATATCAAAGCGATGACCCATCTACCTATGTGAGTATGATGGGGGAAAGATCATGTAAATTGCCATGACGCCGGGATCGTGTAGTATTAAGGAATATGGCCAAACAATGAAAAAGCTAATGAGTCTGAAAATGATGGGATATGTGTGCTTGTGTGCAAGCTAGAAGCAACTTAAAACATCAGCATATATCTTGGCTCCCCTCCTCTTTCCCATAATATGTGAATGGGTGCCGAATAGAATTTTACTTTAAGGGAAGACCCTACATTTGCGACGCTCAGGAGATCTGGTCTGGTTTATTTCATACCCAAAGATTCAACTACAATTGCAGTCTCTTGTTACTGAAAACCTCGCTGCCACTAGGCAAAACGCTGTCGGATGGAGTGGCTTTCAGGAAAAACTTGCCCGGAGATTTGGGAGTCCGACTAAAGATAGCGCTTTGATTTTGTTATGGAATTCAGGGGAAATGATGCGCAGGAACTATAGATCAGCTGCAGGCCAATCATTAGCCTAAAGAGGAAGTAGATGTCATTCAGTGAAAACACCATGATCGCAGTATCTCAACCAACTGAGTCTCTTGCATTCCTATCTAGGTGCTCATCTAACTAAAGGATTCAGGAACTGAATTGATCGTCAGATTCTCCGCACCACAAAGTCGGGAGGATTATAATGTTTTTGTAACAGATTTAATTAGCACGATCCTACTGCTCAAAATTTTACACCTCCCTTCTACAGGTTGAGCAGAAGTGATGCTTTTAGTAGTTAGGCTGACCGTTGGGAGAGGAATTTCCCATGGGAAATCGGTATGGGATTCCGATGGGATTCCCTGAAAATCGGGACGATTTGTTTGAAATTTTTGGGAAAGGGAATATCCCATCTCGTGCCAAAATTAGGGAGGGATTGTTTCAGAATATTTAAAATGTAGGAGGAAAATTTCCATATTCCTATTCTCTAAAAAGATTCCCATCCCATGGGACTCCATGATGCAAACATGATGAGAATTTTTAGGGTATATGGGAATGGGAATAGACTGGCCGTCGGGACGCGTTCGGAAGCCCCGCGCAGAGCACGCCTTTAACTACACCAAATACAACCGCCCGCGTGTGTATGTACAGTTCGGTTGCAGGAGAAACACAATGCTCTAGTTAAAGCTATTCGCACTACTGGAGATTTTCAACTGTAGCTTATGGAGAGATGGTTGTGCCACGAGGAGAACAGTACGAACCAAAACAATTACTTCTGGATTAGCCCAGCGGATCGGATAAAGCATTTTAACGCTCAGCATGAGACCTGGGTCAACACGATATCACTAGGAGAGGCAACACTACTAAGCCCCTTGCATTTATTAGTGTTATATTTCCACGGCTAGCAAGGCGCAATATCGCGATTATCTCAACAACTAATTAAGCACTCGGCGGCACAGGAGAACTGTATAAGTATGGACCGAATGATTAAGATGCAGCAACAGATGCAGGGATATTTAATGCAAAGCCGTATAATGGAATAATGGAGCTAATACAGAAGAAACAGAAGCGACAAGAGCACTGAATTAAGCAGGGCAATTTCAGCGAAAACAGCAAGAGAGAGCGAGATCGAGAGCTTATATTAAATTCTCTATACTATAAAACTTCTATAGAGCCTTATACAATACCTCCGTTTCCCTACAGCCCTGCTGCCTCTATACAGACTATCCCTGCAACTTCCGGTAACGCCTACACCGTTGAATCAAAATTCTAGCCCGATTGATATAAATAAAGCTAATGGTGATATCCTACATTAATTTTTTTGAGTGGAAGGTAATAAATACACGGATTGCTAAGCGGAGAGCTAAGGGGGATCGCGCACGCGATACTATAATATTATAACTGGTTGATAAAGGATCTTCGGGCTACGGAAAATGGTGTTAGAGCGACGTATAATCGTGCAAATAAAGCAGGCATCTTTAATAAGCTTGTACGAGGATTTAAGGATAAGATACTGTCCTTAAAATTTGTGTACAGGTAAGGACTTTAAAAATCCGGATACGTTGGCTGCTCATACCCTGCGAGAAATAAGTACTATTCATAGTTAAGTACACCTGTAAGAGATGCCTCTAGGGCCTTTCGCGTCTCCAACGACTCTATATAGTGTGTAAATTAAATAAACTCCTTTTTTATATAAACACCCCGGCCGTCAGAATACCTAAATGCTGCCACGCGAAGCGATCACAGCGACTCCCCCAAATTGCAACTTCCAGGAACTCTCCGAACAATCCACAGGCCTGCTGCAAGAATGCCCAGTTTAGCTTTCTCCAGGCCTTTAACACCGAGAATGTCAGCCCAATTGGGTTATAATCTGGTGAATAGGGGGGTAGAAACCGTATTAAACAACCTGCTACCTCAACTGTTTTAATAACACGCTCGCTAATATATATAGACACGTTATCAAGTGCTACAAACATTAACGTAATCGGACACCGAGTGTCAGCGGACACCAAGTGTCAAGCATTTTCAGGCACACAGCCCCTCCGCCAGTATTACCACCAACCACCATGAATAAATATGAAATTAAGAGATAGTAATGAAGCTAGAGCTATTTACTTGGACATTTTAACCGGTTATGGCCAATTTGGCCACAGTTACTACATTTTTGGGGCCTTTATTGTCTCTGGGATATCTCCTCCTTCTGCTGCTCCTTAATTTGCTGTTGGGCTTTAAAGCCAGTAAGACTACCCCCATTTTGAATAAACTTTTTATATGGCTTTTTCTTCTTTGGCTTCTCCTGTTTCTCCTGCTTCTCCTGTGCTGCATAGAACTGATGTAGTTGGTGTTTAACTAAAATGCCTTCCTGCATATTCTTCTCTGCACCTTTAATCACCTTATCAACTGCCTGGATTATTATGGAGGGAGATATATTGCTTTTTTTTGTCCGGAGATATTAAATGCGCTTCTTCTGCTGCTCAAGCTGGTAGATATCCCCAGGTGTCTTCCCTGGGCCAAATGATTTATTGCTATAAGCAGAAGATGGAGGTGTTGGTATTTTAAACTTAATAAAAAGCTTTGAGAGCACTTTCTTTGGGTCCAAAGGGATTAGACCAGTTGCTCTAAATCCACTTTGGATATTAGATGGTAATAATGCACGTTGATGGGCTGTAGGGTAGAGAGATAAAAAATTGTTCTTGTTAATTAAATAAATTCCTCCATGCATTATCTCCGCAACACTTTTTCTATATGCTATTTTTAGTGGAGAGAAGCAGCTTATATCAAGTGGTTGTAAAAGATGTGAAGAATGCAGTGGTAAATATAAAAAAACTATCTTTCTGTCTGTATAGAATTTATCAAATTTCGCAGTTGCATGACTTGAATAGCTATTAAGGATTAATATCTAGTATTAACCCTTAGTTTTTGAAGCAGTATGCTTATTAAATACTTCCTAAAGCTAACTAAAGCCCAGCTTATTTGTTGTCCATCCATTCTCACTCATACTGATCCGATATTCTTGTGGAATTATAGAATACCACTGGGATTGATGCTTCTTTCCGGCAAGAATAATCTAAGTAGGTAAGGCCCATCCAGTTAAATTAACTGCAACAATAGAAGTTGCCCACTCACGATTCCCTGGTTGTAGATCTTTTGCTCGACCTTGTCTTATTTCTAAGCCACAGATAACCTTTGCAGTTGATGTAACACCCATCTGGAAGCCAGTCTTATCCATATTGTAGATATCTTCATCCAAAATCCCATACTTTGTCTTGGTATTGTGAAAGAGTTTAAACCAGTTATAAATAAGCTCTGGATCTTCACATTTTGCGCGCTGATAGTCGTACTTCCGATTATATTTGCACCGTAGCTCTGGTCGACGCTTTACAAACCGGTTTACCTACTTCTCACTAAGGGGTGTCGGAGATAAGGAGGATGATAGCCGCGCAGAGAGTAATAATCCTGCTAGATACTGGACAGTCGCAATCCGAGGAGGTAGACCACGTTGATATGTATCAAGAATCCATGCTGAAAGAGTAGATTCTTCGGTAACTAATAGCTTTCTGCAGTTTGCAATTCTATCAGCACGTGCAGGGACTCCTTTAACTCTTCTATAGAGGGTTCGGTAATTGACATCAAATGCAGCAGCAGCCTTTGGGATAGAGATATAATGACCCTTTTTTAATGTATTAAGGGCTAGAATAATTCGCTCTTCTTTAGAAATATCCACCATTTTGATGATATGGATGGACAGGGGACAGTGGTGGTGGTGGTGGTGGTTAGGTGGAATTACCCCTGACGCTCGGTGTCCGCTGACACTCGGTGTCCGATTACGTTAGTTGTTGTTTCTCACGCAGTGCGGGGATCAGGCGAACCTGAAGCTATTCAAAAAGTTGTCGCTATTAAAACAACCTGGTTTAATGCCCGTACAGGATAACCAGCTATTAAATGTCATCGTGCTGCAGGTACTCCACGTATTACCTTGCTGGATATCTGCAGAGTATCTAGCTTTATCGCCTATCAGGGCGTAGCCGTGATGCCTCCAACCGGTTTTCTCATTAAATATTAATTCGTCAAGGAATACTAACTCCTCTGCCGTAAAGCAGTGGATATCGTCAGGATACGAGCACAGCAGGGCATTACTACGGTTTCTAGAGATTCAGTGCCTTTGTTGACTAGTTACGGCGCCGTAGGGTTCTTGAAACCGTGGGTGTTCGACGTCAGCGACTGTGTCGCGGTCATCACCGGCGGTGGAACCGGAATGGGGTTGATGATGGCGAAAGCGCTGGAAGCCAACGGTGCCAAAGTCTTCATTCTCGGACGACGGCTGGAAGTCCCCCAAGAGGCAGCCAAGCAATCAGTGAGTCCTCTTCTACAACCGTGAACATACGACCAAATCGCCGTGTGTGTACGTTTGCCCTCTCACCGATGCGCCTCTCATATCATCCAGACATTCGGCAATATCTGCCCCGTGCAATGAAACATCACCTCCAAGGACGACCTCCAAAATGCGGTCGATTACAGCGCCAACGAGGACGGCTACGTAAACCTTCTCGTGAATAACGCGGGGATTGCGACGCCGAATCTCGGGCCGCACGCCTCACGCCGCAATGCAAAGCGGGACGTCTCCGCGGTGCGGAAGTACTGGTTCGACAAGTCGTTTGCGGACTACGCCAAGGTACTGGAGGCGAATACGATCGCACCCCTGCAAGTGTCGTTTGCGTTCCTGGAGCTTCTGGACCAAGGGAACAAGGTGCGCGCCGATCAGGCCGAAAAGGCGAAAGGGAGGAAGGACTACGTGCGCAGCCAGGCGGTGATGCTCAGCAGTGTCGGTGGTTTCGGACGAGACAATTCGGCGTTTATCTACGGAGCCAGCAAGGCAGGGACGACGCAGATGACCAAGAACCTGTCGACGTATCTGATTCCGTGGAAGGTCAGAGCGAACGTCATTGCGCCCGGATGTGAGCACTTCTCCGGTTTTTTTTTTTTTTTTTTTTGGGTGGGGGGGAATTGTGTATCCTTGATCTATCCGTGGAAGGCTAACTGGAACGTGCAGATTTCCATACAGAGAAGACGGAAGACTTCTACAAGAGCACTGGGGGAAAACTGCCTGCTTCCATGGCACCGGAGGAGCGATTTGGTGACATCCAGGAGATTGGAGGAACGATCCTCTACCTGGCTTCGAAAGCGGGGGCGTACTGCAACGGCTCTGTGATGTTGGCTGACGGCGGATATTTGGGTAATCATCCCAGCGCCTATTGATTTGCATTTGGTGCTTGGTAGGAGTTCGAGCATGAGATCCCGAACGAGCATCAATACGGACTCCATCATTTTGGATACGTAGATCACCCATGGACGTAGTCGGATGAGAACGGTATTATGAAGATGAGGCAACAAGCCGATGGAGAGATTTTTTTGAATTCAGTCTCCCTATTGTGTCATATAATCTCAGCTCTATTATCTAGGGGGACCCATAACCAGTTTAGAAATGGACCTGGACGCTGGAGAACACAACCCAAGTTCTACCCTCAGCGTATCACGGATTCGACGGGTTTGGAAATATCAGAGGACGCGGATTTCCCAAGAAATCGCTTGGCGCAAATCTCCATACACCAGGGTATCGCCAGCCCACAGTCCATTTAATCAACTGCCGGGCAAGATTTCCGAGAAAGGGGGGCGTCGCTTTGCCGTCCAGCCGGAACGTAGTGTCTTCACATGTAAGCGTGAAGGGAATGTCCCTGGATAAAATGCAATCAATCAGCATGACTTCTCCACCATGGCACAAGTTCCCCGCGGTGAACAACATTGTCCGGCTATCGAACCGCTACGTACTTGAAAATGTTATGGGGTTCGCCCGATGAGCCCCTCTTGGCCATGCCGAACACCCCCTTAAGGGCCTTGCTGTCCACTACATGGAGGTCCAACAGCGTCGCGATCTCGTGGTGCAGGTGCTCCTGGACCAACGGGCCGAGACTCTCGAGAAGCGATTTCAGCTCCATACCACTGTAGGCCTTCGGGTCCGTGTCGAAAATATAATCCCGGAAATTCTGCAGTTCCGTCTCGAAGTGCTTGTGCTCCTGCACGTTGACTGCCATCACGTCGGGATTGCCGGTTACTTTGCTGAACGCCGGAAACAGGGACTCTTCTTCCAGGTTATGGTGACTTTTCAGCATGGAGTAAAGGCACTGGTTGAAGAGGAGGAAGTCTCGCGTCTCGGGGGTGTCCGGGCGTATCGACAAACACTGGTTATACGAGGCGTTGAGGGCGCGGAGGAGCAAATTGTGGATGTGCGCCATCATGCGAGCCAGCTCGTAGGCATAATGGTCTCGTGGGACTTCTGGGCGGGCATTTATGCCGGTGTCCGTGATGAGAGCGAACGGAGCGTTCGTCCACAGTTGCTGTCCTCGTCTGGACTGTATTTGCAGGGGGCTGGACATGGAGAGCTGGTGGCAAAGGGGGCGTAGTTGAAGGCTGAGCGGACTTAACGTTACCTGGAGCGGGCTGTCACCAACCGGCGTGTGGTGGCAATGCGAGAGACGTGAATTGTGCGCGGTGCAAGCATCCCCAGCAACTGGCAGGAAAAGCACCGGTCACATAAAGAAGGACCGCAGTTGGCATGCTACGGTGCTTTGCTCCCATGCAGTTTTCAAAAGCAATATATATATATATTCTTTGGATCTTCCGGGTGGGGCTGCGACTTTGATGTCCTCTCGGGCCCGAAGCCATTGATGACTCCCGAAGGTCCGAATCCAGCTCCGGGTCGGTGCTGAAGCTCTAGCCACATATGCACTGTCTCTTCGACTAAAAGTCCCACGATAGACTATTGGGATTTCTCCGAGATAATCAATACCGCCTACTAGTTTGTAGGGGAGGGGGGGGGGGGTTGTAGACGCGTCTGTCTAGGGCTTATGTATATATTTTGTCTCGTTTCGGGAAGTGCACTGGAGAAAAATAGCACCTAGAAACCCATGGGCTGTAGCTATATCAGGTCGTATTTTATATTGACAGACATCAATTAAAATCGTTCATTACATTATAACTAGCTATAGACAGGCACACAGTATTTGGAAATCAAATGTAGAGTCATATGATAAACAGGCTACGATGCTGGTATCCATCCGGCCGATCCCTTTCTTCTTCTTTTTATGATCCAGACGAGCTATTTCTTTCCCTCCCTTCTTTGGCCCGCGAAACGTCCCAGAATCGTCTATAGAAATAAATCGCCGTTCCTTGAAACTTTGAAACAACCATTAGTTCCCCACCGCTCATTTCTTTAGTAACTAAAATGTCCCTTTATTTGAGACTGCCACCCAAATGCGATACCATTCATTCAGGCATCATCTTTAGAATTGGGCTGATGCTCTTCCTTCACCTGTTCCCGCTTTTGCTTAACCGATCGCCACTCCATACCAAGGGCGGGCAAAATGATTAGGCAGGACACGGCGAGCACGACGATGAACGCCCTCCGTAAGCCCTTATTATAAATTTCTAACACCTGCGTTAACTTGTCTGCAGGAATAACCTTGGACAACTCTGCAGCACCCGTGGCCAGAACTTTCTCCGTATCCAGACCAGGAATCGCGGCGAGGTTCGCCCGAATGTAGTTAGTAAACAGTGCCTGGCTAATGCAGTTGAATATCGAGCCCCCTAGTGATTGCATAAAGAACATGATGGACACGCCGGTGGAGACGTCTTTCCACTGCAGCACTGTCTGAGAGGCGATGCTGGGTTGTTGCATTCCGACACCAAGTCCCAGGCCATACAGGACCTGGTACCCAATCCACTTGGAATGACCAGTGGATGGTGTAAAGGTGGTGATCAAGCCTGACCCAATAGACGTTAGCACGTTCGAGAGGTACATAAAGGGAACGTAGTATCCCATCCGGGAAATCATGGCGCCAGATAAAATAGACCCCACCACAAGGGACAGCACGACGGGAATGGTGTTAATGCCGGCATGGACCGCCGTGGTTCCCTTGGTGGCCTGAAACCATAATGCCAGCGTGTAGAGCATGGAAATCATGCCTCCTCCGATGCATAGTGCGAAAATCGCGCCAAAAAAGACGCTTTGTTGGCGGATAATGCGCGGTGGAATAGTCGCATCTTCCTGCCGCCAGACCTGGGTGATTGCGAACGCAATAATAAGAACACCAGCCACCACGAACAGCGCGATAATCCGGCTGCTTTGCCAGGGATAGTAATTACCGCCCCACTGGAGAGCGAGGAGGAAACAGATGATTCCCGGCAAGAACACAAGGGTGCCCAAAGGATCGAGACGGATCAACTGACAAGACAACGTATCAGAGTTCGTGACTTGGGGAACACAGAGGAAGAAGGCGAGAATCGCGAGGGTAAACCCGCCAATGGGAAGACTAGATAAAAAGGTTAGCTATGGAAATATTCGCTTAATAGACAAGAGAGGCTCTGGGGACTAGAAATGCATACTTAATATAGAAACACCATCTCCAGGTTACTCTATCTGTGAATGCACCTCCCACGAGGGGCCCAGCGATTGAGGCAATGCCAAAGGTCGAGCCCATAAAGCCGATATACATGGGTCGTTTCTGAAGAGGAATAATCTGGGTGATAATGACAGTTGCACCCGAGAAAATCCCCGCCGATCCACTCCCTGCAATTGCACGGCCGACAATAAACGCATTAGAGTTGGGAGCTCCACCGCAAAGCGCAGAGCCAACCTCGAAAATAACGACTGCAATAATGAAAATGAGCTTGGTGTTGTAGAAAGTATAGATGCGCCCCCACAGCAGTTGAGTGGCAGCGCTGGTGATCAAGTAGGCGCCCGCGTACCAGCCAATGTCGTTCAAGGCGTGGAACTGATTTGCGATGCGCGGAACAGCGGTTGCAATAATTGTACGGTCCTAGGTAAAGGTGTCTGTCAGCAATGATTGTTCCAGGCTCTAGGAACAGCACTATTTGGCAATGGATTGGCGCTAGGTACCAGAGCAACAAGGAACATGGCCAAGAGAATTGCCGTCATGATCAATGCCAGACGAGATCCTGAAGCGTGGTTATCCTCATTTTGGGTGACTTTCTCTACAGAGGTCTCCTGGGACTTCTCGCCATCGGAGGCCTTCGTGGACGGATTTACTTCCGCAACTGGTGGTGTGTCGGTGCTCGAGGTCATCTTGGCGGTGGACAAAATTCTGACGCGACAGAACCACAAAGATGATTGTGTGAAGAGAAGGTGGTGTGAAGGTATGAATTGAATAATAATAATTATATACTAAAGCGGGGCCACCTTCGGGCTCCTTCGGACCTATCGCGTTTTCGGGACCGAGGATCTATTTCGGGACCGAAGAGCACTTTGGATTCCAGCCCTCCACACCAAACCCTTTTTCCGCAACTAATAGAAGTTCAATAAGATTCGTTTCGAGTGACTTTGAAGATAGGTTAACATCAAGATCTAGCTCTACACCGACCACTTTTTCAAAGAATATTAATGACCGCTTTTACAAAAGCACATACATCACTTCGATCGGAACGAAAATCAGATCGTCTTGTATCAACTCAACCTCTTATCATTGGCCTATGCGACCCACTATGAGTAGGCAAGCTCATGGCATACAGGCAGTACAAGAAACCTCAGCAGTCGCCGTTAAGCCGAAGAAGACAAAGCTAGCAGGCTGCAGAGCCAAGCATGTCAGCTTTCAATGCTACAACAATTGCCTCTTCTGCAGGGGCATACATTCCGAATATATTTCTGACAATACCCCTTATATCCACGCTTGCTTTTATAAATGCCATTTGATACAATTTCTATTACAGAAGATTGCAAAATCAACTTCACACCCTGGACATTCATTGCTTTACTTCAAAGATAATGCCAAGAGGACCTAGACTATATATAGATTAGTCTCGGAAGAATATTGATCCGGAACGTATACGTTCAGTACGATTCAATGGCATTACCAAGTTTATTTACAATACTGGTAAGTTAAAGGATTGAGGGGTAGAATGGATCGTTAGATATTTCCGCACCGCCAAGTCGGGTGGATTATAGTGTTTCCGTAACAGTATAGATCAATAAATATCCTGTTAATCTTTCTTTTTCTCAACTTCACCCGCACCCTTTTGGTTGTCAATTATGCGTGCCACGATCACATGCATTGAGGTTGTCAAGTACATATCTAATCAGAATTTAACTCTCCTTCCAAAAGACCTATTTGCATCTCCAAACAGCGAGCCTGGCCCAGCCCCCTTTTTTGGTCCACGTCGAGCGACTGTACATGAACAACCTTTTGTTGACTGAGACATACGACTCAAAGGCTGGAAAGTCATCGACCGTGCCTATAAACTCGACAAACTTGTGCTCACGGTCAACAGTCAATGTCCCTCTCAGATCAATATCTGGTGAACCAGTGACTAGAGGATTGTTTCGCGCAGCTTTAAATTCAAGGACGCCTTGCTGGAAGTACCGTTTAACACTTTGAAAGCCATAGTATCATTATTTTGTTTCTTTCTTTCCTCCACATCGCCATCTTCACAATCAACCTCTATAGTTTCGTCGCAATAGCGCCGCTGTGACCACCGGTAGCCATTAGGCCTGACCCATACCCAAACCTGAGATTGCATTCTCGATGATGCGCCACTGGCGTTACTGAAGCCACGTTGATCAGTCAGAAAGCAGTCGCCAGTAATAGGAATTCCGTCGATCATAGTCCTGTTGCTATCTTTGGGATAGGGTCTGGTGACCTTGTCAACATTTAATGGAATAAAGGCTTTGACCCAAAAGGAGACTGCGATGTCGTTGTTCACGTCCTCTTCCCCAGTCAACGGAACCCTCAGTAGGTTCCAGGATTTTTTGCCTGGCCAACCATCAGCGTCCGCACCATTATAGCCAAGCTTCTCCTGCCAGCACTTGTATGAAGCCTGGTTGGCGTCAGTCCAATTTGGTCCAGGACCTAAATTATACTCGTTGCATCCTTCATCTACCAGTCTCATGCACAAACCTACTATGCCACTGAGTGACCGATTGGTCCTGAGAGGCATTGCGTGAGGTTCGCAATTGACAAGATCCTAGGCAAGAGCTGAGTCGAGGATTGAGGGGACAAGAACTAGGGCGATCATCTGAGGCTAATAAGAGGACAAAAGATTGGCCTTGGATATACTCGACGGAGAATACAGCTTAAACCATTGGACAAAACTGATATCTCTTGGCTAAAACGATAAACTCCACGCTATAGTGGTAGAGAGAATTTATAGCTAACTAACTCCTAAGAGAAAGTAATGTTTACTGGTCAAGTGAGATGAGGTTGAAATCTTTCAGCTTATGTAGATGCGGAATTGGATGATTCATTGGATATTTACTTATTCCGTGATTGCACCTTCCTTGCAAGTGACGTCGCTATCGGTGGGACCACTTCTATCAAGAAGTCAATGGGATAGCGATTTGGTGATCTGTCGTATGCGCTGGGTAGCCGATCCAATCAGCTTCTTCTAGATGGTAAACTGGTAGACGGTAGTTCAACAAGTTGGACACTTAACATGGTTGTCAAGACGGTTGTGCAATTTGCGATTGAAACAGGGAGGCTGTAGATAGGATAGCGGAATCAATCCAGAAGGGACCAGAAGGGAAAAATAGAGGGGAAAAAAAAGTGAACTTATTATAAGGAAGTAATCGAGCTAGACATTTATTATATCTGACCATAGTAATATAGACATGTAGATATTACTACCTAGGGGGTTACATGCAGCCTATGGTCATGAATAGCCAAAGGAATAAATCAAATCAAATCAAACCCCACTTTCCTCGCCTCATCCCAAACCTGATCCTGCTGTAAATACTGGCCCATAGTGAAAAACCGTCGACAATCCGCAGGTTCATATACAAACTGCAACGGCAACTGATCATCACCTTTTATAAACATATTCTCGATATTCAGATTCGCACTCCGCACCAACGACCACTCCGCGGCCGGAACAGCTGTTACAGTATGATTGTACCGACTCAGCTCATTAGGGGACAGTTTTGGAGTCCCATCCCTGGAGGCATTCACGGCTGTTTGGTATCCTGCTGCGGCCAGGTCTAAATGCAGAACTAGAGGGTGGTTAGACCCACCACGAACAGCACCAATGGCTTGCATGGTTGAATGTTTGGGTCGACCACCGAAAGCCATAGTTGGGGTGTGTTGGCTTCTCATTAGGGTGGCAAATATAGCACATGCGGAACCACATACTCCGTCTGTTATCTTTTTTATTCTACCTTTAGTATATGGTTAAGTAGAAGGAAAGAGGAACTTACAATGAGGATGTCCTTTGCTGGAAAAAAAGAGCTCGTGGGGTTTAGTGGTATAGGCCCGAAGCCACTAATAGGGAAGTTCTCATCGGATGCAGCGGTAAAATTTGTTATTGCCCGGAGACTAGTTGAATACATCCCCATTGTCTTGTGTGTACCGTAGAGATCCTTCCAGGAAGAGAATCCTGTCTTCTGATCTGGTTTTACAGCCTCATCAACTGATTGGAGACCGAAGTTGTCTAGGCGCTGTTCTTGTTCTGCGTCATTAAGAGCCTTGGTAATGAGGTTAAGTCCATCATGTGCGCGGTATCGAGCAGCAGTGTATACAGGTGCAGTAGGGAAGAAGATCCGGAAAAGGTCAATAGCTGATTGAAGAAACCCCCCACCATTACTAGATAGGTCAATAATAATTTTCCTTTTATGAAGTGCAGAAGCATTGGAGATAAATGCTTTCGCGATATCCGAGAATTCAACCGGATTGTCTGGTTTAAAAGTCGGGACGACCAGAACCGCTGTATCGTTGGATAATTTAGGGAAATAGCCTGATATATGGTAGGAGGAATTTACGAAGGGGGTTGGATATGCGGAGAGGGTGTCCTGTGGGAATTTGGGGTCCCGGACTCTCGTAATTGGGGTAAATGCCAGGTCTGTGTCCAGGCAGAGTTTTTCAAAAAGGGATGCGCCATTTCTATAGTTGAATGTATCGGGTGGAGTGATGAATCGGGCGAGGGTGGCCATTTTAAGCGACGTGCCGTTGGTAAAGCGTAGGGTGTGCGATGATCCAGGCCAGAGCAGGTTCTGTGCCCAAGCGCCGGTTTCTTTGGTGGAAGTGTATAGTGAGCGAGGGTGTGAAGGGAAGAGAGAGTTGTATCTATTATAATATTAGGCTGGGCTGATTAAAGCAGGGGAAGGCGTACAAGGCATCGGGATCCCGAGCACTAGATAGGGGATAGAAAAATCCCGACGCAAGCTTCTCAAGATAGCCTTCCACATCGATCCCATCGATAGATTCCACGGGGGAGACATTCTTCTCCCCTTTATGCTGCAATTCAGCGTCGTCTTGACCATATTAGTAAAATAAATTCTATCGTGAACTGGAACATACGCCATGTATACACTCGCGGCAGCTCGATCCCATCCGACGACACGGACACAAGAGCCATGTTATTGGTGAACTGGAAAACAGTAGTCGAACACATATAAATATCCAAGTGGTCATCATGGACAGACAAAATAAGTTTGGTAATATCAGAGTCAAACTCAAACTGGCTACTGTACTCGTTATTTCTGGCCTTGTTCAGGATCCAATCCAGACCAGCCATCAGATCAACTCCGGGAATCGGGTACGTCGAAGGGGGGTCTATAGTTATTAGTTAATATCGTCCGTTGTGGTATTAACACTCACCCTTGAGGATATCAATGGTAGAATGGAATTGTACGTATTTTCTATACTCTTCGATGAAGTTCTCTGCGAGGTCGGACCGGAATGGCATAGACATTAGACATTTATGAACCAGATCACCTGAGAATGTGGGTTGAGCTGGATATCTATTAATGCGCCTGGTTGCGTATAAGATTAGACATGGTCATACTAATATTGGCTTGGATTGCACGAGTATACTGCTGGCCCACTTCAGCACAAGGCTCTTCTGCGTGTGCTGGGCCTGCAAGGGCATTGTTGACGATTAATACAACATATGCTAAAGGTAGAAATATACTTAAATTGGCAAGCATTTTTTATAGACAATTCATATACTTGGGTGGCATAAATTGAGGCTACCGCAGATACATCCTCTGAGACTTAAATATTCAATCCCTTCAGATACTGGTAACCCCGCATGGCCGAGACCTTTCCTTCAGCCTTGTCTATCATTTAATACCTTCATATTTCGGAGTATTACAGCGGCTCAAAGCTCATTAAAAGACCAACTCCGGTCACAGAATACCTTGACATGCATGCTGTGGCTGGTCATAGCCATGTTAGGAGACAGTGTAATGTACTATTCTAGAAAGACTGTTTCTGATGTTTGCAGTGATGTGTTGTTACTTCCCCTGTAAATACAAGATGAAGCTCTATTATCTCCTCTAATTAAGACTTGAGGACTACACGTTGCAGACGCGGACACGGAGAATTTTATATTTTACTTGTCGTCACATTATATACGAAATACAGGCTGCTATACTCGGTAGGGCCGCTGATGGAGATGCTACTGAGTGCCAAGGGGGACAATGGGTTCGAGCTTCCGCGCTAATACTGGTCTAACATGGGTATTCTGCATAGTGGAGTTGTGTCTAGTTAAACATGTACTATTTCAAGTCCAATAGAATGCACGGCCGCCTTCTCCTTTAATTCTCGCGTAAACTCTTCGCCAGCTTATCCAACCCCTGTCCTTTACTCACCATGCGATCCTATCCCCCATGTTAGCATCCGCCTTCCCCTGGGCACAGAACAGCCCACTCACCAATAACCAAGCTGGACACCACTGAGAGACAAATCTCACGGCCAAGCTATTCGGCCCCTTCCATACCAACCCGCCACTGCTACCCAGCACGTTATCCACTATGGACTCAGCAAACTCCTCGGCCGACGCCCCCTTGGGGATTGCCCGACCTGTCGCCCAATTCGAGATAATTTCACGGATTGCTGCGTACCGCGATGTTGGCGGCAGTACCACCTCAGGTACGTTAGTATAAAAGGCTGTTGTAATAATACCGACCATAAGACAAACAACGTCAACACCCAGGGGTGCCAGTTCGAGGCGGAGGGTCTCGGAGAGCTGCACAATAGCAGCCTTGGAAGAGGAGTAGATACCTTTTTCCCCCCAGCCCCACAAGTAATATCGGGCGTCTCACGTTAGCTCAGCACTCCACTCTTCTTCCCCAGCTACCTCAACGTAATGAAAAGAAAGAAAAAGGGATATACCAATCCACGGCATATTCAGCGCCGCCCCCATACTGCTTATATTTATAACCCGCCCTTTTGCCCGCACCAGGAGATCGGCAAATCCCTGGACCAGCCGTAACGGGCCCCAAATATTTGCCTCATAGACATGCTTGGCATGGTCTAGATTCACATCTAGGAGGGGTATAGTATAGCCCATGCCGGCGTTGTTGACTAGAACGTCCAGTCCATGGCCGTGGTCGGTAACAACGCGGACAGCGGCAGCAATAGACGTGGGGTCGGTTACATCCAGCGGCAGCACGTGCACGTTGGAGAGCGAGACCAGTGACTCCAGGATTTTTGAGGTGGAGCGAGCGGTCGCGAAGATATGGTGGCCCTGACGGGCGAGGACAAGGGCCAAGGCGGCACCAATACCGTGGGCAGAGCAGCCAGTAATGAGGATGGTCTTGGGTTGGGAGGACATGGTGGGTGGTTTAATTTGTGGGGGCCTTCTACACTGCAGTGGGGAGCGGGGTTATATAGGGAGGGAGAGGTAGGGGAGAATTAAATGACAGAGGATCAGGTGTCGAACTTCATTCAGCCAAAAAGGTGTATTGTTAACATGTTTCGCCCCCACGACTCTAGGCACGTACATATGTAGCGCCCGGCACAGCCTTAGAATATATCTTGTCAGTATATAGTGCCGGACTAGTTCACGAACGATCTCTTTTATATTATTTTAAATGCGTTCTACAAACCCACAATGGAAAAAATAACACTCCTATCAGCTCCCAAGACGCTCCCATTGGGCTCCGCGCCCGCAGACGAAGTCAGAACCTACATCACCCAACTCCTCGTCAAGAATAATGACGTCCCCGTCGACATTGCTGAGAAATATGCCAGTAAATGGGAAATCGGCCAGTTCTCACAGCTCACGCAAGCCTCGGAGGAGGCCCTCCAGCGTATCTTCGGGGACAATGTCGGTCTGTGTGTCTATATCGCTCTTCAGGAGGCGCTTCGGGAGGACATATCCAAAGTCCTGGATAAAAGACCATCGGCGATTATCAGCAGTTGTATGTGGCTCGCTGTTTTCTTTTCTTTTTCTTTTTTTTTGTTAAAAGTGTATTGGGTAGTTTAAGCTGACCATGTTATCTATCTGCAGATGCCGCCACTGCCTCTACCTTGATTCTGGCGTCCTTCCTATTACTGTTTTTTTTACCAGAATTAGGATTGCAGGCTAAGCGAGGTAACATTATCCTATATTGTCTTTTGGCCCCCGGGATATTTACCAGTTTTGAAGGTTACTGATTCAATTCTCTATAACAGATCGAGTCACGTGGGCTGCGTCCCCGGTCTGGTGGTTACTGTTTGGTGTTTGTGGGATTTTTTATGCCATTAAACACCCATTACATATGGTCAGGGCCGCAATATTTTTCGTTGCAGGAATTGGGGCGGTTACGGTAGGAATTTTGCTTTGGTTTGCATAGAACTAAAAGGACCAAAGGTGGAGTTGCACGAAGGAACCGCAAAACCGCCGCCGAATCCGCAAGTCCGAATGATAAAGTAATGATCTGCATCTTAGATGTCAAATAATATTGCCGTTGGTGGACCAGAATTATGTGACTAGATCGGGGTAAAACCCCCGCGGAGCACACAACAAAATAATCAATCATGAATAACCAAGAAGAATAATCAAGAAGAGCCCAACCAGATCAATTCATTCAAACAAGACCCTTTTACCAATCATACTCTATTTCCTCTTCGGGACTAGACGTATATCTGACATTAGGTGGTTGCCTAATGTGAGAGGTTCACACCCTTGAGTACTTAACCCCTTTTCCTTTTCTTGTATTCTAGAGAGGCGCGAGTAAACCATCTAAGGAAGTATGGTAGTTATCATGGTCTAGGATATTAATATATAGTTCCCTATATTAGGCAACTGGTTGCATGCAGCTGTGCGATGAGCCTACTGCCTCCTCCCCCCCGAGTCACATCACAATTTATACTTGGTTATCGAGTTCGCAAATTTGAATTCTAAGTTAGGTGCAAATTACAGCGCTAGTGACACACGTCATTTGGTTATTTTGTCTACAAGATTCAGATCGCTTGCTCGTTTCGTGACAGTATACGAATTCCGTCAATTTTGTGACCGCCCCACTTGTACCGCTCAGAGAGACAAATTCAAGGGTTGGAATCGGTGCTGACTGTGTTTGCATGCCTTTCCTCCAGGTTTCCTCTGACACCTTACGATTAGTAGAAGTATTGGTAACCGACCCCTGCGCTAGGACCTCCAGGGTCGTTTACAACAATTTTCGGGTGTTCTTGGGGCATGGTGATACCATGGAGGAACCACTAGGTATGGAGCCATGCTTGGCATTCGCCCAGAACACAACCACGAAAGATTCGGGGATCATTTCACTACCCCTCATCACTACAGGGTTCATAAAAGCCAGCATCGGCAGGGCAAAGTCTGGGGCGACAGGCTATCGCTGATCCTTACTATATTTAATAGTTGTCCTAAGTCGGCGGCAGCCGGTCTTACCCAACTTCCGTAACTGATCTCCCGGCCAAGGGGGGGACATTCTCAGCACAAAACACTGGTCATCCCATACCACAAGTGAGAGAGGGAGAATAATGCCAAGAACTTCCAATTATAACTTACTAACTCAAACCTCTCGATCACCGGAGTCGCGGACAAGCTGGTATCTCACTGAATATGTGCAGGTCTTACTGACAAAAAAATACAGAAAACTGCGCTTGTAGGAATCACCAAACCCTTCTGTTATTGTAGTGGTAATTCCGCCCGCCATGCGCCTCCTGCTTTCGTCCTGCCTTCAGTAATCATGTTGCCGTCAGCTTCACGTGGAGACAGTGAATGCCGGACTTGCTGCAAATAAAGCTCCTGAACAGGTTTATGTATTGATAGAGTTGTTTCGCTCGGCCCGCTTCGCTTTCGGCGGCGAAGAAAACATAACCACAACCAGACCACAATAATAATGGCAACTATGGCTGAACCAACACCTATCCCTGCATAAGCACCGTTGGAGAGTCTGGAGGACGCAGGAGATGCTGAAGATATTTGACTTGGAGTAGATGTTGCAGTAGCTGTTGCAGAGGATGAGGATGTAGGCGTAGACTGTGACGATACAGCTGTCGCGAATAACGATTGAGGTAGACGAACTGTTTCTCCTTCAGAAGCATTAGGCTTGATTTTGCAGGCGGATCGCATTGTATCCAAAACTAGAAGAATGCTTATATAAATCAACTGAAGTAAAATCCCAAACAGCCTAGATACTTACAGTTTCCTAGTATAAAGGTTCCCTTCTTGCTTTTCATACAGGATGAGCAGCTTTCAGCATATTTTATAAAAGCACCACTGCTCATCGTGCAATAGTCGTATAGCGGTTTCATCTCTCCGCTACTCGCGTTTATATACCATTTCTCCGAAATCACGGGTGCAAGGGACGAGCAGTCGTCTTCGCACGGCGGCATGAACTTCTGTTTTTGTTTTGAGAATTTATCAAAAAGACAGTAATCAATTGTCCATTTTTGATTAACTGTTGAGTTCGAATTAGTTATTTCGGTGACAACAATGCACGACAATTTTATATGCAATAGAATGAGTAAAAGTGTGACGCACATAAAAACCAGTAGAGGTCATTATCTACCGATGAATTGAATGCAGTGCTTGTACTTTCACACAGTAAGCAATCCTTCATCCTATGTCCTTGCGTGGTTGAGTTGTACAAAGCATCATCACATATCACGTCAGTATCCATTGTGAGGTGGTTCCGTCCGCAGATTGATTCAGATTCGCAGGGAGAGGAGCTGGTGACTTTGATTGCCAGTGTTTTTATCCAGTAACCGGTCCAAATAACTAAAACTGCAATCATTTTCCACATCTTGGATTCAAAATTCCCAGGTCTTGCTCAGACAGGCTTGGAGAAAAGTTTGAGTTAATCGCAAGATAGCAGGAAGAAATCCTCCTCCCGACTGATATAACGAGGCTGAACAAGAAAGGCCAATCACCTCGCAGAGTTACCAGCCTTGGCATTTGTATACAGCCCACTCAAGGCGATCGAAGGGGGGCGCCAAGTACCCTGTAACAAAAGTAATTAGTACAAAAGCAGAAGTAGTCAAAAACACGATCGCGCATCAACAAATGCGGCTGTCGTTAATGGGTTGGAGCCTGTTAACGTCGCAAGTTAGTCATATATGTATGTTGCAACTGAATGAGTGCAATGCCTCAGGCCCCCACGGTGCTCGGCTCCGAGGTTACCTAATCGGGTAAACTCGCCTGTGAAGGGAGGGCGTGAGCTTACCTCAGCACGCTCAGGCCCACCCCCCGGTCGGTTCTATCCTGCGGTTGGTTTCAGTCCCGAGCTGCCTAATCGGGCAGCACTTCTGGGAAGGGCCTGATAAATCTCAGCAAATTTTTGGCGCATCCTCCGTTATTTTGTATGGTATTTGCACTTTTCATCTTAGATTACAGTCATTTTTGGGCAATTGTCTTCGCAAAACACGCGATATTTCCGCAATATACGCACTTTTCCGGGATAAACTGCAAACCGTGGCTCTTTTTGTCGCCTTTTCTTCTTAGCATTCGTTGTTGTTCGTATGATCACTATGGCTAGCTATTCTTGAGAAATCTAAAGACTCTGAGATTCCCTTGTCACTCTCGATGTCAGCACTACTTTCTCTACTTTCTGGGCTGGGATCAAGTGGCTGAAAGTCATGCTCTGCTAAGTGTGCTGTTATCTAGTGCTGGCCCCTCCAGTCGACACCGGACCTGGATGCGGGCCGGGTTCTCGTCTTCCTCACTGAAGCCTTCGTCCAGCCCTCTTTTCCATTTGACACCCGCCCGCCGTGCGGCAGATGTGCCATTAAAATCAGCGGCGACGGACTCACTGAGATGGATCTCAATGGCCTCGATATCGTGCAGTGGATTGGCAGTCTCTGGAAAAAGAGCCAAGTTGGGAAGAAATGCTTCGAAGTAGAGTACAATATTAACATGGTGATCTTGTTTAAAATTACTTGAGAAGTATATATACGAGGGCCCTAACCCCCCCCCAAAAAAAAGAATGATAGTGTCACTCATTAACGTACATATTAGTTGTAAACTAGTATATTGAATAAGAATAGTCGGGCCGTCACACATTGAGGGGGTGAGCTAATGTTGTTTTTTGGAGATAAGTTTGATTTCCCAGATATAACTCACTGAAGGAACTGTATGAATGCCCTTGACATACGGCGTTAATTTTGTTAGTCAGTTTTCTGTAACAAAGTTCTATGGTGGAGAGGGATGGAGTACTATTTGCCAGCACTCTAGCGGCATTAGGTACATATCAATAAATCTAGCTATACAATTGCCGCTCCCTCTGAGCAACACCCAGGCTAAATACGCCTTACTATAAATATTCCAACGCCATATAAATTATGGAAGCACTAACGGGAAAAAAAAAAAAAAAAAAAAAAATTGATAATAAGCAGCTAAACAATGTAAAGTCTGTATATGAATGGGCATGAATTACAACATTTATGATTTATCGCCCTAGGCTATATTGGAAAGAAATACGAAATGCCATCGCCTTTCTTTAAACTATTCTATGGAGTACGAATTATCCTTTATATGGAGCGTATGGTGTCATAAGGCAAGAGGCATAACTACACATACAAAGCTGCCGGTGACTACTCCATAAATAGTTCTTGCACTGATATTCTGTAAAGCATTTGCCAGGCCGGCTTGTTCAGACAATTACCCTGTTTTTCAGTCCGTTTACCTTGTGACGATAGGTGCTCGTGACGAACAGCTTCCAGATATTGAGGTCCGGACAGTATTGCTTCATCCCATACGTCTTCTGATTAGTTCCTTAAGCATGCATCATCGTCGTCTTAGATAGAATGACTACACATGTCACCACGGCACGTAGTTTTTTGACGGGACGATATTATTTAAAAATCATATAAGCTGGGAAGATGAGGGGTGCCAATATCTTTATCACGGGCCCCGAGGGTGGTGTGGTGGCTCTGAATTGACTAGACATTCCTTTCCACAGGCAATACTCTACTTAAGGAGCTACATTGTAGCGAGTTCGCTATATGTGACTCTAGGCTATAAGAACCCTTCGCATTGGCGCCGTCCTTGCTCTACCAGTTTTCTTTGTTATTCTTGCATTGTATGACTCTCACATTGCACAGAGTATGAATGCACTGTCCATTTATGCAATTACCGCTGGCGGTATATTTGTTGGCCTTTTCCTGACTCGGACTCTCTCCATCCTTATCAGCTGGACAAATTTGTTTTCTGCTCTAGTTTCTCGACATCTGACCCTCCCTTTTGTTGTTCATAGGCATCGGCTCTGGGGTCCGTGGACCAGAGCCAGTGTTTTTATTCACGTGTCTTATGCCGCAATTAACATCTTCCTTGTCTTCTTCAGGATCAAATCGTTGAGTGGAGCTGGCCGCAGGGCAGGAGAATTGGCTCTAGTTAATCTTATTTTCCCCTTATCAGCTATCCACTTAAGCCATCTAGCCGACTTACTAGGCATCATTTGGCGTACAGGTCGTAGAATCCACCGTGCTACCGGCTGGATGGCAGTTGCTCTGTTGTCATTTCACATTATTGCAGCGGTTCAGGCTGAGAAATTTCATTTCTCGCTTCGTGAATCCCAAAATCTCTTTACCATGATTGTATGTCTTATTATCAGTATAACTCTGTTCCAACTAACGTCTGGCAGGGTGCTGTTTCACTGGGTGTCCTTGCTCTGCTTTCCGTTCCATTCTTTCGTCGATGGTCGTATGAGATATTCCTCCGGGCGCATCAGATCCTCGCCGTGTTGTTTGTCTACGGTACCTGGCGACATCTTCCGAAAACAAGCGGGCCCCCAAAACTTTACCTCTGGATTGCCTTGGGGATCTTTGCGCTGACTTCATGCCTACAGCTCGTGATCCTTCTATATAGAAACGGGCTCTTTGCGGGCCGCGGTGTTCCAAGGGCCCTAGTATCGTTTAGCATGAGGGAGTCTAAGAAGGAAGGTACTGCTGCAACAGCCACCCAAATTCGCGTTCTTCTGCCTCGATCTGTGAAAATGGAGGCTGGACAGTATATCAACCTCTGGATGCCGTCCGTCAGTCTATGGTCATGGACGCAGACATACCCTTTCACAGTCACATCGTGGTCTAGAGGTAGACAAGATACCATGGAACTATTGGTACAACCACGCCATGGTTTCTCGGTGAATCTTCTTCGCTACGCCGCCGCAGCTGCAGAGGGCTCTGTTTCTTTATTAGTCTTATTCACCGGTCCTCACGGCATGAGTGAAGATGTCAGTCATTATGAAAGCGTCTTGATGGTCGCTAGTGGATTTGGGATCACAGCGGCAATCCCATATTTGAAAAAAATAATCTACGGTTATAACACCTGCACCTCACAAGTTCGCCGACTGCATTTGGTGTGGCAGGTAAAGTCGATTGGCGAGATTATCGCGGCCCAAGGCCTACTAAATAACCTCCTCAAGGACGATATCATGGATGAAGGCTATGTTCGTATTGGATCTTGATGCCGGAAGGCTCCACGAGAAGCTGACGATAGTTGTGACCTATGACTAGATCCTCAATATCTCTATTTACGTCGGGAATGGCCTCGAGCAGAACAAGCTACCCTTTGGTCAGCATAAACGAGTCTCTCTTTACCAGGGTACGCCAGATTGTGGAAGCATAATTTCGCTCGAGGCATCAGGCGACCAGATTGAGAGGCTGCCCAACATACGGGACGAGCAAGGTCGAACGCTGGTGATGGGTAAGGTCCTCGATTTCCTACGTTGCCCCTGTGTTGAATTGACCATGCTGGCTAAGTCTCTGCGACGGATGAACTTCGAGACCACATACGGGAGACGGTACGAGGATACATCCATCGGGGTGTAAGGCTTTTAGAACTAGAGTATCAGCCCAGCGATTAAGAATATCGTTGAACGGGGGAAGACTCCGAGCTGGCTCTGGACGATTTAGAAATGGCTTTGTGTCAACCTGACAAGTACCACTAACCTACGCATGTACAGTGCTAGTGACCACGCCATTCAATCCGTATACTAATTTTGTGTTACAGTTATTTTATTTTGGATCCACTCAGATTACTAGGTAGAATAAGACTGGTAGATTGTTACAAGAGTAGGATCGCTTGTTTAGTCGTGACAGACATACGAATTAGGTGTCAAACCAACACTTTGAATCTGCGGAGGATTAGCAGTCCTGTTCTGTCGTAACGATCGCTCTAAGTTAACCGGGAAGGTGTGCAGGGAGAGTCAAGACGTAATCGGCGATCCAAGCATGATCTGCTGCCGTTTCGTGGGAAAGATGACGAAAAGACGTTGATTTGGGGTGTCAACATGCTGTAGTGTAGTCCGATAAGTTGTTTATGGCGCGAGTTCTAGTGTTAAGTATCCGCGAAGTTGCTGTAATAAGGCCTCCAGTGTAGAATTCATATGGGTATTATAAAGTCCCAAAGTGTAAAGTATAACTACCAGATGACTTATTTTATGAATTAGCCATACATTCATGAATATTGAGAATATGAATAAGGACAATATTCATAGCTATTGAAGATTTAGGAATATCAATATTCCCTTTGGAGCTCTAACCTTCTCTTATATCCGGTCGTTCTACCCTGGACTAATCGGGTTAAACCAATAAATCTTCCACCCATGTCTTTCCTTTTACTTGTACTGAATCATCAAGCCCCGGAGGGTCGCAGTCTTTGCGGAGACACTTTTCAGCTCTCCGACTTGGGTTTGGATAGTAGGGTTCCAGCTATTGTTATGAGCATGCATACTTGTGAACTCATAAAAATCTAAAACAAATCCTAAGCTGCTAAAACTACGCATGCACAACTGTTTCCCTGCATATGTCAAAATAGATAATGGTATCACACATCTTGCTAAATTAGCATGCCCTTCTTAATATTACTGAGTTGTTTTTGGACCACTCCAATAAAGACGAATTAAAAACAGACGGTGCATAGCTTCTTGCTTGGTGCGCCTTCGGCGGCTCGTTTGTATAAGTGTATCATTGTTGAACGTATGCTGGAGAGACACTCTGGTTTACGGGGGAGCAATTAGATTAGGGGTCGTAAATAAAACACCCCGTTTAACCCTGTGGTCCATACTTTCAGAAGGAATTCAATATTTGTTTGCTTGCATCTATTTTTATTATTATTTTTGGTTTCCCACATTTGTGACAATTGCCAGGTAGCCGGGCGAAGATATATGTTCTACCAGGTGTCGAAAAATTGACAGCGCTACTAGGACTGGGAGATGGGGTTTAAAAAAAGATTGTTTAACTTTTTTTTTTCTTTTGTATTCCTCCGGCTTCTCGCGGCCATAGGCTGCATGTAGCTCCGCAGTAATTAGGTCTTTCCTAAGTACCTACAGTAATATTGGGCTTTAGATCCCCACACCACAAGTAATCGAGCAGACCACACAGACCGTGTCCAAGTAGACAGTACTCAAACAGATAGTATCCCAGTAGACAGTATTCCGACAAACAGTATCCCAGCAGACAGGGTCCAACAGACAGAGTTCCAACAGACAGAGTTCCAATAGACAGTATTACAACAGACAATATTTAAGCAGGTAGCCTTCGAGAAGGCAGTATTCAAGCAGGCAGTCTTTGAGCGGACTGTATTCCAGTAAACTGCACATGAAGACCTAACCCTATAAGTAGAGGGAAAGGAGAGGTCATTAGCTGATGGTGACGTCGCAAGATCTCCAGAAAAGGTCTTCGCTATCCGTCATTTCCTAATCTCTATTTTCTAATTTAATCAGGTAAAAATGTTAGATAGGAGTATTATATCAGAATAATATACTGAAGCAGATTTTTTTTTTTTTTTTTTTTTTGCAGTCTTGTTGTTATAGCCGATTGTACTTATTTGTCCAGTCCTCTGTTTTTTCGTTGGGCACTTAGAGGAAACCGAATTCTAGTTCGCATGTATAAACAGGCAGGCCTGTTTCTTGTACTGTATTTGTGAATCGTCAATGAGACATCCATTTACTAACCATATATTATTCAAGATTAAACTTCTGAAACGTCCTTGCTAGTCTGCATATAAGCAAGTCAGGCCCAACAACTAGATACAGTGGTAGCTACGTAATGTCGGCTGTAGTTTATATATAGGAAGCTACAGAGACTTATAACTAAAAATAAAATAATAGCTTTTTAACTATAACCTCTGCATTTGTATTACAGTATACGAAAACCTACGACTCATAGGGAAAACCCATACTGAGGCATATCTGGCAATATCAAGCATAAAACGTAACGAGATCATGAAAACACCCACTAAAGCTAAATAGAATTTTTTTTTTTTTTTTTAGCTTTCCGCACATATACTCCTGAGGATTTCGTACTGAGACAATTATGATCCACGAATATTGTGATTATTCTGTTCAGATAGGCAAATTGAAACCCACGTTTGACAGAATCTCAACCCAAATTCAAGTAACATTTGATGGATTTGGGGTTGTCCGAGGGCAAGGAGTGGCATCCTTTTCTTAATGTATTGGGGCTTGAAGGGCCCCAGCAGCTATCTTCATACTTATAGAAAACGCAGGTACTGTCCTTGCGTATTTCTAAAGATCTAGCATGTATACGTTAGTAAAAATACCGGTATAGGGATAATATAGTAGAACGTCTGTCCATACTGTGCAAAATCGGTGGTATAGCATTCATCACCTCCGATGGATTTGTAAGTGTGGCGACAGTGTTTATCGTCACAGAGGTATCCCTGGTCTTAATTAGGTCTTTCTCCAACAGCAGTTGCTGGTAAATAATACTGAAAACTCATACAAGTAACTGAGCCACTGCCATGGCAGAGGGAAGTATCAGAAGCGTCAAGGTCTTGAAAAAATACATATTGAGTCTGCTAGGCTTGCAGGTAAATGATGTTAGGAAGATATTGAGAAACAGGATGCTGGAGTGTTCTAGCTAAAACTCACTTGAAGACGTCAGGGAAGACATAGGGAATATATAACCAACTAGATATAGGAACGTCCAAAAACTCTTTGATCTTATTAATCCTACGTGATATTATATTGGTGACAACTATATGACGTAAAACATATTTTTATCCTATATTACGTAGAATACCTGGCCCAGTTTCATGCTACACATTCCATTAGTCTCTAAGAAGGCTAAGAAGGTTCACTGCCTAAAAAACTTTAACATATTTAGTGTTATGCAATGACTTGTCATACACTCCCCCGAATGCCTTACTGAGCTTTCCTTGAGAAATGCACCATCTACTTAATTAGTTGGAGCTCCCTTAATAGCATTCACAGAATGTTGGCCCCACTTGCTGCGGCCCTTAGCGAGCTGTTTGTTTCCGCTGGATAACCGCAGCAATACCTCTCTCTTCCAGTTGTTCACGACCTGCGTCACTTTTTACTAGTGCCTAGGTGCTAATGCTCTATTATACTCACATTGCTCCTTTAGCCCTATTGATAAGTATACATTTAATTTATTTCCATACCCAAACTCCCACTCGTCCACTAAGATAAGGCATACTATACTTGTGTCCATATCAATATTTCCTACAATCTCTGCCCACATGCATTATCTATCACGGTTAGAGAAACCCATGTCTATGGCTACTTATTAGACCTTCTTTTACTAGAGGGCTTACAGATGAATAATATACTCCATATACTTAAAATTATATAGTCTCATAGTAAACTATGTGAAACTGAGAATTTCTAAGTTTATCTATACTGTATAGAGATAGTTGGGAAAAAAAAAAAAAAAAAAGGCCAAAAAAAGGCTCGGTTCGAGTGACAGGTCGGTTATTTAGTTGGTAGGCTATCTCCGGGGTTTGGCCCGGGCGGGTTTCGTCTACCGCATTGGATCCTGAAAACTTGTGATGTCATGAACACTCAACAAAGATACAAGGTTGGTATGAGAAGAACGAGACAGAGTAGTGACGCGCTAGACTGCAGCCAAATTAATTTCCTTTCCGGATTAGTGCCCAAGTGGAATATTTACTGGTTGAGCTCAATGGCAGGATAGGATTTTGAGGATACGGGGTTTACCATCGAGGGAACCACCCATTACCAATATCGACTACTTGGTCATTTACATGCTAAAATAATTGTCATTACTGCCAGCGTCACCACCAACGTAAGCACTACACAGCCCCTGACGGCACCTCTTACCTCACCGTCTGAGTACTCCCTCTACACCAACTGTCTGGGCACCTCCCGTGTTCACCTGCCCAATGTTCTTGTTGCGTATTATGGCTTGGTCGTGGCCGTAGCCTCTTCCGGCGCCTGTTTTGTGACCCCCGTCGCTGCAGAACCCACCGCTTGAAAGTACATCGCAGAGGTGTATACTTTTGTAGGTATCTCCACGATAATATCTAATTTAATAGCCTCCTAGCTATGTCTTTGGCCCCTCTCTGCAGCTGGAATCCTACCTAGCCCTATAAAATACTTATTATTATATATTCTTGCTTAGTATTGTCACGGCCTTGATCCTAGGTGGGCTTCTAGGATCTCAACCGCTTGCGCTTAACCACTGAGCCACAAAAAGACCAGAATATCAAGTACAGCGTACTTGATATGCCCATCGCCTTATATAGCAAACCCCCGAAGGGTGCCAGGCCGTCACAAGTATAAGTGTTGTCTGCGCGTATTTGCTGTTTTATAATTTGCAAGTAATACACTCTCTATAGCTCTCTGTTGTGAATTGAGGCTCGATTAAGTAAACAATAGAGCTTCATATACAGAATATATTTAGTATCAAATTGATTGTCAATCAATCTGATGTATATCTTGTATATAAAACCCTAAGTCTATAGACAAGAATATGAATAACAAACAACCTTCCTTGGGATTACAACACTATCTTATACTCTTTAGCAAGTTAATTAATAGCGTTCTACTTTAGAGGATGATTGAATTGTTAAACAACTATTGTATTACAAATGTGAGGGGTAGATGCTACCCTGGACCAAGGTGCAAATAATTGGAAAATAAAGCAAGAAGTAGGATTAAATCATGGCTGGGCATAAGGGCCAGGTCCCTCCAACTTAATTAAGACGGCCTCCATCTTACCAGAAATAGGCCAGAGCCAATGCTAAGTTCTAACATTAACACGTACTAATGGCATCTTCACTTTTCCAAGCAGCAGCCTGTTCAAATGCAACCGAATGACCTCACCACTGACTATAAGAAATCAGTATCTATGAAATCTAAGGAGCTACCTAATTACGTCATCAGGCTGAAAATGACAGCCCATGTCATCATATTCCTGATTAGCGCACTCATATATGGACACCGTAGAACAGTAACCTAGCATATATAACTAGGCTTCTTACCCAGATGTTCAGGTTAAGTCGCCCTATGTTTCGTACATTAACAATCATAATTAGTCAGCTGTACAATATTGGCCAGGTAATTCACCTGCAAAGCAGACTTATATAAGCTGCAAATATTTTGATATGTGGAGCCTTGGCTAATTTACATATTTAGTAACTATTATATATTTCTGCCTTCACGGAATTAAGGACCCATTAAGGTTGAAGCTTACTAAAATATGAGCGCTCAAGGTGCGTAGCGTTTGTTTTGTTAATGCATTTTGCTTACAAAGTTCAGGTCAAGTTTGGGGTGCTGAGCATGGTGTGGTCTCAAACGTTGAGTCAGGCATGGGGCGTATTACTCGGTATCAAGATGGAAGACCTACACGGTTTACTTTCAAGAAACCGTTTGATCAAGTGCCACATATACAGATTACTCCTGATCTTAGCGAGGAAAGGTCATTCCACCAGTTCTGGCTCTATTTCCTAAGCTATGGGAGACCAGCAGTAGATAAGGAAGGGTTCAGTTTAGGAGTGTACTGCAGCCCAGGACACTCTGTCACATTCAGCTATTTTGCAGTAGACATATATGAACTTCCTTAGGAGTTGGCATGGCCAACCCACTAGCTGTCCGCTAATGTTAGTTATCCAGGTACTTAAGATAACTTAATTCTCGGTTATATAAATTTATTGGGGACACGCCAGTCCTTTCTTGCTAAGTTATTGTTCGATTATTGGGGGGGTCTGAAGTGATTGTATTCAGAAGGATGTTCTGCCCAACCCCTCTATGAGGAGTATTGGGTATATATATTCACATGATGTCCCAATATGGACCAGCTTTATTCTGACAGTTATATAAGTAAATATATAAAATAAAAAATAGTAATATAAGTACTTAAACAAGTCTAGAAAGAGGAGGTAGAAATTGAGATAAATAGCCAAGAAACACTCTGCAATTGTAGCTTCGCATATATCAGTGGCGGTTCCGACCACCCACCGGATACACCGACATTTTGAGATAGGAATTCAAACCTCTACAACTCCACCAAAATGGGGTCAATTGAAGCCGGTCTTCAAGAAATCGAAAGACTGAAAGCAGGTAAAAAGATTAATTATACAAAAATCGCTATAAAACATGTAGTTAGCCGAACAACCCTATCAAGGCGCCACCGAGGTGTGCAGCAGCCATATAAGACTCATCGGGAAGAGTATTAAGTTCTTAACAACCAACGGTCAAAAAAACATATTAAATTAATTAACAATCTTACCAATCGAGGCCTTCCACCATCACATAAAATACTACGAAATTTTACAAAGGAAATATCTAGAAATAAGCCTGGAAAATAGTGGCCAGGGCGCTTTTTAAAGAGGCATAATAATGACCTTGTTGCTCATTATGCTACTAGCATGGATGTTTCAAGAAAGCAGCATATAAATATGCTTTATATTTTAAATTTATGGCTCAAAAGATCAAGGAATACAATGTCTATCCTGAAGATATGTATAATATGGATGAGAAGGGATTTCTTATCGGAGTACTATCTAAAGGCAAAAGAATCTTTTCCGACAGAGATATAAGCAAGGAGGGATTGAGCAACGCCTCCAGGATAGAGATAGAGAGTGGATTACTATAATTGCCTGTATTTGTGCAGATGGAACCTTTCTCTCTCCCGGGATTATATACCAAGCAAGTTCAGGCAATATTCAGGATTCATGGCTTCAGGATTTTAATCCTAATAATTATTATTGCCTTTTTGCATCCTCTCCTTCTGATTGGACCAATAATAAGCTAGGATACGCTTGGCCTACCACTGTTTTTAGTTAAGCGACAAAGGAGAAGGCCCGGAGGCGTTGGCGCCTTTTAATTTTAGATAACCATGGATCTTATACTACTATATTTGTTTCTCTTTAGAATCATTGTTCAAAGGTGATCAGTACCAGAACGTGATCTCCGTGTTCGAACCATATCCTGTGTGGCACGAACAACCATCATATCTCCAATAAATAAGCGTCGAGCGTTACTGTAGCAGGAATGATTGATGTAGGACGCTAGGGGCCAAATACCACTGGAATAAAATTGGTCGTTGGTATTTTCTTGTTGCGTCTCCGCTCTCATGGCATATATATGAGACTCGCGAGAGGAGAGGACAACCGAAACAATCCAACGCTACAATACGCTCAACGAGGAAGCTAGGAGATATTAGCCTAGTTAGTATTCCTTTATAGTGAGCTGCTTACGTATTCACAACAGGTATGTCATCTACTTCTGAGACATTAGCGGGCTTGTATGAGCCATGATAAAGATTAGTATAAGTTGGCATTAGAGACGTGTTTTGGTAAAGCTTTTGGAAAATAAGCACAATAAGCTCAGCTTGGGTCCCCACCGTCATAGCGTCTGTTTTTGCGTTGATCAAAAAGGCAAGGCCCTGTCTGAACTCGTTGGCGTCATGAAAGGCGGGCGAAAAGGCTTTCTCACAGAAGAGAATATCACCAGCTTTGACAATTTCCATCGTGAATAAACCTCGTTCGCGAAACGTGGTAGTCCTCACTGATACAGGACCGACGTAGGTTGCATGATCGAGAAGTGTGGGCGACGCCTTGTCGCCTCTGTCCATGAACAGAGAGAGTACCCGGATACAGTGCCCCAAAAGTGAGGGTCCTAGATGCGGCTAGGGCGTACATTATAGGACTCACGATTAGGAAGGTGTGAAGGTCTCCCTGGAGATCAGATTGAGGTACCAAGTCGAAGATACGCAAAAGTCTGTGGTTTGGATACCTGGAGGGTCAAGGGGTCCGTAACTCAGGCCCGGTGATGTAGACCCGGATACTTTCGACCTCTGTAGTACGACAGGGAGTGTAGGCTCTGTGACCTAGTACCAGGTGCACTATACCTTGGGCTCTTGACCATGTAGATCATGAGGCCGCGGTCGTACGACCTACACGGCCAGAGGCCCGCCAGTTGGTGACCATGGCAGATACACGACCCCTACGGTCGTCTATCTACAGTGTTGGGAGCTCATTGGGTCACAGGCCATCCACTATTATTGAAAACTCTGCTACGAGATCTCGTCGTTGATTAATTGTCCATCATTTCCAACATTCTCAAGCAATTGTGTCACGGAGGCGATAACTTGCCGAGTTACAACCAGATCTCTTCCAAAGGTCATGAGGATCGTGAAGGTAGCATCATCGACCGCCGCACGGACGCAGTGATTAACGTCAACTTTCCGCAGAGCGCGATCATAGAAGCGCGCCCCCCGGTCTAGGTCTCGCGCATACCGGTCGGCAATGCTCTGTGCTTTAACTGGATTGTCTGGCTGCACAGATACCGCGTCCGTCCTTCTCCATTCCCCTAGATAGTAAGCATGGAAAGTGACGGTAACCCTCCGTACCGGCGGCGTATCGCCAGAAAGATCTCCATCAAAACCGTCCTCCGAACTGTTTAGGTTTCCAGGGGCCAGGGGAGCTTCAAGTCCATTATCTGGCTGCTCCTGGTTCCTCGTGCCTGTACTAGTCGGGTTCGTTCCCTCCCAGGTGGTGAGATCAATCTGCGTAACAGCCTTTTTCGCCCTTTTCTCCCTATTGGCTCTGAGTCGAGAACCTGACCTGATAGACAGTGTCTCTTGTGTCTCTTCCCTCGGCCTCTTGATCCCCCGTGATCGTACCAGTTTTCTTTCACCCCGCTGCGATGTCTTATTTAAGATCTTGCTTTTCGGTGCTACAACGACCGTCTTGTTTTTCTGGGCCTTTTCCATCACAAGGCTTTCTGTCTCCTGCGGATGCTGGTCGATAGCAACGTCAAATAGCTCTCTGCCGCCTGCCTTTCAAATGCTTGCCTCTGAGCCTGTTCTGGATCCAGTGGATTAGCTGTATATATTTCAGGATTTTGCTGAGAGAGCCTTAATTTAGCAGTTCCCGCCACCTCAGTCGCAGCTCCACCATAGCCTACGGTCGCCGAAGATTGAAGAGGTCCCTCTACTAAAGAGGCATAGCCAGAGCAGTCTTTATCAACATCCTATAATTTATCGGCGATGGCCGCGTCCGGAGTTGTTTCCCGATTAATATCTTGGAGTGTCGGTCTATTCTTCATCCGAGATTTGCGGAGTCCGGCTGGTTTAGATCGTAGTTAACTTGCTTTTAGACGACTACAGCGAGACCGTGGTATGCCCCCATCATCCAGCTGGCCACCCACTTCTCGCCAGTTCTCGACCAGGCTCTGCGTGATGCGTTGTCTGCTGCCTCTTCTTGAGCGTTATAGCTATCATCGATCCTATCCCATAATTCATCGGCAATAGCCGCATCTCGAGTCCCTGCCCGATTGATGTCTTGGAGTGTTAGCCTATACTTCATCCGAGATTTGCGGAGTCCGGCTGGTTTAGACTGCTGCCGACTGGTTCCCGGACGACTACGGGGGGGGCGTTTATCAGCCAGCAGGCTACCCTGTTAACACTATTTCTCCACTAAGTTCTGTACAATAAATTTAGTCTGTGAAGGTTTGTCTACTGCCTCCCCTTCTGGTAGCTCCGGTTTGGTTGTTTCGGAAGATGGCAGATTTTCACCGTCCAGCTGGCTTCCCTCTTCACGCCATCTTGCGATCACACTCGGCAAGTCAGCTGGCAGTTCAGTTACAGGCCTTGAGACAACATATTCCGCAGCCCCAGGTGGTGAGGGAATACGTCCAGCCATGCCTTGTAGCTAAGCGAGAGTATCTGCTCGCTCCAGAGCTACTCGCCCTTCCTCTGTCTCCGAATTATGATTGTCAGTGCCCAGTTCTGCATTTCCTTGGAGTATTTCGCCAAGGAGTTCAACATCTTCAGCAGTACCTCCGTTATCCGTCACTTGTTCCAGTTCAACTCTTTCTCGCTGGTCGACCGGGAATGCTCGTACTGCTGCATCTCTTTTATCCATTTCTTGCTCCATTACAGATGCAGGTTCTTCGACTTCGCGGCTTCCGCTTTGTTTATCCAATAGCTCTTCTTTCGCCAGACATTCCTGTTCGGTTCCTTTCCCTACCCCTCTCTTTAATATCTCATGTTCATCTATCTCTGTACAGCTCTGGTCTTCCTTCTTATAATCTATCCCCCCATTAGTTACAGGGCAACGTTCGAACTCCTGGGACCTAGGCTGGGGCCCGAAATCTTCCCAAGTGTCCATAGGTATGGGGTCCGAGACAGCAAGTCTATCTTCCGTCGAACTTCTGAACGAAGACTCTCCCGGTGAATTGAGTATCGCTGCCTGCTGTCTACGATGCCAACGTTCTTGCCGTCTAAGCTGTCCTGTTTCCCGCCTCCTCTGACGTCGTTCTTTGTGCGTCTCTGATCGAATACTATACTAGTTTATAACTATTTACTAACTAGTTAGATACTTGTCAAACTGGAACTCTTGTACATGAAAAGTGTGATGTTGCATTTAATATTATTATTCCAGTTGATATTAAGAATTGTCTATATATTTTATTTACTTCACATGGGATACATACACACCCTCCACCACCTCCTACGACAGCTCCTCTTATTATTCTGGAAAGAATAAAGCAGATACTTTATGACATAAGGGATCCGGATATGACTACTGGTATGTTACTAGTCCACTATTAATAGTATACTAGTTATTAACTAGCTAGGCTCTTTCCTCCGCAATCCACGACTCCTTGACTTCTGCAAGGAATTTGATAATAGCCTATCAGGTATTCATACAAGCTTTGCCAATCAAGATCGTGTTTCTGCTATGATTCAAAAAGCAAAGATAATGTCAAGGGCTGAACCCATAGAACCTACAAGATAGGTTATGTACAAGAAGGAATCGTTGAAGGAGGGAAGAAAAGGAAGAGGAAAATGAGCGGTAAACAAACAAGATGGGAAGTCACGTGACAGGGATCGAGGGGCCAATGGCCCAAAGGGCCAACAGGGCCAAAAGGGACAGTAGGGACAGTAGGGACAGTAGGGACAATAGGGACAATAGGGACAATAGGGACAATAGGGACAACGGGGACAGTAGGGACAATAGGGACAACGGGGATAGTAGGGACAACAGGGATAATAGGGACATTGGCCCGAGAGGTCAAACGGGCTCTAGCCCTTTACAGATAAGCCTATTTCCTGAAGGCCAAGAGTTAAATGGTCTAAGGTTTGAATGTTTGAGACGGCCAGAATTAAGGGTAAGTATACTAGTTCCTGACTAGTATGTTACTACTTTGAAACTAGTTGCTAACTAGTATATTTTAGGCGTATGTCCAATACACCTTTCAGGATGATGAGAATATACTTATTATTTGTGCCTACAAAGCACAATTAAAGTTATTCCAATCTCTGAAGTTATTTGAGGTGGATATGAATTTAAGCGATTAAAGGGTCGTGATTTAAATAAAGTTATTTTTGCAGTATTTTTAAAAAAGTATAGAAAAGGTAAGTGAGTATTTACAATTGGCTACAGACTAGTTCCTAACCAGTTACTAACTAGTTATTACTCTTTGTCGAGTCTTCACCAATTGTCAAGATACTGAAGGGTATTATAACCTATTCTAAAAGGTTTTTAAGGTTATCGAGTAAAATATAAACCAGTCTGTTTGCTTTTATTATCTACATGGAACTGGATTTGAAAGTGTTAATTAGATATGGATAAGGCACAGATATTAGGTAAGATTAATAATACTAACCAGTTAATAACCAGTTGCTAACCAGTATCCACATAGGTCTTAGCCAGTATCTAGCCAGTATTAACCCTTAACATTGTGATAAAAGATGGCATATTCCACATATTATAATTGCCTGCCGTGTGCACTTCTTTCGAGGGATTAATATCACCGGAATGGTGAAAGCGACCCTCGGGCCTGCGGTAGCCGCCGTAGCAACACTCCAGCACAACAGAGATGATTGGAAAGCGTTGACCAATATGCTCTCGTCTCTGTATTGTGCTGGCATTGATCTTCGCTGGCACGAGTGTCACCGGGACTTTGCGGCGGCTCACAAAGTCTTGGAGCTGCCGGCATACAAATGGAACCTCAAGGATTACTGGATGCAATATATCCATAACTGGTCCTTGCGCAAGGGTGACCCGCCTCTCGTCGGCCCGTCGGTTGCACCGCTCGCATCTACGACAATTCACAATGTGGTGGAGGAGAACATGGATGCCATCACCGTGGAGTCAGATATGGCACGGGCTGATTTCAATCCTCTGGTACAAGACCATGAGGTAGATGGGGTTCCACTGTGTACACCGGTAGGCTATTTATTAAAGCTTCTTCGGGTTGTTCTCCTGCAACTATAATTACAAATCTAACTGATCGCAGTCTGTCTACGCCGATATCGCGCTTACCGTTGGCAAATATCTGCTCCAGCGCTATCACCCTGAGATGGAAGACTGCCTGATTGATGTTTCGAACATGACTGTCATGAAGGCCCTCATTGCAAAACTGGAGGGCCCCCAACCACTGCGCACATTTGTGACGGTGGACTGGGCAGCTAAGAGAGCGAAGGGCCGGTTCTGTTCTTTTGACGTAAGATCATCCGATGCACGAGTCAAGGAGGGACCTCATTCTAACAGCTCATGCAGAATAAGGGTCAGGCAACTGTGGAGCATGCCAACTGCGAGATCTACTTCACCGATAGATCTCGACTGGAGCAGCTGGAACAAACCGCTTACGAGAAAAAGGCACGGATGGCGAGTATGCGCAAGGACCTGGAGAATGGCCCGACACAACGGTTACGTCTAGGACAGTGGCTAGGACCGATCAACCTACCTACCAGTCGGAGTTGGGTAATATTACCACGCCTTCCTACCGCCGAAACGGTTAGGTGTCAGAGAGGGCTCGTGATCCCCGGACAGGACGATTCATATCAAGCCGGGAGAATACCGAAAGGCCAGAAGAACTGAGTTCGAAGTTGTCATGGATAGCAACACTTTCGAGTGCGCCAGTCGGGTGAGTTTCAAGGGCGTTGAGACCCAGGGCACATTCCACACCCACCCAGCTTACCTGGACGGTCTCACCCAAGCTGGTGGTTTTGTCATGAACTGCAACCACAATAATGATCTAGATGTGGAAGTCTTCGTCGATCATGGATGGGAGTCCTTGCAGGTCTATGAGACTCTCAGTAAAGAACAGACCTATTCAACCTTCTGTCAAATGTCCGAGAGGGATCAAAGAAAATATCAAGGGGACGTGACAGTATTCGATGAAAGCTGGAGGGTTCTCGCCAGCTACAAAGGTATTGTGGTAAGTCTTATCTTCCATAAACACCGTCGAAAATGCCGAAGATTCCATCTTAATATCGACATAGTTCCAAGGCGTTCCACGAAGGGTCCTCCGCTTCTTCTTGACCGTCGAAGGGGTCAAACCACCTCGTTGTCAGCCGCAACAGAAGGGAAACGCAGAACCAGCACGGTCCGCAGTAACAGTATCCAAGCCTTCCATGCCCTCGGTCCCCGCTGCCAGCACCAAGACCACAAGAGTCAATGGCCCAGCCCCTGCCACCCGGTCAAAGCATTCACTTGCTGAACCGGCTTTGAAGATCATCTCAGAAGAAAGCGGTGTCTCCCTGAGTGATCTGACAGACGATTCCGTTTTCTCTGACATTGGGATCGATTCCCTTCTCTCCTTGGTCATCACTAGCCGGTTCCGTGAGGAACTCAATCTGGACATAGAGTTTGATGATATCTTTACCAGGTACACGTCCGTGAAGGAACTGAACAGCTTCCTCAGACAATACGGCGGGGCGGAAGGACCAGCCCCTTCAGACAGCCTATTTGAGCAGCCTCGTACCGTCAGGGATGCGGTGCCCGAGACCCTTCGGCAAGCATCTGAGTTTTCCGCCACGCAGCCCGTCGCCATTCCCAGCCTGTACGTCGGCGCAGCCTTTGATGCCGCCCTTGGTATCATCTCTGAAGAAAGCGGTATGGCAGTCTCGCAGTTGACGGATGACTGCGTATTTTCCGACATTGGCATTGACTCGCTTTTGTCCCTTGTCATCATCAGCCGCTTTCGTGAGGAGCTGGACCTAGACATCGACATGGACTCCATCTTTACCGACTATCCGACGGTAAAAGAATTGAAGACATTGTTCAAGCCGGGAGCCTCTGAATCTGAATACACATGCCGGACTCCATCCGTCCATCTCGACCGGTCGGATCAAGAGACCTCTGGAAATCCCTCCTCGGCAACCTCTCAGGGCTCGGACTCCGAGTAGGATGCCGCTGACCTGAAGGAGGAACAAGCTGCCGTGCTGGCAGCGACCTCCGTGCTCTTGCAGGGAATTCCCAAGTTCGCCGAAAAGATCTTGTTTCTTTTCCCCGACGGCGCTGGTTCGGCAACGTCATACTCTGGAATCCCACGGCTGGGGTCGAATGTGGCGGTGATCGGCCTCAACTCTCCCTACTACAAGATCCCGGAGCTCTTCAAGTGCACACTGGACGCCCTTATCGACACCTACATCAATGAGGTCCGCCGCCGCCAACCCAAAGGGCCGTACCACCTCGGTGGCTGGTCCGCCGGGGGCATCCTCGCCTAGCGCGCCGCGCAGAAGCTAATCAACGCAGGGGAAGCGGTGCAAAATCTCCTGCTGATCGATTCACCCGTGCCCAAAGGACTTGACAAGCTTCCCCAGCATTTCTACGACTACTGCAACAAGCTGCAACTGTTTGGTCAGCCGACCACCTCAGGGTCTGAGCGCGCAGCCGCCAAAGCTCCAGCGTGGCTGGTCCCCCATTTCAATGCCACCATCGACACGCTGCACGAGTACTTCGCTACGCCTCTTCCAGTCGGTAAGACTCCGCGCACGTCGATCATCTGGGCGTGTGAGAGTGTCATGGACGGTAAGAATATCCCAAAAATGCTTCCGCATCCGGATGATACCGAAAGCATGAAGTTCTTGACGGAGGCTCGCACCGACTTTTCTGCCAGCGGATGGGAGGGTTTGTTTCCCGGTGGCACAATCATCTTAGATCGAACGGAGGGGACAAACCATTTCTCGATGATAGTAAGTAAACATCTTCTCTTGTATCCACAGCGTCACCTGTCAGGACCACTGTCACTTACCAGTAACGGTGCAGAGAGGAGAACACGGGGCTAAGTTGGCGGAGTTCATCGCCCAGGCTCTGGCATGATTGAGAAACATATACGTGGCTGAAAGCTTGCCCATATTGAGAACGTTCATGCGAAATATTCAACCGAAGTGGCTGAGCCATAAGAGGCGTTCGACACACGAAAATTATGGATACTAGTAATATTCAAACGTTCATAGGACTGCACATTAATTCTGACAATGGCGTACACACACAGAATGATGTACAGATTGTCTGCACCAGCCATCCAGGCAAACCGTTCTGTATTTAACGTCAGTGACAAGTATCGAGAGAATACATGCTGTCAGGGAATAAATGACCTCTATACCTGATGTCGGTGGATATTTGATTTTTGGCGATATTTGACTATTCAATCTATTTTACCCACTGTTTTAGAAACCTGGACAAGCAGTTTAGCCTCCAAGATAGGGATGCGTGTAGATGGATCGAGTGTGCTTCGAACTTAACTATAGGCTCGTCATATATATCTTTGCCACATTTCCAATCCCTTAGGCAACTGCGGTGGTCAATACATAGCTGGTTAGCTCAGAACAACCGTTCTAGACGGTGATATGACCATTCGCTCAGGGGAAGGCATGGTTGGCAGAAGAACACGATCCCGGTTCACCAACGTGCACTATTCTGCAACGTCTATCTAAAGGAACGGAAGCGATCCAAGGGATGCCAATAAGCACTGGCCAAGGCGATAGGAGTTATAAGATCTCGAATCGGGATATCTCTCCATCAGATGGAAGGCCTAATATAATGTAATGTCAATATAAAATACAACCTGGTATACTATTATTATGATTCCCTTACAACCCGCAGAGTGCCCGGTGGAGTTTTAGGTGGTATTTTTTTCCAACTAACAGGTAGAGATCCGTGAAGCTCTACGGATTTCAACCACCAATATGACTACCAAAATGTCAAGACTGGAAGCTTCATATAAGATCAAAATACTTGATGTGATTCAGGCTAATAAAACAGGCTAATTTACATCGACACGCCCCATTTATATACAACTAATTACGGAGCGTAGTGTAGCAGACTATTTATGGGTTGGTAGGCGATTTTCGGTGCTAAGGCACAATCCAGTAATTTAAGAATTCCAGATTAGCTGACATGGCCAAGGAAGGTTAATAGGGCAAGCAAGGGCGTAGGGCAGAGTTTTGGCAGTGCCTTTATTTACCCTCAGTTTCCACCTCCCAAGATCTTGGTCGCTTCCTACCTGTTAAATACCTTGTAGAATATGGCTGATACTCATGTGTTAAGGGGCAACGCCAGGCAAGCATTCCCACGCTATCCCGCTGGAACTGTTAGCAAAAGGACTAGGATGGAGAACCAACGGCTCTACCCTGCTTGGGCTATACAAAGATAGGTTCGACAGGATTCAGGCGTCCGCAGTCATGCCGGGACACCATGTTACAAATTTTATAGGCCTAGATCTTTGCCTACCTAGCCTGGTTTTGGCAGCGTCTTTAAAACTTACCAGGAATATTAGGATCCGTATTATTCTGCACGGAGTGAGGTTTCTATTACTTTTATTAGGGCCTGAATCTATACAACTAATAAGATCGATTAATCGGTGCGGGAATTTATCGTTGCCCACCCTGGTCCCTTGAATTGAAGAGAATCGTGCCTCCCGAACAAAGGGTAAACCCCCGCGGAGCACACAACAAAATAATCAACAAGAATATAATCAAGAAGAGCCCAACCAGCTCAAATCGTTCAAATATGACCTTTTTACCAATCGTACTCTATTTCCCCTCCGGGACTAGCCCGAATATCCGACATTTTCGGAGCCAATGTCCCGTGGAAGATTTCCCGTGGGCCACGGGGCTTTGTCCCGAGGGCCGTGGATTCGGAGAAATGAGACAGCCATTCAGGAGGTTATAACTAGCTCAACACCTCATTTTACATAGTTACATAGAATCGAGACTGCTTTCATTGAATAACTATATTATAATTATCATCCAACTATCTGCGACCATGTCCTACGAGACCATTCCTGGAACCGACATCTACGGACCGGGTACATTCATCGACAAGAACCCTCTCCCTGTGCCACAAGATGCACGACGAGTATTCGAGATTCTAGCCTCACGGACCCCTTTTTTCACACAGAATCAGTCCCTATGGAACACTGTCACCTTCGAAGGGGGATCCGAGCCGATGATCCCAGGACCGATCAAATCGCCAGTCGTGGCAGCGGCATTGCATGCGATGTGTGGAGTGGTCGCCAACGAGCTAGTAGAACTGCGCGATGGGATACCAGCACAGGAGCGGCGCGTGGTAGCTAACACTGACCATGCAGGGTTCTGGCTGGGGTCAGTGTTCACAACTTATATCAATGGCAAGGATATATCTGCACTTGTACGCGCAGGCGAACTAAACTCCCTCTTTAAACGAGACTTCGAGCAGGGGTTCGGAAAAGGGATTGCAGGGCGATCGACGGCGATATACCAGACTAAGCATCCCAAGGTGTGGTATCAATTGCATGGGTCGTTGGACGCGAAGAAGATGTTTGAGTCAATGGGGATTGATGCCTCCGTTCAGTTGGATTCCCCCGGGGCGTATTATGATTATATCCAAGAGCATGTACGGCAGTGGAGTGCTGATGAGCTGGAAATGCATAATGTGCGCCATGGAATCTGCGGTAGTATTTGTTACAGCCCAGAGGAATGGCGTCAGACGGAGTTTGGGAAGCGATTAGCAAAACATCCACTTGTCAATGTGACGTGTGAGAGCTATGCGAGCGCAACTCCGTCTATTCCCCTACCTCACATCTACGATAAACGTCCGCTGGCGGGAGTTAAGGTGCTGGAAATGGTGCGCATTATTGCCGGACCTACGATTGGCACGACGCTGGCTGCGTACGGAGCGGATGTGATCAGGGTGAACTGCAGTCGTCTGGTGGATCTAAATGTACGCTTCTCTTTTCCCCCGAATTTAACTGACTAGTAGATATAGCTAACAGAAAAGGCGTTACAACTTGTTCTGAACGCAGGAAAACGCACTATCGACCTAGATATTTCCAAGGAGGCGGATGTAACGCGATTGCAGGAGCTTTTAGAAGATGTGGACATCTTCATCCAGGGATTCCGGTATGGGTCTCTAGAGAGAAAGGGCCTAGGGCTTACAAGCATGTTGGATCGCGCCGCACAACGAGGCAAGGGCATTGTGTACGTGGATGAGAACGCCTACGGACCGGACGGGCCTTTTGCCGAGCGCCCCGGATGGCAACAGATCGGTGATGCTGCATCAGGAAGCTCCTACGTGATGGGACGGTCCCAGGGGTTCGAGGAGGGCAAGAGTGCGCTTCCTCCGCTGCCTGTTTCCGACATGACGACAGGTCTGGTAGGCGCGCTGTCAGCTATGTTGGCGATCCGTGAGCGTGCAGTACAAGGAGGATCATATCATGTCGTGAGTTCGTTGGTTGCGGCAGATACGATTGCACTAGAGGAGGAGATTGGATTGTATACCCCAGAGGTGGTGTTGCAGACGACTAAGCGGTTTGGATTCCGGCCCATCACTCCGGACCAGTTCGTGCCGGAGATTTTGATCAATGTAGTTGATGGATGGAAAAGAGTTTTCCCGGAGTACATGAAGGAAGACTCGTTGTTCATGATGACATTTGACAAGGGACCATGGGGGCGTCAATCCTTGTTGAAGCCGGTTGTGAGATTGGATGACGAGATAACACCGATGTGGACTACTCCTCCGGTGCCGCATTGCTATCATGATCGAAATATTAACTGGTTGTAAATTAACTAGTTATCCGTCAGGTTTAATTACTGTCAAATCTATATACATACGAGTTATAGATACTTCTCTTACGTTATATGATGAGAGATATAGAAATAACTGATTTCAAAACTTTTGCAGTTCATGACTAAACTGATTATCCTTCTTGACTACTATCAAATGACGATGTGGAGGTCGCTTACTGACGTGATAGTAATATATAGAAACTTACGAAGTGTTTGAGACAGGGCTAGGACTAACTAACTATTACCTAGGCATTATATATCCAATGAAACATCCCAGTCCATATGCAAAGGAGAACCAGGTATACTAGCCATAAGATCTTGCCAGTTCCAGAAGGGAGGAATCGACCACTGCCAATCCAACGTGGAATCAATAATGTCTTCACGTTGAGGATCCGTAGCATCAACATTTATAGGAGCGACTGGCTCTCCATGAGCATTATCCATGCTGACACCCTGCATACCTGTTTCCTGTCGACGACATTGCCTCAGGATTCGTTTGGCTGCATTTTCAAACTCCGAGCAGAGACTGAGAACGTAGTCGACGTAGGTCCCAGGCTCCCGAGAAGAAATTGTAGACAGAAAGCGGACTGTTTCATGAAGTAGAGAAAGGTCGCTGCTGGCTTGTTCATGATCCGGATGGACGAAGATTCCTAACGCAAGGGTCGCTGACGCTGCAGCGGGGAAATACAGCATGTTCCTTTTCTCTTAGTGGGGTTTGCTAAGGGGAAGGCGGGACTACTTACCATTGATGCGCGGAGCCAAATCGTTTGATATACTTGATCAGCCTCACGGCAGATCGTGCTGACTCCAAAGATGCCACCATAGTCTGTGCGATCTCGTCCTCAACTGGTGGAATGTTTCTGGCAGAGAGTATCGACGCAGGTCGTCCTGCATGCATACCAACTTGGTAGAGATTGCCATAGCAACAGTGGAAAGTTAGATGGAGACGCAGAAGATGATACATGGGATATGCAGTGGCTGTTGAGAATGTCGACTGTGGCTGGAGATTTGTTGGTATGGCGTGTTTCCAGTCCAGCAGGGCATCCTCACAGGCCTTGACCTCTGCGACAATACTATCTCGGGTCTTGTTCTGTACTGCAGAGGTGTACAGGTGGTGGTAGACCCGCCGCTGTATCAAGGCGAACTGTACCAGAAGCCGGAAGAAGTTAACCGGGGTGCTATCTACTATCAGAATACCCTTTCCATCCACTGGTTCCTCTGCTGGTAAGGGCGTGTCATAATCATTGCTGTCCTGGACCGGCGGACGGCCGACTCGAAGGGAGATGTCCGCATCGAGGATGAAGGCTAGCCAGTACGTTCTGCGTCGTTCCTCGGTTTGATGAGTCGTCATTCTGAGAGCATGCGCACGATGTAATCCGATAGACTGGGAGAGGCGCATCGCTGCGGCAGCGAACATGAAGAGGGACTGGGGATTCGGGGTTCCCTGGAAGTAGATAGCCAGGCCAAGCATCGCCTGGACAGCGAACAAGTCCGCGGTGCGCATGAAGAGATCAACAATCACGTTTAAGGTATTCTTAATATGGCCCAGCGACAACTGCCATTCAGGCGCGTTATCGGATTCCTGCGCCCTTTGAGCGTAGGCGAAAGCCAACACCACGTTCAGAGACGCCCACCACGAGGAGCTTTCGTCGGGGCTCCACGAAAATTGACGATCAAGGGCTCTTGCAAAGGAGGATTCATTGAATAATGGAATGGCTTGGTTGAATGTAGAGAAGAATTCGGTGACTAGCTGCCTCACGACACGGTTCTCAGGCAAAGGTTGGAAGACCCGTCGTTGGAGATCATCCTGCAGAGGGCGAGGAAACCATGTACCCAACTGCCATCTCGAAGCGCTCCTCTGTACTGCAGAGTGCCAAATGGATATTCTGGACCCACCGGTGGGCCAATGGGCTCCCTGTTGTGAGGCAAATGCGAATCCAGACGAAGGTCCTACGGTGAGTTATTACAGGGGTACTCTGGTAGAGTGATAATCGAGGACGGACCAAAGAAGCGCATTCTTCCATCCTGCGCGTTGATCACATATGAAGCTTGATCCATTACCCCTTCGCTTTGGGAATGCTCGGAGTCATGGTCTACTGATTCGCTATCGGATCCATGTATACTTGGCTCTTTCGGTTGTTGTAATTGCTGCTCCATGCTCTCCAAGCGTCGTTCCAACTCCTCCACATACGCCCTGAACTATATTAATCAACGTATTCGCGCGGTTATTTGGGCCACTTACCGACTGGGGCGCGTCGGATACTGCACAGTATCCTGAAAGGAGCAGGAGAGTTTGAAGGCATGGCATGAAGAGCAAATGGGGCGTTTTCCATCGCATTTGGTTTTTTTTCGCCGACAGGTATTGCAGGCCTGATAGGTCAGTTACCCATGCAAGATAGTTCTGGGGTCTACTTACCTTGGCGCGGCGGACGATACCCTGTTTCTTGACCATTTTCGTCGAGGGGATGCGACTGGAAGATCAACCTGGGGGTTCAGGCATTTGGTGGAGATAGTTAATACTCGGGCCGAGTATTCCGATCAGGCATGGCAACCGTAAGTTCCCGCTCTGATTAATCATGATAGTCGCTTATCGTGATAACCGATAATCAATCGATTAATCTACGCGCGACCTGTGCACTCTTGCTTGCTGTTCCTTTCGGGGCGTATTATCCAATAGGGTGCACGCCATGCGTTCTCGGGCCCGAGCGATAGTACGGAGTAGAGATCCGGTGCTGATCATCCTAGTTGGTATTCAGACTTTTAAAGCTTGTTCTCCTGCGGTGTCGCCCAGTCCTACCATTGCGCCATAAACTTGCATTGAGACAATCCACGAGCAATTTGATTGTTGCTTATGTGGTATTGTGCCTGCATCACATTAAGTCAGGTATTGTTTTTTCTTGTAATATACTGTATATGCAATGGTACGACATCGTCACATACGAAGAGAAAGTACGGTATGTGTATTTCAGATGTCATAAACCTCTGACTGGGTTTCAATCTGATGTTGGCCCTAATTATCTAATTAATTTGAATAATGATAGTCTTTTGACAAGTAGCATAAGACCCTGTTCTTTCTCTTGATCAACTCAAGTCAGCTTCTATTGGCATTCAAGCTAGTTCCGCCTTAAGCAAACCTTGCGCCCTTCCACCATGGTCGCTACTATGGAAAACCACTGCGAGAAACTTGAGCAAAACGGACACTCATCATCCCTTTTGGAGAAACTGGCCAATGAAATATTGCAGAAATCCATCCAAATCAGTATGTATTTGGCTGCAAATGATCATGCACAGCCATCGTTTGACAGAGACGCACCCATTACCTGCATTCCCGCGAATGCACCACCGGAGATTCGCAAGGCTCGCCAAGACCTCATGGAAGGCTCCTTGAAGGCCTTCCAGCTTGCGATGGGTCCAAGCGAATATATTCCCAATCTAGCATTAGGTGTCAGTGTGTCACGTCGTGTATTTTCGATAATATTAGCTAATATTCTCCCAGTTTCATTATCTAGCATGTTTGCGCTGGCTTGCTTACTTTGACATCTTTGCGAAAGTGCCCCTGCAGGGTTCGGTCCCGTACGAGATACTAGCACAAGAGGCGAACGTGTCTGAGACTCAGCTCAAGGCAATTGCTCGCATGGCAATGACCAACAATCTCTTCTGCGAGACAGAGCCGAACCACATCGCGCATACTGCTACTTCCGCACTATTCGTGACACATCCTGAGACCCATGACTGGGCGATCTTTATGTCTGAAAAGTCAGCATCCTGTGCATCCAAGATTCTAGAAGCATCGGTGAAATGGCCCAAGAGTCTTGCAAAGAACAATACCGCCTTTAATGTTGCGTACGGCACTGACAAACCCTTTTTTGAGTGGCTCGATACCCAGCCGACAGAGCGAGAGCAGTTTGCCAAGTACATGCGGATGATCCAACAAAGCGAGGGTATGTCGCTAAGGCACTTAGTAGACGGCTTTGATTGGGCTTCGCTGGGGAAAGCCACAGTCGTTGATGTTAGCAAAAATTCCTGTCTTCTGTTTTGGTGACCGGTATTCTTACTATTTTATTTGTCTAGGTCGGAGGCTCGACCGGAACCGCCAGCATCGCTTTGGCCAAATCATTTCCCGATCTGAATTTTATTGTCCAAGATCTCCCGGGAAATACCAAATCAGGCGCGGCGTCTCTTAACGAGCCATCCCTGGCCGGTCGCATCTTATTTCAGGAACACAATTTCTTCGACATCCAGCCGTTCAATGGCGCGGACGTGTATCTCTTACGCATGATTATCCATGACTGGCAGCTTGAAGATGCGGTCAAGATTCTTCAGCAGCTCTTACCGGCCTTTAAGAAAGGATCAAGAATCGTCATCATGGATATAGTCCTGCCGACACCAGGGACCATTCCAACAGTGCAAGAAGGCCTTTTGAGAGCCCGTGACCTGACGATGTTGCAGAGTTTCAATAGCACCGAGAGGGATACTACTGAGTGGACTGCTCTTGTCAAGAAGGCGGATCCGAGTTTACAGATCATAAATATAGTTCAACCAGTAGGGAGTATAATGGCTGTGTTGGAGATCGTGTGGGAACATAGCTAGCCGGAAAATCCCGTGGCCTTTGGGATGTACCGTTGACCGTCTGGTTGGAATCATCACGTTTGTATAACTTCATCATTACCTAGCTTGTGACGGCGCTGGGCCTGTATATACCCACAATTCAAGAAAGGAAAACGTTCAGCTTAGCACATAATATAGACTGTGCATTACTCCTTAACAAACCAAACCCTATGGCCACTTTTGAATCGAAACCCGACGCGCTTCTCCGCAGCCAGCTTCATCAAGACCTCTTTCATAAATGGCTCAAAAACATTCTCTATCACCTCTTCAGGAAGGGCACCAAAGACATGTGACACTAGTTCTCTCGGCGCAGCGCCCTCTTTACTTTTCAACCGAAGCGCCTTCAGGCCCGCAATAACCTGACGCTCTCGTCTCTGTTTCCGCCCAATCTCAGACTGGAACACCCGACGAAGGTTACAGATTACCTGGCCATGTCCCGGGTACCCGATCTCGCAGCACTGATCCTGCATTTTACACAGACTGGCCATATACAACGATAAATCTTCCACGGCAGTGGTACCGTGCCCGAGAATATTGTCGCCGGTGAAAAGGGCATTTTCCTCTTCCAGGAAGAAACACATGTGGTCAACCGAGTGACCCGGTGTGAAAAGAGCATGGATTGTCGCGCCCTCCACGTGGAATATTTGACGGTCGACAATGGGCTTTTGTCCATTATCTGGATCACATTTGTAGATTGACTCCTTGAGTTCTGGATAGAGTCGTAAGAGGTCAGACACGCCGCCCGTGTGGTCGCCATGCCAATGTGTCAGGAGGACTTGGCTGATGGTGATATCGTGCTTGGAAAGCAGTTCCGCCACATGATCGATCCATACGGGCATGCCTTGTCCGGTGTCAATGAGTAATCTTCTGGTACCTGTGCCAACTAGATAGGTATTGGTGCCTTGAAGTTGCATCTGAAAAGGTTGTCAGCAACAACAAGCTCATTGATATACATGGAGGGATTGTCCTTTATAGCATACGTGACCAGGATTGCCACCAAGTATGCGGAACACTCGAGACGAGACTTGTTCTACCTCTGGTAGTTCTGGCAGTGATCGCACCTGTGCATTCAGGTAATCTTCAAATGCATAGAGGTTGACAAGTTTATTGATAGAGCGGTCCATAACTAAGGACCTGATTTAAAGGCGGTGGGTTGACTGGGACACGAATTCACGCTGAGTTGTATTGTGCAGGAAGATGCCTTAATACTTGTCCCTGGTCATGAATATATTGATCTCCCTTGTCAACATAGACGAAAGATTACTGTACACTTACCGGAATTACCGGAACAGCCGCAACAAGTACAATACAGAACAGACGGTCATTTGTATCACCAACTAAAGCGTTCTAGGCTTGGCTTGATCGGGCTTATCGCCTCGGCCCATCTACCCCAACCCCTAAGCCTTGACTCATTTGAGAGTGAGATAGGAGTCGAGCGGCAGATGGTGATTAAACTGTCCCAACTCAGTTGACCTGCAGATTGGACAGCCATATAGCCTTTCAGCAACTACAGGAACAAAAACAGCAGAAAATGTGATGGATACACCCTAGACAACTAAAGTACATGCTACCTGGACAACAAACTCAGGGTCTTGAGGGTTTCGGGCCCGAGAACATAAATCCGATTGGCCACTGACTTCCGAGACGTACAACATGGGCCCGAAAGTAGTTTTATATAGATATTTTATATGTTCGATAGCTTATATACTTCAAAATTGTGGAATAGTGCGACTCAAAGTCTCACAACCCTCTCCTCACTCTTGTTGACCTACCTAGATTGCATTAGAGTATATATCATCTGGAAGGTATACTCTTAATTGAACGTTTACTCTCAATCAGTTCCAACCGAAAGATGCCAGAAGACCCAATGTCGCGAGAGATTTCAGCCAGGGGCAAGCGGTCTTCCTCAGGAGTACAGGCCGTATCAGAGAATATCCCAGACGACTCTGTCTCCAAAAATGAGGTCGCTGCGGAAGAGCCAGTCGCACATCCCAACGAGAAACCCGAGACTGGGGACGACCATGAGTATCCTGGGCGAATGTCCTTAACAGCAATCATGGTTGCGCTGAATTTAGCAATATTCCTGGTCGCTCTGGTAAGCAAGATCCTCGCCTCTATCCATTGCAAAGGTCATCGAAACCTCACATTCTTTCGCCTCTAGGATCGAAGTATTATCGCCACGGCTATTCCACGCATCACCGACGACTTTCATGCCTTGAACGACATTGGATGGTATGGAAGCAGCTATCTGGTGACAGGCTGCGCCTTCCAGCTTATCTATGGCCGCTTCTACACCTTCTACCCACCAAAGTGGGTGTTCCTTTCAGCCATCGCCGTGTTCGAGATTGGTTCTGCGGTGTGTGGAGCAGCACCAACGTCGACTGCATTTATTATCGGCCGGGCAATCGCAGGATTAGGGTCCTGTGGTATATTCACCGGGTCGATTGTCCTCATCGTCGATGTAGTGCCCTTGCAACAGAGGCCGATGATGACAGGATTTATGGGGAGCATTTTTGGTGTGTCCAACGTGATTGCACCCTTAATGGGCGGAGCATTTACGGATCGAGTAACATGGAGATGGTGTTTTTATATTAATCTGCCTGTCGGCGCTGTGACAGTTATTATTATTATGTTCCTCCTCAAGGCATCTCCTCCGCCGCATCCATCGACAGCAACGACTTTCCGAGAGCGAGTGAGCCAGTTCGATCCGCTCGGGGCATTTTTCTTCCTGCCTGGTATGGTATGTCTGATTCTTGCCCTACAGTGGGGAGGAACAAAGTACCCCTGGAGCAATGGCCGCATTATCGCCCTTTTTGTGCTATTCGGTATCCTCATGATCGCCTTTGTAGCGGTGCAGGTGTGGAAACAAGAGACTGCCTCCGTTCCGCCACGAATTATCAAAGTCCGAAGTATCGCAGCCGGGGTCTTTTACTCCCTCACCCTAGGAGGGTCGATGATGGTTATCGTCTACTACCTTCCTATCTGGTTCCAGGCCATCAAAGGGGTCAGTGTTGTCAAGTCCGGTGTCATAAATCTCCCCCTCGTCCTCTCACTCGTGATTGCCGGGATCCTGGCGGGAATAGGGGTAACACGCATAGGTTACGCCGTGCCGTTCATGTATGCTAGCGCTATCCTGATGTCGATTGGAGCAGGATTGTTAACCACATTTACTGTGTTTACCGGGCATGCTAAATGGATCGGGTACCAAGTAATCTATGGATTCGGTCTGGGTCTAGGGATGCAGCGAGCTAGTGTCGCCGCTCAAACGGAACTGGAGAGAGAAAGGATGTCCCTACTGGTTCTGCGTTAATGATGTTGTCTCAGTCGTTGGGTGGTGCTATTTTCCTGGCAGTCGCCCAGACAGTTTTCACCAATGGCCTTATCTCAAATCTCCAAGGGGCAGTACCAGACTATGATAGCAAGAGCCTCGCCCATATTGTTGAAGGTGCGGGAGCAACTACTCTTCGTCAAGTTGTCGGTGGTCAAGACCTGCCGGCTGTGTTGGTAGCTTGTAATATGGCTGTAAGAAACACGTTTATCGTCGGGCTGGCTTTGTCCTGTACTACTATCATCGGCGCTGTCTTTGCTAAATGGACAAGTGTCAAGAATCCACCACAGAAGAAGGGCGATGGGCCTGCTCTGAAAGGTAATAAAGCTTAAGGAATACTTAAATGCTCCTGACTAGAAGTGCATTGGTTGACCTCTAAAACACCCTCGGAGAGGTTGGACGGAAGGCGCAGGGTTATAATGCAGGGTCTTGTCAGAATAAAGCTAGTCCATATTGGGACATCATGTGAATATATATACCCAATACTCCTCATAGAGGGGTTGGGCAGAGAATCCTTCTGAATACAACAACTTCATACCCCCCCATATAATCTAACAATTAAGAGTCTCATTTGTTAAAAGAGCACTCATATATAGATAGATATATATCTATATCTATATTAACCCTATTTCGCTATGTCAACCATTCAAGACAGCACCATTCGCCTCAACACACAGGAGGACTGGATGCAGTGGCAGACGCAGTTTGAAGGCCTAGCTAGAGGCAAGGATATTTGGGATATTATTACAGGTGACGGAGAGGATCTTCCAAAGCCTAGAATGCCTAACGAAGAGGATTATCTTCCTCCACCTGCTAATAGCACCCGAAATGCCTCCACAGGGTCCCATGCGGAATATCAGTTGGCTTGGACAATTTATCGAACCAAACTGGAGGAGTACAACAAACAGAAAGCGGAGTTAAATAAGATCAGACGAATGGATTCAAAAGACTGTATCACCACAAGTCTATGAATTCTGCTGCATTCCTTCTATTCCTTGAACGACTGGTATGACAACCTAAAGAAGAATGTTGGAGTTGATGAGTTTAGAGTCAAAGAACTGGCTCGAGAAGCTTATCAAAAGGCCATCAAGACTCCAAAGCCCAGGGACATCAACACCTGGATAAACAATTGGGAGTTAGCCATGCAGAAGGGGATAAAGGCAAAGATTGCAGTTGCTACTTCCTTAACTGATTGGATTAAAGACTTTCTAAATGCAGTGCGATCTTTGAATCCTCACTGGGTAGAATCTTATTGGATAAATAAGAAGCAAGACATTCAAGAAGAAAGCCTCTCCTTTAGAATGGTCGCGCAGGACTTCCGTGATAGCATGAATCGAATGGGATTACCTCAAGGCAAGATTGCCAAGGGATCATTCGGTCCTACCTTTGGAACTCAAGACGAAGGTAGTGATGCCTCTATCTCTGGAACTCATGGCAGAGATAGTGACGAAGATAAGGCACCCGCACCAGATACTAGGAGGTCCCGAAAGCGGAAGCAGAGGACCGAAAGCCGTGGATCACCGAAGGAGTTCAAGAGGAACAATCCGGGATCATCAAGACCGGCAAAGGCCTGCAGAGCTTGCGGACAATGGCATAATTGGAAGGATTGCTTTTATTTATTCCCTAGGAAGGCCCCAGAAGGATATCAGGAGCGTTCTGAAGTTAGAAGATTGGTAAATCTGTCACTAAAGGATGATCAAAGCTTTGCCAAGCAGGTGGAAGAAGAAATAAAGCAAAAGGCTCAAGAATGACTAGAAAAGGAACCAGCATCTCCTTCCTTTCTAGTAAAGAAGTAGGGAGAATACCTACTTCTTTTATCTTGCTTCCGTCCACATATCCTCTCAAGAACTCTGCAATCCTTGACTCCGGCACGACTATCCATATATTCAACCAGTTCTCTCGATTCGATCGATACCAGCCAGCGGCACCCGGAGATTTTGTATGGGCAGGAGATTCAAAAGTCTCTATTAAAGGATACGGCAATGTCAGCATTAATATTAACTCGAAGGAACGGAAAACAAAACTACGACTGTATGATGTTGCTTACTGTCCTAATATGGCGTGTAACCTAGTGTCTTTGAGGCAACTCCATCGAATGAATCTATGGTGGGACAATCAACCTGGTCAGAATGTTATTCGCACTATAAAGGGGTTTCCAATCGCTTACCTGGAGGATCGACATGATCAATTTGTCCTTGAATATATCCCGGTATCAACACATGCAACATTCGCTACCAGATCTTCACATCAGAGTTCGAAGTCAGTGCGAGCAGATGCTAAGAAATGGCATCTCCGCCTGGGGCACCCAGGACCGCAAGCAATAGAGCACCTAGTTAATGCTTCAAAAGGTGCTAGGATCCGGGGTCCGACGACAGTGAATGTGATGCTTGCGGAATAGCCAAAATAAAGCGTCAGATTCAACGTTTTCCCCGAGGAATAAAAGAAGGACTGGATTGCAACTGGCAATTGACTTTCATGACTTTGAACAAGGATATCAAGAACTTTAAAAGCCTTATGTTGGTGACAGACAGGTGGTCTGGCATTATCTGGGACTATTATTTTCAAAATCGCACCGCGGAGGCAATTATCAAGGCATTAGAGGACCTATTTAGGACTCTAAAACATCAGTACAACATCATGCCTAAGGTAATTGAGTGTATAATGAGATAGTTACCAGAAAACTCCAAGTCTACCACTATATCCTTTCGAAAGGCATCAAGGTTGAGCCTTCTGCGCCTAATACGCAATCACAAAATGGAGGTGCAGAACGCTCAGGGGGTGTAATAAAGGATAAGGCTAGAGCTATGCGGGAAGGTGCTAAATTGCCTGCGTTTCTATGGCCAGAAGTGGTACGAGCAGCAGTTTACCTATTTAACCGAACACCTTATTATCAAGCCAATAGGAAAACTCCTGTTGATAGGTTCCATACCTATATTGCACACATCGTAAGGTGTTGTGGTGGAGGATAGAAAGCCTTAGCAAGCGCATCTAAAAGTTTATGGATGCAAGGCCTTTGCAATGACTCCTGAAGCTCAGAAAAAGGAGAAAAGACTGCAGAGATTTAATCCAAAGGCATGGATAGGATATCTAGTTGGATATGACTCCACTAATATCTATCGAATCTGGTTGCCTCGGTTGAATAAGGTTATTCGGACAAGGGATGTAATTTTCAATGAAGAGGAATAATTCTCTGGTGACATAGCTAAGACCTTAGCCACCATGCAGGATGAATTTCGACAAGTTCCCTTAAAGGAGTTTAATCAAATGGTGGAGAATATTGAGCTTCAAAGCTTGCCAATGAGATGGCAGAGGATTCTTTGTCTAATGGACACTTTGACTCAGTTGATTATCTTGCAGATATTCCAGAATCAAACCAGCAAGAAAAGGAGCAAGATACTTATCCAACACCTCCGGAAACACCAGAAGCTTCATTCAATCCAGCGTCATTATTTGCATCGGCATTTTTGCAGCGAATCCACTAGCCCACCAGCAACTCCGAAATTATCAAGACATCTGCGGACGTGGAAGGCAACATTCCTAGCAGGACGACTTATTCAACCTGTTCGAAGACATAAAGAAAAGACGATCAGCAAAGTAACATTGGAACGACTCCAGAGATGCCCAGGTGGCCTATCCAAAATACACCGTCGGAATTTGCCTCCAGAACCAGTATGGCATAGAGACCTGGAAGATCATCCACTAGGATCTCTGTTTAAACAAGCAGAAGAGGATCATCTCAAAGGTCATAGAGATATGAGGACCTGGGAAGAGATACGAAGATCCACCTGCTTAGGCAAACAAGTCCTAGATTGCAAATGGGTGTATGTGTATAAATTCGACAAGCACGGCAGATTTCAAAAGTGCAAGGCTCGACTAGTTGTCCGTGGAGATCAACAAAAGGACCGTACAGATGATCTATATGCAGCGACATTAGCTATTCGATCATTTAGGACTTTGATGTCTCTGCGGCCCGTTTTGATCTTGAATTAATTCAATATGATATCACAAATGCATTTGTTAATGCAGATGTGGATGAGGATGTCTTTATGCGGATGCCTCCTGGTTATAGAGTGCCTGGAAGACTGCTAAAGCTAAAGAAAGCCCTCTTTGGACTAAAGCAGTCCCCAGTTCTGTGGCAAAGATTGTTCACAAAGAGCCTTCAAGATCTAGGATTTAAATCTATCCCACATGAGCCATGTTGCCTAGCCAAAGGAGATATCCTTATATTCTTCTATGTGGATGATATTGTCTGCGCTTTTAGAAAGGAAAGCAAGAAGAAAATGGAAGAAATTATCCAAAGGCTTCAAAACCAGTATAAGATGACTGGAGGCGATAAACTGAAATGGTTTCTAGGGATAGAAATAATCCGGGATAGAAAGAGGCATCTAATATGGCTAAGTCAGTCCTCATATATAGATAAGATTGCTAACCTTTCAGAGTCAGAGCCAAAAGGTTATATCCTTATTCCAATGACTCAAGAGAAGTTATCTCTATATTCGAGTGCAGCAAGCTATCAAAGCATCCACCGATATCAACGAAAGATTGGTTCCTTAATGTATGCTGCAGTTGTGACTCGTCCAGATATAGCTTTTGCAGTATCAAAGCTATCCCAATTCCTCACCAACCCAAGTCCGGAACACCACAAAGCAGCAGATCAGGTGCTTAAGTACCTAAAAAGGACTCAAGATCTAGCTCTGCAGCTGGGGGGTGGAGATAATTATATCCTATATAGTGATGCATCCTTCGCAGACAACAAGGACAGAAGAAGTTCGCAAGGGTATATTATTCAACTATTCGGAGGGACCGTGGGATGGAGAGCGAATAAGCAGGCAACTGTGACAACATCTACAACTGAAGCAGAGCTATTAGCATTATCGCAAGCAGCGAGGGAAGGGATGTTTATGGAGAGACTTCTAAGGGATCTGCAACTTCACCTGGATAATCATCAAGTTCACATTCTATGTGATAATATGCAGACAATCCGACTTGTTAATGAGGACATCAACCGACTGCAAACACGGCTTCGTCATGTGGACATCCATAATCACTGGCTAAGGCAAGAGGCAGAGTCAGGAAGGATCCAAATTGAATATTGCCCCACCAACAAGATGTTGGCAGATGGACTCACCAAGGCGCTTCCAAGGGAGAAATTCGAGCTATTTGTGAAGCAGCTTGGTCTAGTTGACATATCTAGGCAGAGGACAAAAGGGGAGGATGAAAATCATCGACATTTTGATGAATTTGATGATATTCTGTGTGGAGAATGAATATGGGAATAGCTTCAAGTTCAGGTTCAAAGGATGTTTTGGAACCTGAGGGGGTGTGTCAGAATAAAGCTAGTCCATATTGGGACATCATGTGAATATATATACCCAATACTCCTCATAGAGGGGTTGGGCAGAGAATCCTTCTGAATACAACAACTTCATACCCCCATATAATCTAACAGGTCTCCAAAATAACCAAAAAAAAAAAAAAAAGCTTTAAAATGTATGAGTATGTAATTGAGAATAATAAAACAAATATCGCACAAGAGTATTGACCTTCGTAAGTTTTTCCAAAATGATAGAAACCAGTAAATCGTGTAGGTTTAAATAGTTTCAAAAATAACCAACGCTGTTTGACTGCTGCTGATACTCCTGAAATGAAGCATCCCACTGAGCCCAGTCAAAGGGGGAGTTTTCCTCAGGATATAGCCCTACAGAAGAGGCAAAATGAGCATTATAATCGACTGGGTTCGTGCTCTGCAAGACGCCCTCCCGTAGCTGGGGACCATAGCTAACATGACTTGCATCCATGGTTATAGCAGCCCTAGCAGGAGTACTCCGCTGGTCTTGGTCTTGAGATGATGAAGCAGCCACTCGGGTGCAAGCAGAAGGTGAGTACAGGTTTATCTGCTGCGTTAATTCTAGGAAAGTTGGAATAATGCTCGGCTGTGGGATGATAGACATGTGCCGACGCTCACACTCCGCTACATAGGCTGCCCATGCTTTGACAGCTAAATTCGCCAGGGCAAGGTGCAACGGGCTCCTTGCTCTAGGCCCTTGCTGATGATACTGGCGGCTACAAGTGACGTCAATTAAATACCAGGCCTTTGTAGTTTCGTCTCCTATAGCTCGGTATCGAAGCTCGTCCAGTATGTAAATCAACGAGTCCCAATGGAACTGGTTATCTACATGCCACAAATATTTCTGCATTTTAGAATATTGCCATACTCAATCACGCTGAGGCAGGTCTTAAAGAGAAGATTTTTCTTAACTTGGGTTGGAATTTCGCCTTTCTCATGATAAACGCGGGGATGGTGGGCAGCCAGGCGTAGTATTAGTGGTACTGACCATGCTACAATCATGGTCATGAGATAAAGCGGGATAAACGGGTTGCAATGGGTAGCGAACTTTCTCTTAATAACACCCTCAAGCTTTTTAATCATACGGTCTTTCTCTTCAATCGGAGTAGAGCCTCGACTTATAGTCTCCCAGTATCCATCAAACGTAACCGGTTTTAACCTAGATTAACGATCAAGCCACTGACCAAGCTTATAACGTATTAGACAAAAAATCATCTCCGTGGCACCTGATAACTCAGGAGGAGTTTCTTTTATTTCCACATCCAGATCACTGTTATTGATATTTAACGGAATGTGGGTATCCGTGAGAGGGTATAAAGATAAGGTGGAGCTATATATGCGGCTAATTGCAGCATCTACAACTGTAATTTACCACCAAAGTCGACGACGCATCTCAGTTTCAAATATAGGTAAACCAAGACGAGATCCATCCCGATGAAGACCAATTCGTTGAGTAATTTGTATTACAATGCCACTTAGAGACCAGAGTATGTGTGGATTGTATACTGTACAAACAAATAGCTGCATAGCAATAAGAAATAAGAAACCGTGGGACAGGAAGTAAAAACTCACTATAAATATCACAAATGCCTGTAAGACAGCCATGTTGGATGTCTTTAACAATCCTGCCTGTACCAAAGCTGATTGGGCAGCCTGCTGATATTAAGCCAACAGGGTTGCTCTGGACTTTCCAAACCCATGCAGGACTTCTTCGTCACTTAGAGATCTAAGTGCTGCGCAGTAGATTGCAAACATAAGAGCTTCAAGTTCACTTGGCATAGAATCAAGATTACCACTTGCATTCAGAATGCGCTGCTGTAAGGTAGGTACATGGATTATCTTTGTTAGTGGGTTTACATTCTCAAGGAAAATATGCCATAGTTTGAATATATAAACTGGATTTGGATGTAATCTAGATAGGTTGGGTGTAAAGGCTGCACCAAAAAGAAGAGCTCCTTTATCCAGCTCAAGCTCGCGTTTAATCCGCACCCTCGGTATCTGGTAAGATACACCGCCTGAACTCTCAGGAAGAATAAATTCCGCATCTTGAACCTATAAAACGTAATCAGTCTACAACTAACCGAACAACTTGAGTAGTGAGGATATCATTGCCACGAACCTTATTGCTAGCTCTCTTCCACAAGTTGCTATTGTAGGTTGTTAGTCTTTGATAACAATCACCATACAGATAAAAGGAACTAACTTATCTAGATATATGGATCTCTCGCCTTTTGAAATTAATCTCCCAGGCCCAATTTCGCTCCTAGTATTAGAATGGAGGCCCATAGGACCATTCTGTAGCATGTGCAGCCTCGTTCTGATGTTATTACCAACCAAGGACTCCTCGTTCCCGTCAGATACTTTAGTCTTCGGAATGTCATCATTGCACTTCAAGGTTCTAAGCACAGTCTTTTGCTGCGCTTTCCTCCGCCGACGAGATGGAAGGGGGTCCCGATATTGGCACAGTGCATGGTCCTTGACACAAGTAGAGCATGGTTGTCTCCTATCACATTTGACCTTCCTTCTTTGACAGACCGTACAGGCATGACTCTTCAGACCTTCAGAAGCATTAGTTGTAACGGGGGATCTGAGGCCATCAGCCATCCTATTTTTCTTTCTACCAAGAAAGCACCGATACGAAAAAGAGTCTCCTATGGCGAGGATCTCAAAGGGCGGAAGGCTGGATCAAGACAGGCCTCAACCGAGCGTGGTCAGAAAGGACTGATTCTGCCGCTCGCACCCGCGTTCGATAAGTCCACTAGACAAGGGTGTTGGAAGCGATTGCTTATTCTATTGAATGGGTGGCCAGGTGGCCGCTGGTAAGTTAACGTATTCGGTAAGCGAACCGGCCACGTAAGCGAGTTGGCCACCTCTCCCGATTTCAACGCGTTACATTATTTAAAGCAATTTAACTACCCACCATGCCACCAAAAACGCATACAAAATTAAATGATTTAATAGAGAAAGAGAAAAGGATCCAACTTGTAATAGAAGCTCTAAAAAATAAGCAGATTGATAATATTCGCCAAGCGGCTCGCTATTATAATATAGCATGTTTAACTTTGCAGGATTAACTACGTAGTATATCCACACGCCTTAAAACACGCGCCAACTCCCATAAACTAACTAAATATATGCAGATATTCTCTGACAGCCAGGCAGCTCTAAAATCAATACGGCGACCTCGGTTGGTTTCTGGACAGGAGATCCTACGGGAATGCTTAGAGCTACTCCAGTGGTGCAACGAGCAATATATCCAGGTAACACTGCGATGGATCCCGGCCCATCAGGGAGTGCCCGGGAACGAGGCAGCGGACCAGCTCGCCAAGCAAGCGGCGCAACGGGGACCCCTACGGGGACAACAACTGGTTATGCTGCAATCGGCGGCCAAACGAAAGATCAGGGCGGAGTCAAAGGCTAAATGGGCCAAGGCATGGCAACGGTCAAGGACAGGACGACCGACTAAGCGCCTAATCAAGGCGCCAGAGAAGGGCGTCCTACGGTATTGGGAAACCTCCGAAAGGCAACCAGCTCGGTGCTCATGCAGATGCGGACAGGGAGGATTGGACTCAACGGATCTCTTAGCCGTATCAACATGCGCGAATCAGCGCGATGTGGGTGCGATCTTAACAACCAAACACCCAAACATGTGCTTATGGCGTGCCCAATTCTAACCGACTTGCGGATGGACCTGCGGCGGGAACTTCAACGGAAAGGCTGCGGTGGGGTATGGATGGAGGGCTATGAGTCGGTAATACAGGAGGTAAAGGCCAGCGTGGCAGTGGCGGATTTTATGATAAAAACAGGCCTGCTCGGGCAGTTTCCAGCGGTAGACTCTGCAGCGACAGGGGTCACCAACCAAGCGCAGGGCGAGACGTCTGTCTCGGCCCGCGCAAGATAACTAATAAGGACATTGGGCTGCTGCCTGAAGCGAGTTCATACCAGCGGACGCCAGACCAGGATACCTGTGGCCGCCGAGCAGACCAGATAACGGTTCGGAGATATGCAGAAGGCGTTGGGGGGGCCGAGCCGGTGGCCACGGGGTTAATGGATATCAGAGACGCAGTGGGACCTACGGTGCAGCCCACGACTGCAGACGGAGAGGTACAGGTGCCGTCAGGGGTTGAGCAGTAACACCGCGATGTTTGGGGGTGTTGATACCCGGGGGTGACATTTATTAAATTTGCGGCCATTAGATTTCTTTGAAGCAAAGAGATTAGAAATGGACAGGCTACATACAAAGTACAAGTAGCACACAAATTCCAAATATCCGTGTTAGTTGTTCATGCTAATATCATTAATATAACGTCTGAATAGCTTAATATTTTGAACAACACCTTCGTATTACACAGTAAGTTGCCTGTCCTTAGGGATCCAATAGGACACTGCCTCAGCTTCCAATCCTCACCCGCCAAGAAATAGCAGCAGTTGCCCCACTATCTCCAGGCAGCAGAGTAACGGGCCAATGAAGGTCCAAGCTTTACCTCAGAAGAAACTGTGGGAACCCACTGCGGCCTAGGCTTTCGTTGGCATTCGCAGCCTTGTCAGAATTCCAGTCCACTGTGTCTGTTTCAGGGCAATCACAAACACACTCACACTCACACACTTACTAGGGATCCTCTTAACTCAGTCGAAGAGAATGGTTTTATTTTAGGAAAATACGAGAGCTGTTGCCTGTCTGACTTTCTTCTTGACAACGAACCTCCTCCCAGAGCATCATGGCACGCTCCTCTAAAAAGAAAGCTCCCGCACATCGCTATCCCGACCTAGTCAAAGAGGCCTCGGAAGCCCAAATACTCCAGGTGCTGAGCATCCCAAAGACCTGGGTAGAAGCAGATATGAAATGTCGGCCGCTACGGATATCTCCCAGAAAACGTACCAGACTGAAGGTGACATCTGGCTTCTTCGACTTCTTACCATTTGAGATCTTGGATATGATCCTGCTTGGGCTTGACTACTGCTCTCTTTCCACGCTGTGCGTAGTGAACACGAAAGCCGAGTCTTACATTAAACATACACTGTTTTACAAAAATGTAGTAGAGCATTGCTACAAGGCTCTTCAGAAAATGAAAGAGTGGGACCTGCTCCGTGTATATAGCGCGAAGACTATCTACAGGACACTATCCAATGGACAATGCTCGGTTCCAGGATGCGGGAGACTGGGTTCTTTGCTTTTCTTACCAGGCTGCTACCGCTCATGTGCCCTTTGCCTTGGCTCTACACCTCATTTATCATTAATCGCGCTGGAGACTGCTGCAGAAAGATACGGGCTGAGCGAAGCAGATATCGCCGACAATGTACTTTGTGTTCGGCCCCCCGGATGGCCTGAAAGTGAAACTTTTGTGGTGGAAGCCGATGCCATCAGCTTAGCTACTCACTTACGTGGTAGTCGGCCACCCATATTCTGTCGATCAGTGGGATGGTCAGATATGATAGTTAATCATATGACTGTTTGTCACTTCCCATTTGCTGATCCAGATACCGGAAAGCTGGAATTTGGGAGGAAATGTCGTGTGTGCTGTCTAAAGTACACAGAGGTGTGCAAGACGGGGTCGAAAGATGCTGACGATCGTCCCATTACTGAGTTGGAGATCTCAAAACATGAGATGAAGAAGTTCAAAAAAAGTGCTCTAGCTGTCTATGGAACTAAGCAGCTCTTAGGGCATATCTACAATGGTGAATGTCCACATGCTCAGGAGTTCTGGTCACGCGAGATCAAAAAGACCAAAAACCGTACGTAAAAAACGATTCCTGATCCTTTACTCGAAAAGCAACTTGGGATGATATTATCGACTGTTTTTACTGTCCTCTCGTCCTTCAAACCGGCTCATAATCACCACCTGTTGAGATAGACTGGCACTTGAGCAATTATGGGCGGATCGATCTGAAGTCCAGTAAGCAATTCACCCCAAGGCGCAAAGTGGTTGCCATTGGTAGCTTGCCATAGACGCTCCGTTCCCACATTAATAGGGTCATCAGTAGAATGCGCAGCAACAAGTATTGAAGTTATTTCAGCGTGGTTCGACATCGGAGCCGCAAAAATACTCGTCGTGGTACGACTAATGATTAAGCACTCGAACCACGCTCAGCTGGAACCCGCGCGAAGGGAAGTAAGTGTACACAAATCGCCGCCATCTCCAACCAGATCACGGAGCCGCCGATACTACCGAGCCGCCGCTTCTGTATTTGCATATAAAATAGCACTTTCGACGATCTTATTAACTCAACACCAGAGCATCAGGAGAGGATATACCGTACACATTACTGTATTACCATATAGATTATTCATATATTTTACTCTCAGCTCTTTAACCAGGCTAGATCTCTAAATTACCGAGATTACAGTGGTATTTCTTGGCTTTTTAGTACAACTGTAATTGATCTTTGGAAAATGTAGGGAAACAAGTAATTACGCCTTTAAGACGTATAAACATACAGTAATAAACTTTAGTTATAGTATATGCCTGTATGGTTGAATACGTTAACTATAATGTTCTTTATTATTTGACAAGACTCCCTAACCAGAATCCAATAAAATCTGACAGTAATTTAGAGGTCCTGGCGAGGCCTACTACCAAGTCTTTAGGGAGTGAAGAGCAACAGTACTTAGAGAGGATCTAATATATATATGATAATAATATCATTGGCAGTACATAATTTCTAGGGCCACATCATTGTACATATTATCCTATCGAAATTATTGCCTACTTCCCTGCATCCTCTCGATTCTTTTCCTTCTCCATTCTGGCGCCTTAACCCGCAAAAGAACAATTGCCGCCCCAACCAAAACAAAATTCAATATCGATAAACCCGAGAAACACCAACCCCATCCCATTCTCACAACAAGCGGGTGGATAATGGCAGCAGTAATTGCCGCCGCAGGACTTCGAAGCATATTCCCCAACGCAAATGCCTGAGCGGCCTGCTGGCGCATACATTCCGTCAGGAATGCGTTGCTTGTAACGAAGATCCAGGACATGCCGAATCCAACTATAATTTAGTCGCGGCTTGTCAGTCCAGTGTTGCGAAGTTTTCAAGGCAGTATATAAAAGGAATCAAGGACCTACCAAGAAATGTGGACACCAGCACTGCTGCTGGATGGATCGACCTCTCCACGAACCATCCGAACATTACCAGGCCACCAACACATGGAAAGATACCCCAGATCTGGTCGCGGAGTCTAGCCTCTGGATCGACATTATCCTGTCCTAGAATCTTGACCATGCGAGCCCGTCGCCAGTCAGACCATCTACCCCCGGCGATGGAGCCAACTACCATTGCGACACTAACAGCTACGTAGCCGCCTCCGACCTGCGTGGAATTCCAGTGGTATATGTCCTCAAGAGCCGTAGGAAGCTGGACAGCGATTCCAAAATAGGACGAATAGAGAACGGCTGTGTTAACAGACACAATCGCAATAGGGAGATATGTGAATAGTCGCCAATAACCTTTTAAAGTAGGTCTTGCTGGCGGAGAACCGCGTTCGAATTCAGGGATGAGGGGAGAAAAGGGACTAGGCGGCCACAGTATCCAGCCTTTTGTACTGTATAACTGTCCGTTGCCTACTCGGGCACGGAGAGTCTCTGGCAGGAAGAGCAGCATGACGAGCCATAGGGCAGCTGCCAATATTGCTAAGGCTGTGTCAAGGCCTGGGGAACTCGAAGCCAGAGGCGTGGAACACTTACCCAAGAGCGCAAATACCCATCTCCAGCTCACGTTTCCAGCTAATGCACCTCCCAAGATCGGGCCTAAGATTGGACCGCACTGGGGACCAAGCATGAAATAAGACATTGCTCTCGCCCTTCGCTTGGGTTCCGTGATCTGGTTCAATCATCAGTATATATCCGTATTTTGTTATAGAGAAGATACACACGTCAGATACTGTGCCTGCGCCCATGGACACCACTGCTGATGACCCAAATGCCTGGAGGATTCGAAGAAACACCAGAGCACCGAAGTTCGCCGGCAGGGCAGCTAGCAAGACATTGGCGACAATATATACTACCAGGGAGATTATATATAACGGTCGTCTTCCCTTCCAGTCCGCATAGCTTGACCAGTAGAGAGGCTGGATAAGGAACATTAGTACTTGCACACTGTGCAATAATATATAGACCCGACGGCACTCACCCCGAAGCCGAACACGGCCATGAACACTGATACGGTAGTATTAATTGCTGCAGTGCTAACATGGAACTCGCGTTCGAGGACAGGTAAGGCCGGAAGGTATATATTTCCTGCCAATGGGCCCAAAAAACCGGCCACAGTGACCACTGCGAGGATGAAGATTTTCTTAGGCCGAGAGAAGACCGAGTACGGAGGTGCTGGTGCGACAGTTGCGAATAATTCTTTCTCGGAGATATCGATTTGAGCTGACGGCTCTTCCTTCGGCGTCAACATCCCCAAGTTATTCCTTGGACTTGGTGGAGCAGCACTACTCGCCATGTCGATGGCCTACGACAATTGCAAGCCCTGAAGAGCAACTAATTTCAGTTCAAATTTGTAGATATAGATAAATAAAGAAAATAATCTAAAGTTTTTAAGTCTCTAAACAGATTTGAGATTAGTAATAATAAGAGCAGTTACAGTAACTAGTTAACGGATACGACATTCTCCACTAAACACAGCGCTGCAGGGAAGGATTAAAACCTGCTCAATCATGCGCATGCTATATTCTGAGTATAGACCCATGCAGAAAATACTCTTATTGAGTTTTCTCTCGTCCTCCCTCAGTCACAGATTCCTTGGCTATGGCATTGTAACGCATTGCCCTTGAAATATTGACTACCTCGTTCTTCCCAGTCCTTGCGCTCCAGCTCTGACGCAACATAAATATTTCTCCATATGAACCCAGTCTGAGTTATGTCCTCCACATACGGCACCATGAATAGTAACGGCGTCAAGAATGACATCCGAGCTCGTGAACAAAGCTCCGATAGTAACGAGGAGAATACTAATGAGACAACCGTCCATAATCGACAGGTTGCTTCCCTTAGGTCCAAAAAGGCCTTATGGGCATATTTAATTCTCTGCTTCTCCGTGAGTTGTTTGAACACGCTCTCTACCAGCTATTTACTGACGGGAACCAAAGACGGGCCCGACCAGTTCGATGGCCTTTAACTATGTCTCTGCTGCCATTCAGTCCGCTGCAAATAGTGTCGGCCATCAGCCAGGATCAGACAAGCCTTGTGCTCGCCGGGGCAATATCAAGTGTATGGTGAAGTTCGGGGCCAGTGAAATTGACTATGTTAGCTATGTGTAAGAGACCGTTTCTCTTATTCAATGGCCAGCGAACTGAAGTCCAAACCAGGCTATACCTACGTTCCATTGGTCGCGCAATGGAGGGAGTTGTCACGATCATGACGGGAGGAGTGGCGGATTATTCAGGTAAGAGCGCCGACCACGAGCCCTAACATCTATTCTTGAATATGTCCACTAACCATACCACGGGAGACAGGATATCGCAAAACAATGATGTTATCCTCTATCATACTATTCGGTGCTCTGGCGCTACCATTCGCCGGTCTAACTAAAGCCAACTACAGCCACTTAAATGCACTCGCAACCCTATATTGCTTGCTTACCACAGTCCAAGGAGTCTACACCGTTATTGAGGCGTCATATATCCCGATCTTCATGCGCTCTGTCGGCGGACTGCACTCCGCGTCGCCTGCAGCCGATCCAGATACAAAACGAACCTGGAAGAAGGGATTCACAGTTAGCGTTCTCGCGCTGGTCGCTAGCAACGTGGGCGCCATCGTTGCCCTCTTAATCGGTGTTATTCTTGTGTATGGCATAGGGTCATATGTGCAAGTGGGCTACTTCAGCTATCTCCTTGCCATTACCATCGCTGGTTGCATTACAAGTACGCCCCTGCACACAGCACTCAACCCTCCCTTTTGTTCGAGAAGGTTTCTTTCTTTTTTTCCTAATGAGAGCAAACAGTCACATTCGCCTGCATCGGTCAATTCCTCCTCCCCTCAATCCCAGGCCAATCACGACCAAAGGACCAAAACCTCCTCTTGCTCGTCATTAAAGGCTGGATCCGCTTGATATCCTCCGCCCGTCGCTACCCCGAAGCCTTCAAATTCTGCATCGGCTGGATCCTCTGGAACACGGGGTATAGCAACTTCCTGGGCCTAATCCAATCCCTCTTCCTCGAGGTGACAGGAATTGCTCGAGGCTCAGGCATTTACCAAGTGTGGTCCTTCACGAACGTAACTTTCGCCTGCATGGGCAGCCTCAGCTTCCTATTTATCTACCCGCATGTCCGGACCACAATCAAATCCTGGGCGTACATTTTCTTGGCCGTTAACTTCCTCTGTATTCTTTGGGGATGTATCGGGATCAGTAATACGGTAACAATTGGATACAAACATGCAGCGGAGTTCTGGGTCGAGCAGGTACTTTTTATGAGTACAAGCAGTGCACTACGGAGTTATAACCGGGCGGTGTTTGCTTCGCTGATTCCGTGTGGTTCGGAGGCGCAGTTCTTTGGGTTAGAGATTACGTTGGATTTGGCAACGGGTTGGATTAATCCGCTAGTGCAGGGGGTGATTCAGGATCGGACGCATAATTTGAGGTTTCCCATGATTCCGAATTTGTTACTTATTTTTGTGGCAGGCTGTTTCTATATTTGGGTGGATATTCCAAAGGGGATTGAGGATGCGAAGGTTCCATTGGAGAGGATTGAGGGTTGAGATTCTCATAGATTGGTTGGATGGCCTATTACCAAAAATTTTGTAGGGTTTTAATCCTACTTAAACCTTATTGTATAACTGTATGAATGAAAGACAGTATTCTACTCTAAAATTACTTAGTAAATGGTGCCAATGCCTCAGACATCGATTCACATTGCTTGATATTGGAAATGATAGCGTATAATATTGCGTTAAATGCTTGGATTTACACTCTCTAATATGCTCACGAATTTTGTGTCTGTGTTAAACTGTAGCTTAATTCTTTCTTGCTTTTTCTTTTCCCTTTTCATTTTTTTTTTTTTTTTCCAAGACCCATAAAGAACAAATATCTCCGAGTTCCTCCGAACCCAGGATTAGATCCCCATCACAAAAAAGTAAAGGAATGCCAGTCTGGCAATTAGGGGAAATAATCTTCGCAAAAGCTCTCTAGATGTGGCGATTCAGACGGGAAGATCTACTGTTCAGCCCTTTTGCTTGGCTTAGCGTGTAGTTGGATGGCAATCGTCAACGGAGTTTAGTTTGAAAAATTGGTTTGGATGGCTTGGCAACAGATATATACGTTTACTTACTATTACGCAATTTTGAGTCAATTTTTTCACTTCAAGCTATCTCATTTATTATACTCTTTCGGCGAACATTAATCGGACGGCTCGCGGATAAAATGGCCCAGCCTTTATACACCTTAGGTTAGTTCGAGTTTAAGCTATTCTTAAGAGGAAAGGTTCGGGCTAGATAAAATAGTTCTCTAGTTGGCACCATCATGAGGGAATACTCACCGGCGTCTTCCGATCCGGCCACTCAGGATCCAATGTCCAAGAGAATCTCTTTGTAAGGATAACGAGCGCCACTCTCACCTCCAGGAGAGCGAACTTCTCTCCCAAGCACGCCCGACTCCCGCCATGGAAGGAAACGAATTCCGCGCGGGCTCTTCTTTGCCTGTTCCTTTGCAAAATCTCTAAATTAGTGCTACCCCACCGTTCCGGCTGGAATTCGTCCGCTGTTGGACCCCAGACTTGAGTGTCGCGGTTAGTTGAGTAGCAGTTGTATCCGATGTAAGTACCTTCCGGGATGTAGATTTCATTTCCAAGTATTACGTCTTGAGATGTTCTGCGATTGATAAGTTGCGATATGGGGGGCAGCAAGCGGAGGCTTTCGTAAATGACACAGGTAAGGTAGGGTAGGTTGTTGATAGTATTATAGGATAGTTCTGCGATGCTGCATGTATCGATTTCGTTTCTCAAACAGTTTTGTATATCCTCGTTTGGTTAGGCTGCTATTTTTGTAGAGTGGCGAGCACTTACTGGATGCTTGGCTAGCAAATACAGCGTCGATATTAACAGGAGCTGGGGGGTTCTCCTGCCCAGCAACAAATATTACGTTCAGATTATCCTGAAACTGCTTTTGCGTGATAATACCACATTCTTTGGCTGCTATCAACCGTGCTCCAAGATTTCGTGATTTTGGTGAGTCCAGCGTGTCCGGCTGTCCCTGGCGAATGCAAATTTCCAACTCAGCTGAAAATTGCTTCACCATGTTCCTAGCCCGCATACGGCACGGGATAATCGCACTGAGCCTGTCCAGAATTGGAAAGTTCATGAAAATCGGCTTGAATACTTCCCTCTTCACGGCTAGTTGTAGTTGATGGAGGTATGGTTCATCGGTATTTGTGGCTTTCTATAACTCCAGGTCAGTGGCCGATATCTAATTGGAAGTTGAATACAGACTTTCGGATCCGCTTGCAAGATGACATGCAATACATTGGCGATAGTGAACTGTTGTACGAGGTCCTGGACCGGTACTCCACCGTTTCCAGTTGCATATTGCAATGCCTGAATTGAAGAGCACAGCTTTTGCGCATTAGCTACTATCAGCTTTGTGTCGAAGGTGCCTTGAAGACCGGGTTTAATGATCTCGATAAAGCCGCCAATCCTTGTCTCGAGACGAGATAATGTTGTCACCTATAGCTGGTTCTCAGAAATTCGACCAATTGCAGCTACCCAATCAAAGAAAGTATAGGACATGAGAGAAAGAAATCCATACCTAAATACTCCGCAAGTACACTATGGGGAATCTTTATCTGATTTCCACTTTTCTGATAAATCTCCTCATTCTTGAATATTTCCGCTAGGTAACTGGATCGCTGTACAAGCAAATTCCACTGCCCTGCAAAGAAGATCTTTACCGCCCCATGAGTTCGTAGAGGTTTCTGGATATACTGTTTGTAGATTTGCTCTTGATCGATGTCCCAGAAAAGTGAAAGTAAGGTCACCCAAAATGGGATGGCAGGGATATTTCGAGGGTGGCGAGGAGGGAGCACAGCCCAGAGAATGGCTAATACGCCGATGAAGGGGATTGCCAGAAGGCCTTTGCCAAACATTATGGGGAGCCCGTACCAGATCATCGTTGTACATCGATCTGCAGATAAACCCAAAGAAATACACGTCGGCAACCACGAACTGAGATATTTAACATGTCAAATATCGTAGTGGGGAGTTCTGTTGTCCGAACTAGCTATTAAAGGTATTTCCGCTTGTATGTCTCGGTAAAGGGCGTAAAAAAGAGAAGCTGCGGTGTCCGAGTACATGTTGTGCCTTTAAGCATTGTAAATTCCAAGCCAACTGTCTGGAACCGACGCAACACGGACACGGACTAGTTAGTAGTTCCTTGTGTTGTCACATACTAAAGCGTGCTGAGACCCCTCAGTAAGTAAACAGACTAACAATGGTATGGGCCCATCCCTACTCTCTAGACCCTCTAAGAATCCGTTGTGCGACCCACGATAGCCTAAACCGGAGCTGAGAAAAAAGCAATCCGTGCTTCTTTCTAATAACCTATTGTGTTGCGTAATAATCTGAGCAATCGTGCTCAAATACACACGGGAGATTATCGTATTGAGAGAATCCGAGACTTAAATAATATCTAGTTTACTGTCCATGGAGTCTTACTAGCATAACAGCATTATGCCCGTTGGTCTTTTGCAAGTTTTAGATCTTTTTCCCTTTGGATAGTGAAGCACACTACAGGTTTCATCATGGAGGGATTCACTCTTGTGAGCTGCACAGGTAGCAAACCATCAATCTATGACCGAGCCCTGGCAGTTTATGTACGATATGCCAACGGCGACTTGGTCCGTTGCATAGGGCAACATTCTCAATGGGTCCAATTACACTGGATAAAGATTCGATCTGCAGTCGCGGTTGGAGACTCAAAGCTTCCCCACGGTTGCAGAGTTTACTGGTTGGAAAGTAATGCCGACCTGGGATTTCAGGAAGTCAACATTTATGAAAGGAGCAATGTGAATCAGAACAGCATTGCTGGGTTGATCCTGGAACCCAGTACTGCAGGATACTCCATCGGCAACCTACCCTTGGACCAATTCTTCGCCGAGCTTATTCTGAAACGCTTGAATATGGATATGGTCATCCCGCTCACAATCCCTGAGACTTCGGTTGATTCAACAGTTGAACAGCTTGTAAATCTGTTCGACAAGCAGCTCCGTTACCACGTGCAGGATGATCAATGGGAATTGCAAGGCAGAACGTACTTTGCGTTAAAGGTACGATTCTTCGTTTCCCGTAGACTCAAACTTCAGTTATGTCTTCCGGCCTTCCCGTGCAAATCCTCCAACCATGATAAGGTGATGGGCGTTCTCCCGGACCGAGGAGAAGAAATTGCTCTGCGTCGATTACATCTCTTCGTTCAACAGGTTGAACGTATATATTCACCCGGCGCTTTGATTTCGATTATTAGTGATGGACATGTCTTCAGCGACTGCAGTACGTTAGTGCCTGCCACCGCAACGGACAATCAAAGCTAACTGGTTGATAGTTGGCGTTGACGATAGAATAGTGGACAAATATGGGGCATATCTAAAAGAGCTTAATAAAGCCATTGCTTCATGCACTGGAGACGGGCAGCATGATCGTGTCCAGTTTCAGTCCCTCATCGACCTATTGAATCTGGATCACTCCGTCCTCGCTTCCACGGCGAACAAAGACGAATTACTCAATCTTCCACAGCTCCATCACGACCTGCCAACCACGCTCGATGAAATCGCTGAGACATGCCGCCGTATCTTAATAGCAGGCTGCCAGCCCTCAAGAGAGAACCTACGAACTCAGATTGACTCCCAAAACAGCCCAACGTTGGCCCTATATCGCGGATTCTCGCGATTCATGCTCGAAGACCTAGATCAGCATCCACTTACCCAATCACTATCGCGCTCTCGACGCAAGAAGCTAGCCGCTAAAGTGTCGTTCGAGATGATATTGCGAAATCAGGCCTATTCCAACTTCATTGAATTGATGTTTCCGGATTATCTGCGACTGTCTATTCATGCACATAATAATTTAGGACCTAAGTTTGGTATCAGGCTATTTGATTCCAAGACCGTGCGCGCAGTTAGCACACTGGATTCTGTATTTGGTAAGGATGGAGGCGAGAGCGAGAGCGATGATGATAGAGTTTCTACTTCTCACTTATTGCATATCCCCACACCGTGGCATAATTGCGTGGCTCAGGTTGTGGGGGATTCGAGGGTATATATTGTGAAATATGGCATTGTGAAGGAGGCATTGACCATAGACAGGTATTATGGTGACGTCGTCAGTGGCAATCTGATAGAAGGGGAAGGGGCATTTGTGTCACTAAGAAAGCGAGAGGGGTAGCAATATAGGCGGTTTTCGATAGTAGCAGTAGTAGTAATACAGTGAACTGTTCTGCAAGTCCCGCCCGGTTGCCCGATACGGGTGGCACCGCTTTTGTGAGGGCAGCAGGTGAACGATCCCTAAGGGCTCCAGGGCACTCACGGATTGCTCACTGAGCACGCACCCACCGCTCCGGCTGCTCCCGGAGGTTCTCAGGTTAGTTTGATCCTCGGCTAGAATGCTTAGTCAGTTGCAAATATAACTAGTTAGTTATAAAAGTTAACTAACTACTGTCGGATATACGGCTAGTCCCGAAGAGGAATAGAGTGCGATTGGTAAAAAGGTCTTGTTTGAATGAATTGAGCTGGTTGGGCTCTTCTTGGATACTCTTGATTGATCATTTTTTGTGTGCTCCGCGGGGGTTTTACCCCAATCTAGTCACATGATTCTGGTCCACCAACGCCCATATTATTTGACACTACTTAACCTGCGCAGGTCCTGACCTAAACTCTTGAAGGTCAGCAATTAGCTCTGCGATATACGTGGTCCTACCTTTCCTCCTGTGTACATTCCTATTCGTACCGTAGCGCGCCATTCAGCTCGTTACCGACCCCACGCATAACACATAGGTAGAAGGAAATTAATATTGCACAAAATTAGCAAATTTCATGAGCAAGTGTACAGAATAAAGAAAATGGAAATATCCGAGACTTCTACAGTATCCTATTCACCAGTCAGTTCAGGAGAATACTATACCAATCATGATCTACACTCAAAGCTGCTATGGTTGACTCCCAATAGGTATGCTATATTCCTGCGATGATGATTATGAAACTTCTCCTTCTCAATCCACTAACCAAATCGATTGGTAAAACCAGTCTCTGTTAAATGGGTAGATCACAGTAATATTAACCAAGGTTGAAACACATAACTTTACTAAAGTCCCTATCCCATAGGCAGTTCAAGTTTTTCGAGTATTTGTGACTCGGCTGGAAAACCTTGGAAGAGAGTCATCATCCTTTGTCAGCTTTGTGGTCTCTCCAAGGTTAACGAGTTCCAGTAAATTCCCATAAGACTTGTCTTGTTGGCCACGCTCAATGAACACTTCTTCCAGCAGCGAAAAGTTAGTTGGAAATAGAAAAGGAAGAAAACATAGTGAGTTGGTCAGCACCAAAGTCTTCGAGGTGTGGAAGCTGGATCTTGGGCTGTGGTCCGAAGTTAGTTGCTGAAACATCGACGTATACTTCCTTAATATTTTGGCCCAGTCTGTGAAAATAGCCCAATTCGATAACTGGCCTAAATATGGTGATTTTCTTCAGTGACTGGGACTGTCCCAAGATAACCAGGCCATTATACCTATACCCCGATAAGTTAAACGATGACAGTCGGGGGAGCTCTGAGAGATCTACAAGAACAGAACTTCGGCTAAGACAGATTTTGGAGTCTTGGCAAATTTGGGATCACCCAAGGATTTATGGTTTGCAGACATATGGTAAGGCTTCCAAGATTTGGAACGAGCAAGTGGGCTATCTAGAGGATAAGCCATGTAAGTAAATATCCCGAAGATATGGGTGTATAGCGAGTTGTGAAATATCATTGCCTTTGTTTGCATTGTACGGGTCGCCTTCAATTCTTAGGGAAGTAAGAGTTAATGCAGGATTCGACAACTATTTATAGAAGAGCTGAGAGTAGTGTCACTATACAAGGACCACTTCAAATTGGGGATTCTACCCAGTAAATCAAACAAAATGGGAGTCCCTGTGTGTGGGCAGTATAATATGCGTATGCTTCGTACGTACGATATCGATGTCCTTAAGATTTAAAATATTCTCTTTGCTTCCAACCGTCTGCGATTCAAAGTTTCGGGAAGAACTGGCCGGAAAGCGATCTCTGTATGCAGTCTTAGAATGTGAACTCGCAGCTAGTTTGTGATATTGTAGAGCGTCCATTGATCCTTATAGAGTAACTAAACTATCAGTATGGCATGACCTTGTCTGAAGAGGAGCTTCCCACATTATCAAACACTGCTTGTAATAGCTCTGCAGGAAGGTACATGAACATTAATCACACAAGGAGCTGGGAAGACCTCTAGTTGTGGGCTCCAAGAAAGATTCGGAGGGCCACAATGGAACCAATCATCACCGCATCAGACACGTTAAACACTGATTCAACCCGCGGGCGACTTACTTGCTCATCCAGAGCACCTGAGGCGTCAGACGCAATAACATTGCAACTGATTCCCAATCCTAGTCGCCGCCGACATAAACCGCAGCTGTCGTGTAACGCCTGTCGACGGCGAAAGTAGGTACGCCCTTTAAGTTCTCCTGACATACGCCGACCACCACCGGTGTGCTCAAGTCATCTCTAGCGGTTCCATCCAGTACGCATGGCCGCCTTTTCTAGCTCAAACACCTGGTCATGTCCATGATGCCGAGTTCGGGAACTGGAGCGAGCCTGGCTCCCGAAGGAGGCGATATGCCATCAGGGCCCAGGTAGGCCATCACCGCAGAGGGATTGGTGATGGAGAACCCAATCGATGGACGCTCCGAATGCGGGAGCATGCGCGTAAGTGACTCGGAGTTCCACTATGTTGGCGGAGATCACTGGGTGGCTATTCTGGACGGCATCGCCGATCTTAAGGACCGTCTGGACCGGGAGGAGCAGCTTCGACTGGCAGGGAGTCCTAATCGCATGAAGGATGAGGCTGACTATGAACCCGGCGATGCAAGCCACAAGCCTCGACTTGGCCGCAAGGCCGCCACTGGGGGCGCGTTTATACTGTATGGGTGTCGCCGCGTCACGTCCCATGAGGAGATCCACTCCGCACTGCCCCCAGAATACGCAATTGATCGCTATATTTCACGCTGCCTCATTACCTCGACCTGGTCCCATCTTGTATGGGACTTTCCTTCTACAGCCACCTCGGATGATTTCTCACTGCCGGACTAGCTGCGGCTCATGGACCAAGTTTTCTACTCCAGGCAAGTTAAAAGACTATGGAATTGTACAAAACTTTGGGGCTGCTATTTGTTATAATCATACCGCAAACGGTAAGCTTTGTCGTACAATAGCTAAGCATCTTAGGGAAAAAGAAAAAATTGAATGGGATCTAACATATTGGCGAATTTTTTGTATTGGCCATGTTAACTTATGGTTGGGATTCTGGTTAGACACCGGGCTCACTCTCCAAGAACACTATCGGGCTCGCCTGCAGAAGGCTTGGTCGGCCGGGGGTCATCTGCCGTCTCTGTGTCGGCAGCAGTGACTGCCACCGGGCCTGGTGCGCCAGTTGCAGATGGCAACGGTGCAAGCCGTGGCGCTGTATGGCGCGGAGCTGTGGTGGCAGGGTCAGAAGAACCAGGTGGACCAGATCCAGCAGACGGTGAACCGACAGGCACAAGCGGTGACGGGTATGCTCCGCACCACACCCGTCGGCGTGTAGCTGATCTATAATTGCCTGCGCATTGCTTCACAAGGCGCGGCAACTGGGATACACCACTCGGCTGCTCGGACTGGCCGAAGGCCAGCTGGCGCAGCGCATATTCCCGGTCAGTCTACGAGATGGAGACCAGGATGCGCAACCAGGGGAACAGCCCGAGGACGATCTTGTATGGGCCGAACCGCACGCACCCGGGCCGTGGTCGCTTGGGCAGCATTTGGCCCGACCGCGAGGCCAGATCCTGCCGATCGACCCCTACGGTGGATTTGAAGAAAGCGTGACGACATTGGACGCCCGCTTTCCGGACGAAGTCACTATCCTGCCGGTCGAAGAGGCGCTCCGTGCGGCGAAGACAATGAGATCGGGGCTCATGCTCTGGACCGGCGGCTCTCGGCTGGAGAATGGGCACCCCGATGCGGGGATTGCGTGGCAGAACTCTCGAGGCGAGTAGCAGACCGTAGAGATTCCTCTCGGCCAGGGAAAGATGCATGAAGAATACCCTGAGGGACGGCAGTTGGAGAGACCATAGCAACGGCGGCGGTGCTACGCTTACTGGAGGACACAACGGTGGGCTGCCGCGCGAGAGACAAGTCGCAAGCTGGAACGGGCACGAAGAGATGATGAATGCGGACTAGACATCTTGGAGGAACGAGCAGGAGGTGGTTAAAGGGGGAGGGTGGCTCGCTTGGCGAGTGACACCATACTGTACCGAAACCAAGGAGGGCCAGCCAAGGTGGTCCGAAAGCCCTAAGCGAGCTAAAGGCATAGAACGTCATCAGATATACATATGAAAGAGCAAAGAGCTATAGCCTACTACCCGTCGTCTTTCATAGCCGAAGATGCTCGGTTAGGACTTTAAACTTGATAAAATTTAGAAATATATATATATATATGTGTCTGTGGGTGCTCGGTTGAACTGCTAAATAATCGCCGAACCGATCATTTTCAAATATGTTGAATATTTAGGCGAAAAACACCTAATCTTCCGAATAGAGGTAACTTATATAGAAACAATTTCATATATAAGTTCCATCAACTAAATAATGCGCATATTTTGCACTATTTTATAAGTGCCCAGTTGTTCGTTAATCAGTTGAATAAGCTGCTTTGAATATGTTGAATATTCGACGCGGCAACGCATAATCTCTCCGATATGTGGTAAATTATATTGACACCACTATCCAATCACTGACTGGTCAATTCCAATGCCGACTACTTCAAACACCATCCCTTCAACTGTGATTCCTGGAGCAAAAGAAAATGCAAGACCTCTTGACAGCGGTCTTTCAATTTTGGCCTCGGCAATCATTTGCTCCAGTACAAATGGCAAAGATGCACTCAGCATGTTACCAAACTTTCTTAACACTTCCCAGCTCTTTGCCGCATACTGACTGTCTAGCCCCAGCGACCGAACCGATTCCTCAATGATTTTCGGACCACCTGGGTGAATAGCCCACAGGTGTACATCTGCTTGTGACAATTTCTGATGGGCCAACACCCTATTAATCACAGGAGCTAAACCAGTATATATATATGAAGGTAAATTAGGTGATAGCTCGCAGGTGATGCCGTTGTGATTGATGCCGAGGGTAATCCCGTCACTGGTCTCATCCACTAAATTGTGGAAGTTCTGGCGAATAATTATTTCTCCTGGCATTAGATGAATTTGCTGTTCCCTATGCCCTTCACAGGTGGGAGAGGGAGAGCCCACAACCATTGCAGCACTGCCATCCGCGAAGAGGCTTGAAATTATAACATCATTGATGTCATCATTGTATACGGCATTCACGCTTGATAACTCCACACAGCACACTAATGCCTTGGAGTCTGGGTGAGCTCGTACAAAGTCAGCTGCTAGTCGTAGTCCATTCATGGCTGCCGCACATCCCATGAAATTGACCACGGCACGTGATACTGAAGGAGAAAGACCCAGGCCCTTAACAATGGCAACGTCCACACCGGGTGCCACAAACCCAGTGCTGGTCACCAGGACCAACATTCCAATATCTGTAACAGGGTTTACAACTCGACTGGCGGTTAGGGCGCGCGAAGAAACTTTGATAGCTAGTGGCGCTGCATGCCTAACGAAAAGATCCATACGTTTGCGGATAGACATGGCTCTGTCAAAATCGGAGTGCAAAGGATCCACCGCCATATGGCGGGTATCGATACATGTCTTGGCATATAGTCGGGGAATGCGATCCCGCTGCTCTGGATTAGAATCAAATAGCGCAGCGACCACATGTGCTACATCTGACTGTGTCCTTTTACCCTCTGGAACCTCAGTTGCGATGCTTTCAATCACAATAAGAGGTTCTTTTCCGAGCCGTTGACGCAGTGGTGAAGCAAATCCAATACTCTGTACATCTGCCTGAGCTTGCGGGGCATCCTTTCCCAATAGTTCATTCACATTGCTCGGCGCTCCTCCATGGAATTTGGATACCTCATCCTTTGGACACCGTAATGCACAGGAGCTAGTTTTCATGCTAGACAGCAATGAGTCAATGATATAAGTACAGGAAGACTTTTGCACTGAGATTGGTTTTAGCAAGCTTACCTGGGTGAGCTGGCCATAGATATGTCTGAAGCGTAGGCACAGTAGCAGTTAATTCCGATAGGGTCTGGTACGAAGCTGCTTTGATATATAGTCAGCATAGCATTAATTATGTGACTTATATGTTGCACGTAACATACCCTATAATGAGAACAGAATCAAAAAAATCAACTGACACAATCAGCTGCACAGCAGTTTCAAAGTTTAAACAACGGGTATGGCTACATGAGTTATTTTTCTTACCATTGTAGAGTAGTCGAGATAAACGGAATAGCTGGGCTGGTGATAATACATGGACCTTGCATATACCCACATGGGTGAAATTTCCTAATTAAGCATATCGCTGAGTATTCTCAACAAAATATGGACCTCACTAGTGCTCTCTACTGTCAAAGCTTAGGTCGAATCCTGCCTGAGGAACTAAGACTGCTTTATTCACTGTTGATCCCATAAAATTTCCCATAGTTCCTGTACGATAAAATTCTTTTTTTCTTCCTTCCTTCTCTGCGTTTAATGTTTCGTTGGATCGCCACCTTAGATACAATTCATACATTTTACCGAGGTGTACAGGGTCATCAAATTACTAACTTAATAATCACCACAGTAATGAAGCTATAAGCCACGTATAGTAAATACTATAGAGATCACTAGAAGTAATAGAATTTAGACCATAGATGACATGCGTCTATGACGATTCTATTTTGTCCTGTTTGTGCACGTTAAATAGATATATTGGAGGTCCTACACGCTTAATATCCTGTGATGTAGTGAATGAACTGCGACTAGCAGCTGACTTTGTACAAGCTCACCCAGACTCCAATACATTATTGTGCTGCATGAGCTATCAAGCGTGAATGCCGTATACAACGATGACATCGATGATGCTATAATTTCGAGCCTCTTCGCGGATGGCAGTGCTGCAATTGCTGTGGGCTCAATAACTTCAAAACAGTGATTCTACTATTAGAAAACACAGGTCTAGCATAAGGATCTCTGCTGTTACCCATTCACTTCGGTTTCTTTAACTCAGACTTAGTAGATTAGCTAGTTAATTACAATGGCGGAGCATCTGCCTTTATCGATAGCTACTTCCGGTAGCGAGCCGGCACATCGGCAGAGGCGAAACTGAAGGTCTAGGATAAAAAAGCTTCCTAAATGAAAGCATGGGCTCGGCAAACAGGCTCCTCCTTTACTGCAGAAAAAACAGAACTAGTCCACCTGATCTGGAGTAAGAAAATACATGGCGCATGACCGATTATCATAAATAGCAAGGTTATTAAACCAGCCGATACTGCGAAACTCCTGGGAGCTATTTTTGATATGAAGATGCGATGGAAAGACCATGCACAACAGGTAGTTAAACAAGCAACTAAGGTTAGTATAATACTGGGAGAACTAAGATATCTCCGGCTGGAACAGATCAACAACTCTACCAAGCATGCGTGAAACCAACAGCAGACTACACATCCACAGTCTAGCACAACCCACTTACGGACAAAATGTACCTGCGACTTCTAGGTACAGTCCAAAGGACCGCTCTTATCCGGGTGCTCTTAGCCTTCAGGACAACCTCAACAGCAGCGCTGGAGGTGGAATCTTATATACTTCCTACCCACTTGCGATTAAAGCGACATGCACAGATCGTGGTTGCCCGCCTTAGTACGCTGCCCGAAAACCACCCAGTCCATGGTGTGGTAGCACGAGCTAGTATACGAAGTGGAAATAGGAATCCTAACCCCCGGTTCCTGTTAGCAGAAACCATGCGGACGATGGACCTAGGCCAACTACAGGCCCCGGAGACCTTTAACCCGAGACCGCTAGCACCATGGCGAATTCCGGCCTTTATCGAAATCGTATCGAACCCGACCGAGAGAAAGCCAAGGCCAAGGCCTCAGCTAGGCAAATGACGGCAGGTATTACTGTTTTTTCAGACTCTTCAGGACAACATAACCAACTAGGAGCGGCCGCAATAGCCATAGACTAGAGTCTCAAGATCATGGTATCGCGACAGATTTGCATCGGCTCAATTAAGTACTGGTTAGTGTATGCCGCCGAACGCATGGCACTATATTATGCAATCGGCCTGGTTTTTCAACTGGTTCAAAAGAACCAACATACCTCAGGCTCCAATCGGGAGCTGGCAACAATCGTCAGTGATAACATGTCTATAGCAAACGCGTGGAAGAAGTCTGGCCAGTGAATCATACAGGCTATCCATCAGTCTGCTAGAGAGCTAAAAGCATGTGGAATCAGGCTTTGATAGTTGCCCGTTCAGCCAGTCCATCGTGGAATCGGTTGCTCTTTACACAATAGCTGATAGAAATGGCTTATAAAATCGCAGCCTACATCACCCATACTATTATCAAATAAGATCAGAACATTCACTTCAGTTGACATGATCCAACAAAGAGAGGCCATTTGCGTGAAAAAGATCATGTTGGGTGCCGTCCTTGAAGACCATTGCTGGCATCTTATTATTAGTTGCAACATGCACAGTCTTCAATTCGACTCACTTTATAATGTATCCAGATATTAAGTCAATGGAGCTGGCCAGATAATGTAGATCTGCGGATCATAAGAGCTACAGGCAACTGAGCCGGTTTTAGGAGCAATTAATCCAGCATCATTAATGCTCTTATATCCAAGCGGGCACGGCTACTATCCACATTTAACCTAGAAGGTAGAAAGAGCAGCCCTGGTTAGGCTTAGACGTTATATTATATGGCTCCCGCCATATATAGATAACAGGTTCCAGGACATGCTGTTCTTCAGTGCTTTTCCTGCGAGAAAATGCTGTCTATTTCCTGTCCAGGCTCTGTGACAGCTGCTTTGATAGAAGGTAAGTTGCCCTAAGATAAAACAGCTCAAGGCAGTTTGCTGTCTATGGTTCGTAAATCTGCAGAAGCAAACACAAAATACACCTTAAAAAATAGTGTCCGAGTTTCGTGATCCTGAGAGCCGGCCTCCATTTCACAAGAGCAGCAAGTCTCCCAGAACCGGTATTATCTTACTTTGGTAATCCAACTCCATGTGATATCATCCCGGAAGGGGGGGCAAATGGGCTTACTGGTCATTTCCTCCGGTGATGGCCATCACCAGGGGCGCAATACTCTCAATATTTCAAGCCCATTGTTATTACGCTCCGCTCTACGGCTACGGCCCAAGGACCGCAACCATCAGCGTAATAGCGGTGCTGGGCCCAGAGTCGTGACATATCTTGAGCATAAAGGCCGGAGGACCCGCTGAAATAGCAAGATAGTGCCACCAAATGTTCTATCGATTCCCCACCAATGTGTCCATGATGGCTCTCCCACCACTGGCCAGCCCCGTTTTGGCTACGGTCTTGCTGTCTATTGGACTTGTTCGTCTCATCTTTTCTAGTCGGAGCTTTGGGTATAGTTCACTATATCGAATTCTCGATGTGGCGATCTCAGCTGTAGGGGTAATTTTACTTACGACTCTAATGGCTCTGCTCTGGTGCCACCCGATTAAGCCTGGTTGGTTTTCCTTCATGCTAGCAGCATCTTCTGTGGGATGAGGCTAATCTGGACACGACAGTATTAGTAGGACAGGAAGCTGTGGCGGGTATACTAAGCTCCTTCCCGCCAGCCCTGGAGGTATGATTCCCTTCCTGTGTTGGGCAACAGACTGTCGGTGACAAAAGGTCTGCAGTATCTTCGAGTGCATCATCTATGGTATAGCGCACGATCTGCACTATGGCGGACCTACCTTGTAGCCGCTTTCTCAGTGTCCGGGACAATTGTGACTACACTTCTCAGCGCTCTGGTGTTGAATCGTTTACATAACATTGTTTTGTTTATTTTTTTAACAGATTACTTCGCCATTGCTGCCGGCTATTATAACATTAGCCGCCTCGCTGCTGCAGACCATCCATCACAGTTACGCCTCACACGTGCAGCTTATCGAATGCTGGCCATCGCTATTATACTAACAGTGGTCGCAGTCGTTGGAACTACATGTAATGTTTGGCTTATAAGCCTTCAGGTAATGATGTATCCGCTGCAGACCTCTCCTTAGTTATTCTAATATGGGCTATAGATCCAATTGCTCATTACAACCATTTGGACTCTTCGCCATCTAATCCGTGCCACCACTCCTAGTAACAGCGTAGGAATGTCTCCAACCGCTCTGTCGACTCGCCAATCTTACTATTATCAACCGCGTCAAGACTTATATCACGAAGGTCTACTCGAGGTTGTTTAACGTCTATGGCAAGAGTATTTCACAGCCATATATAAGCATGTAGATATATTAGAAGTTCAGCTTCTTTGTATCGTGCTAACCTATATTTTCTATCTATCAAAAGGCAAATGAAGGTGTTGTGAAATTCAGGGGAAGTGATGCGAAGAGAGCTTTTCTACCAGCTACAGACCAACTAGTTAGCCTAACTAGGAAGTAGATATCATTCAGTAGAAACTCCAGGAATCGCAGTATCTCAACCAACTGAGCCTACTAAGCCTATATTCTCATTAAGGTGTCCGCACCGCTAAGTCGGGCGGATCATAGTGTTTCCATATCACCCTGTGAGTGAGCTCACGATAAACTGTGCCCATAGCGAATGGTTTTGCGGTCTTCCGCGTGCTGACGAGGATGGTGTAGAGCGCTGAGAGACTTAAGATGATTCCAAATCTGGAAACTCTGTCGGTGGAATTTATTCTATAGGAGAACTCCGGGTTGGATCTAACTCACTTGCCGAATCGTCTGGGGTAATGGGCCCGGGACTTTCTTTAGGTTTGCTCAAACGAGGCCTTTTGAAAATACGGTCTTCGGTCAGCGCTTCGTCATCACTTCCATCACTTAGTAGATGGTAATTAATCCTCTGAGATCGCTGAGAGCGTCTAGGAGCGTCTGGAATACTATGCCCAATCACATGATGACCGTTTTCACCACTCGCCCGCTTTTCGTCAACACACCGACTTTTTGCATACATTTCAAATGGTTACAACATCATCAATATGCACTCAATTAAAAAAGCGCTTGCAGATATAAAATCATTGAAACCGGGAGGAAAAATAAATTATACAAAATAGCTGAAAAACATGGGGTTAACCTATCAACGCTGTCAAGACACCACCGCGGTATAGAGAGCCATCTACAAGAGCATCATGAGAATCAGTCTTTTCTTAACAACCAACAGCCAAAGAGCTTAACAAATAATAAATATTCCTACTGAACGTGGCCTTCCACCATCTCATTCAATGCTACAAAATTTTGCCAAGGAAATTACTGGAATCAAGCCTGGAAATTCATGGCCATACCACTTTATAAAGAGACATAGTAATAAGCTTGTTGCTCACTATACTACCTGTATTGATTCCTCGCTTGGTTCTCTCTATTCAATGTCAATTCCCCTGACCTACCGTTGGTTCACAACACGAACAGACCACAAGAGCCAAGACCCTGTATAGTATGTCGCCTAGCAGAAAGCTTAGTTAAATCAGTCTTTGTTTGGGGTTCGTCGCCTGGGACTAGCCCATCCTGGGAAGGCATTGACGGCTCCGATTCTACATCCTTCCAGCTCTCAAATATTTCAATGATACACTCCCGGACTTTTGTCAGATTATATGGGATACTAGTTAGGAGGTCCGAATTGATCGTATTCAGAAGGATCTTCTCCTTACACCTCTTCTTCTGGAGGCATGGCTTATATAGCCACGTCACTATATACTTCACATGATGTCCCAATATGGACTAGCTTTATTCTGACAACTTTCTGGAAAGCCTCCCGGAAGTATAGCAAAAGAGTTTCCTGCTTGGCATAATCCCGACCCATCTGTCTGTTTAACGCTGGCTGTCCGTGTGAATTGGCAATATAGGAATCCCACAGGTGTCGATAAAGCCCCACGAGCCGCACTGCCTGGGCAGCAAAAGGGGGTTCTCATCGTCCAGCCGCTGGAGTTCTGGAACCAAGGGTTTGAATGGTTCCTTAGCTAATATCTTTCTCTCATCGTTGTTCGGCCGCTCTACCACCTATGGATATTGTAGTCAGCCATGTTCTGCACCACTGAGCGGACAAGATACCTGGTCCAGTGCTGCTTCGGCTCTGACGCCCTGGAACTTGGCTCGACTTACCCAGGATGGGTGGGACCAGAGCGACTGCAGGAAGAATCCCAATTTTGCTTTGCAGACCACCTTGGTGCGCGGTAGAGTATTCTATGATTTGGACACTTGGCTTGAATTTTTGATCTATGACAATACGTGGATGATGGTACAATAAATTAAGATTCAGAGTCGTTGGCGGCTGATGTATTTATAGCTTTGGGAAGCCAGTGTGGTTGTGAAATTAATATACTATTTTAAATCCACAATGGGACATTCTGAGTTTGATTTCTGCATAATGGTTACTGTCCTGCAATGAGAAGCCACTGTGGGATATGGTTATCTAGTCATGAACATGCTAAAATTGGGGCCGCTGGTATGCCCGGTGAACAATAACCAATTTTACCCTCCACAGCATCCTATATTGGTCAAGTCTCTGATCACCATTTTATGGACTGTTTACTCGCTCTCTCGCACTCATAGCGATTCTACCGAGCCTGCGGCCGCATTGCAGAAATAATCTCAAACATTGAAGCAAACTACCGGACATTTAACACCGTCCGCGACAACTACTAAGGATTTTAGCAATTGTACAGAGTTATGGGGCTGGGCTAGACACCAGTGAAGACAATGTACACCTGTTCAATCACAACAGCATTCCATGATGGCCATTCCTCGAAATATGGATGCTAGTGTCAGATAGCCTCGCTATTTAAAGTAGAAGGATATGAACCAACATATGACTAACTGCACTCTTAGGAGTACTTATGCTTCGTTATGAAAAGGAATAGTAAATAATATCTTTCGCATGGCTTGAAACTGTAGTTTTGTCCTTTTGGGCAACTAAAGTGTCCCTTCTCCATCGGCTCTCCAAAGGGAGGAGTGCAACGCGTAGGGATTACGAGCCGATGTCTTCATTTGAACGTCCAGATGACAGGCGCTTTTCAGAGCCAGGAAATTCTTGGGTGTGGTCTATTTGCAACTAGACAAAGTTATCTACAGTTTATGTAGTTACCGGTCGCGATAGCAGCCACTAGGCAGCGGGTGCATTGGCTTCAATGTCGAGCAGCATTTGCCACAGAACGGTCACATCACTCGCATCGATGCAGGGCCATATAGAGCTTGCAAACTTAGCCAGTATGTCCTGAAGCCGATACTTTGGGATTGGAAAGAATATGCCCAGAGGAGAATTCTCGAGGTCAAAGATGTTAGCGTTAATTCTCTCTGCGCGGAGCTTGAGCAGTGCAAATTAGCAGTCAGCGGTCGAAGGCGGATCTACGGATCTCTTGGGAGCTATCCAAAGATTTTCTCCACGCTGACCATAACACAATTGATAACCTTACGGTATTATTGATTGAGCCGTGGGCGTATGCTGAATTTGCTAAGACTCGCCATCCATCTGTGGTATTCGAAGACAGCATGGAATATTTGTGCGTGCGCCTGTGCAAGGCTACAGGTGCATTTACATGGGTAACGATTATGAAACAGGATCAGTACGTATAGATTCTGAGTTCAGAACCATATTTTATTTTATTTTTTTTATTTTTATTTTTTTTTTTTTTTTGGGGATATGAGCCACGTGGTTGTCCAGAGAAGTCTGAGTAGTTAAATGCTGTATATTATCTAAGAATATCCGCAACTGTTTTGACGCTTCTGGCCTGGTTCCTTGATAGCTACGAGTGGGTGTTGGATATTGTAGGTTTACTGTGAAGCATAAACCTCCACCATCTACTATTCATGGTCCCTCAGATGGGATATGGATTGCAAGACTCTTTAACTACTTGTTATAGCCAAGCTCAGGATCTTAACTATTCCACTAGACCAAAAGACCACTATATCTGATCCCCATTGGGATCAGATATTCCTGGGCACCTTATATAGTAGCGCATTGTAATGTTAGGTGACGCACCCACACCTAACAGTTCTGCTGAAGTGCATAAACAGATGGAGCATATTGAGCAGCTTGCTAATCGAAAATCCCAAAGCCCGCCGACTACATATCCATCAGCTAGACAAAACAGCCGAATATACCACGCATCAAATCCTCCTATTAGACCAGGAAGTGAAAAAGCTTCATATAGTAAATGAAAGCAAAAAATGCGTGCAGCTCCTAGATTACCTACTGCTTCTGGAAGTGTCCTTACTGGGGCCCAAGACCACAGCATCTTGCAGAAGAAACCGCAGAGAGTAGGGAATAGAAGGAACCAGCAGGAAAAAGCGCGCACCGCTACGATGTGCAACCCGTCATATTGTTAGTCATACTAGAAGTAGTTGCACCAGTAGGCAATTATTTTAGATATAAAATGCTTCATTTTAGTGAGATAGTGGTTGAACTAGTTCATGAATCTCGGCCAAATCTTGGGCCGCTCGCTGGTGCGGACCGCTCGGTAGTGGTTTATGTTAATTTATACCATAGCTGTGGCAACCGGTCTGGCGGCATGGCAACTCCGTTCATGACGCTTCATGTTACTCTTCACGCTGAAAGATTTCCCGCATCCTGCATGAGTGCAGCGGAATGGTTTCTCGCCCGTGTGACTGTGGAAATGGACACGGATGCTAGAGGGGCGGGAAAAGACCTTGTAGCATATACTACAGGTGTAGCGATAACTGTTCTGTTGGAACGATTTATCACTGGAATAGGGGTCGTACTCATGATGCTGCCAGGCGCAATTAATGGGAGTGATCAAGTGCGGCGTGGAGAATGGCGGTAGAGAAGCTGCTTGCACTAGCACACTTCCCACATTCTGGTAGACGGTATTTGGCGACCTAGTTCTAGGACAATATACTGCGGAAGAGGTCGGGGGTTCGGTAGGAGAGGAGTGTGAGGTGGCATTTAGTACAGAAGAGACGTAAGGAACGCTGAATACATTCTTGACAGGGCCGTGACTAGAGACAGAAGAAACGACCGGCGAGGTAGTCCTTTCGCGTTCTGAAGAGATGATATCATTAGGAGAAATGCAATTGTGACATTTGAATTCTGTGAAGATTGAAATTCATACTTGCTGAATGCGCAGAAGCACGATCCGCGCCTGCTAGAAGCGAGGAAATGGAAGGGAGCTTTGGTATGTGTTTCACAGGCGCAGAGAGAGGTTGCTTGACCCGATGGAAGGGATCGGCTCCTGAGGTAATGACGTTTGCGAAATCCATAATGAATATGCAAGAAACATAGTCTGTCTATAAATATATGGAGGTAGAGGAAGAAACAGAGGCACAGAAATAGAGAATAGGCAGGCGTTAAATATATAATTTGGTTACGGACGAGCCGGATGAGAGTAAGTAGGGAAGGCGGCAAACAGGGTCTTTGAACCAATCTGCTTTTACCTTTGCAATGATGGACGAAACAGGGAGGAGAAGAACCGGAGTTATAAGCAAAGAAGGACGAAGTGGGTGATTTTTTGGCCTAGGTGGGGGATATGAAATAGTATTTGATTATGATGATGGAATTTTCTTTCTTTTCAGCTAAACTAAAATCGAGAGAATCCCCCCCATCCACCTCCCCGCCAAAAAAAAAAAATCGATTCCACTCACGTACCAATGGATCACAACACCCGAATTGCGAAAGCAATACATAGAAGAATTAATTGGCAAAAATTCATAGATTACTCTGCTTCTTCAAGAAAACGGAATGTTTCCCATGAGACATGTCGCCGGACGGGCCCAATTCAGGACGCTAATACAAAAGTGTGATAAAAACTCCCAGATGCTCAAGAAAAGTTCTAATCGAGCACGCAAACAAGCTCACTGACCAAGGTATCTGTCCCGCCCATCCCGCAGATGTTGGAAAATATTGCTGCGATGACAAATATCATGCTGGGTGTGAATTGGGTGTCCCGATTCCTCTAGTGCCATCATTTATGTTGCTCCAGCCTATATATCTAAGCACCATATTTTGCCAGTGAAAAATTACGGATAATTCGACGTATTTCCAATACATCTTTCATTTAGTAAGATGCGTTTTTTTAAAGAGGTTTTCTATGGCGTTCCGCTGCTATGCATGAAAAGATCTCCGTCTATCCAGGGTTTTGACAAGTATGAGAAGAGACCTAAAGCTACAATATCGATCTCTCAAATATTTATAACTATGATGAGAAAGGGTTTCTGCTTGCGCTCTCTCACTTAACCAAGCGGATCGTGTCTACTGAAGCGCAGGAAAGTGGATGGTTGGTTGGCGAAAGTCAGGGTGGGAATCTTTTGAGTTCATCATTCTAATAAGTAGCTTCAATTTGCCCGGATGGGTCGTACCTACCGCTTGCATTAATCCATAAATGCAATTCAAACGACCTGCAAGATATCTGAGTAGAGGTTTTTTAATCATTCAATCGACCTTGCCTTCTTCTCGAACTCAGAAGGGGTGGAGCCGCGAAGCCGTGGGTTTACACTGGCTGGAGCGCATCTTCAACCAGTCTGGCAAAAGCTGGGGGGTATATTGCCTCTTGGTCTCAGATGGCTATTGAACTCTTCATTGACCATACATCCAAAATATAAATAGGATTCTGATAACGTTGTCTCTACCACACTCGACCCTTCGATACAGATAAAGCCAACACGCGTCTCATGGAAGTCTCATACTCCGCCCCTCGGTCGTTCATGAAATATTCATACTATTCCTATTCATTTCCGATATCTATATCAAACGAGTGCACCCAAACACAGAATATAATACTAAGAAAAATACTTGCGATAGATTCGGTCTGATTGGGCAAATGAATGACTGACAACCCCCAACTTTGCCGTACTTGAGTGCTGATGTACCTGTGGACTAGTTGGTATAACTGTCCAGGATGCCTCGTCAGAGTGCAAGCGCCAATGAGTGAGCTTCATATCAATTCGCAAGACACGTAGGGCTCTTTCAGCAGGGTTTTTATGATCCAGTGTAACAACGAGGGGTGTCAACGAATAGGCCTGCCCCACGTCGCCCGTTACTGGCGCATCTCTAGCAGCATGATATTCCAACACATGCACATTGGCACACAAGGTTTGGGCTGCGTTTGGCTAGCGCTGCAGATTGCATTTGATGCACGCAGCCCGCCGGAAGATAAGATGACATGGTCAACCCAAATCATGAGGCAATTCGCCGAATTCAAGTGGAAAGTAGTGCGACAGGAAATGTCTACTATTTCGTGCACATGTGACGGGACAAGAGTTCAACCTGGGTGAGAGAAGGAGTGTTGCGAGAGAGCACTTGGTATCGGTACAGCTGAGTCTGTTGCCGAGATTGTGCAAAGACGTCGAGCATGGGAGGCTGGTGGTTGAACTGGAGAAGGTCTGTGGATTTGAGGGAGCAGGGTCAGATGGACCGAGAATTGACAGGGGATTAGTGGGTACAAGTAATGCCAGCTATGTTCTACTACCCAGTTTAATCTAAATTCATGTCTTTGAATCATTGGACGGCTGAGTGAGTAAATACAAGCAACGATAGTAAATTACACCCCGTTGGCAAACCCACTTCCCCCAGCATCTGTATCGATCCGCACTGAGTCCATCAGCCCGCAGACTTCAAACAGTCTCTTGGGGCTCAACCCATCCGGAATACCCGTGATGCCATCATTCTTGAGTCTCTCCAACGCACCTTTGATTCCCAGATACGCAGGAGCCAAGGAAGCAAACGAGAATATCATGATCCGGAAACCCATCTCCTGGGCTTCCTTGACGGTAATCACCGGCCCTGCGCCATTCTCTACCATGTTCAGCAACAACGGCCACGGGGCCAGATCTTGCACCGCCTGTTGCGCCTGCTCCTTGGAGGTGAAACCCTCTAGCAGACCGACGTCGGCACCGAGATCCCGTGCCGCCTGCAGACGCTTGATGCATTCATTGTACCCATGTTGCTGCAGCGCGTCGGTGCGCGCAATCAGCACGATGTCCGAGTGCAGTCGGTCCTTGGTCTGCTTCGCGACTCGGATCCGCGTCACGTACTCCTCCATAGCAACCACCTTCTTGCCGGCCAGATGACCGCATCGCTTGTTCTGGATTTGATCTTCGATGTGGAATCCAGCAACCCCGGCCTGGATGTACTGTTGCACGGATTTGGACACCATCAACGGGCCTGGCCCGTTAGCGAGTCTGCCTCCTCTTAAGTGGGATTTGCGTATGTATACGTACCTCCATATCCCGTATCCATGTCAGCAATAAGAGGCGGTCCGTACGGATCTAAATTCGCAATCATTTCCGCGTTGGTTCGCATGTCATACAACTGAGCCAGACCCAAATCGGCCATGCCCAGTCGCGAGGCGGTTGTTCCGGCTCCTGTCTGATGCTCCTCCTTAGATATCCATGTTGATTCGGGACAAGGGGAGAATAAATGGGTAGATAGATACCATGTAAAGAGCCTTAAAGCCAACCTCCATGGCCACTCGCGCGGATAGCCCGTCATATACTCCGGGACACACGATCAGCTCATTGGATTCGTGGAGTTGACGACGCAGTTTGGAGGCCCCAGCCAACATATACAACAACGTGGTGGGCTCCTCCCTCATGCCATTGGCTTCATGGGAGCCGTCTTTTTCAGCGCTGATGGTGGCCGCCATACCGGGGTTACGGGTGGAGAGTTCTTCGAGCTTCATTTTAAGACGGAGTAAAACACAAAAAAAAGAAGAAAGGAAGGAAGGAAGGAAGATGCAGTATCACTTGTTTCTGAATCCCTTGAGAATGTGTTTGTCTGGGAGATTTTCCTTCTGAGGTCCAAAGGCAAAGAGGGAACACACTCTTTTATATACCACTTCGTATAGATACTTGATAGGGGGGAATTCCCTCCGGATCAACCTGGGAGGCCGGTCGCGTACCCTACTAGCTGATCATTCTCTCTCCGTTCTTGGGAATAATTAGTAATTTTATTGTTGTCGTTTTATTAGTGGACAAACGCATGGGGAGGAGAATCTAGACGCATACAATTACTCCGTCAATAACCCAACTCATATGATCTCAGGGTCCCGCGGTTGAACTGGATAGAGAGTCAAGTCTGTACAGTAACTTGCAGAATCAGATTCACATGAGCAAAATCCGATCAGCTTTAACTAGGGAAGTAAATTAGATTTGGCTAAAGCAAATTTTTCTATCCAATCATATAACTACCGCGTGTTTCTTAATAATACCATCCACGATGAGAAATAATATCTCAACCTGGTGAAACAACAGAATGAGAACTACTAGTAGGATTTGATGTAACTGAGATACTAGTCATCCACGAAGTCCAACCAGCGATGCAGAAAGCACCGCTGGACCAAATCATATTTTGGCACAAAGAGTTATTATTAATTTTTCTTTTTTTTTCTTTTTTTTTAATATATTAAAAAAAAAAAAAGCGAATGGAAAATGAAAGCGAAAAGTAGGCAAACCTAAACAAAATAAATAAACTAATTTTAAAATCCTGCCTTATGTCACTGAGTAGTATTGACCATGGCTGTGCCTGAGCCGCCACTACAACCCTCTTCTATCTCGGCGGCTTCCCTCAATTCAACGACCAAAATTCACAGGAAATAACGGAAGAAAACAGACCGTCTTGTCCAATACGACTGCAACTTCTAAGTTCCATAAGGTTCTCCCCAGCCCTTAGGCGGAGAACCCAAGATCTCCACCGCTCCTCAGTTCCTCCATACGGAACGGCCCGTGGAAAAGAAGGGAAGGCGACGATCTGCTATAGTGCCGAGTTTTCGGGTCAGCAAGCCAAGCACTTCGCCTGGGGATCCGGCGGTGATGAGATGACCTAAGAGAAGTGAAGGGGAAGGACAAGGCTTCCGTCGTAAGCCAGGATTCCTTCGGAGTGCCACGGTTGTGTCATTGACTGTTGATCCAGTTCCGTCCTTTCTTGGTGGTAGAGGGTCATCTTCATCCCGTCTCTCGTCATCTTCCTGTATATCCCCGAAATTGCCACAATCTAAATGGGAGAAGTCATACTGCAGTTGCATGTACTTGACCATTTTGTACTCTTTTGTCTTTTCTTAAGCTCTTACAAGGCCGAAAAATAATAACCTAGTCTACCATGCTAAGCGCTTCAGCTGGCCGGATCCTCTTCACACTGTTCGTGCAGGCCTCGTTCGAAAGCCAGGATCATTCGGGCTCGCACTTGAGTGCAACTGGGCTTAATCCTGATCCTGGCCGGGCGAGGTGCCCCGGGAAGTCCCCCAGGCACACGGTAGTCTTGCGGGATAGAACCCGGTTGAATTCTTCAGACGGTTCTCCTGCAGTCAGCTTGGGTTGTCTGCGTCCGTTGATTGAGGTATTTAACATGCATGCTATAGGTCGCATGGCTCTCTATCTATAGAGGCCATCTCCCGTGGAGGTATCTACCAGTGAGATGTACAAAAGACACCCATCTCGCTCCTGTATCCCCAATATGAGGAGAGAGTGTGCGGTGGAACGTGGAATTCACAGGCTGCTAACCTCTGGGAGCCCTCAAAATTGACTGGCATGCAGGAACAAGTATGAGAGCTCATCATGGTCACTCCTAACACCACCAAATATCATCCTCAAGAAGCATTTTAATTGATGAGGCAATGCACGGCGCCCGAATTTGGGGTGCCATTTTAAATATAGAGAGAGGCAGTTCAGAAACGTCATAAAGGAGCTGATAAGACCAGTACGTCTACTCCTGTCGCACTGGTGGCAGATCCGCAGCAACGTGCGTCCATGGCGGATTTTTGTCCGGCTCACGGACGTTCAACCAATATATTGGGGTCCTGTATCGTTAAGCTTGTGCTGCAGTGACTGTAAATTAGTTCTGGGCATGTCTATTAGTAACAGCCCAACTTTCCAGTACTATATTTTGTTGAGAATAATCAACGAATCACCTAAATAGGGAACTCCACTGTATTTAGTATGCCCCAGTTAACTTAAGGGGCAGAGGAAGAGACGGCCTGGCCAGCCGAGAATCCGAGAATAGTAATTAGCTAGTTTCAGAGGAGGAAACTTATTGATTAGCCTTGGTCGCTTTGATCGCTGCTCCACAGCAGTGCGGATAATTTTCTGATACATTGTCCGTACCCCCTGCACTTTTTATGCACAGATATGAATGTGTTTATTGACTTACTGTTTTTTTCTTTCTTTTTTTTTTTTCGAAACACTAGGCAAGGGGCTGGTGAAAACTATGTTGAAATTCCTCGTAATTAGTTATTATATTGATTTGCTTGTTGATGGCAGAAAAACTGAGAAGCCCGCATTGAGAAAATACTTCTTGAACCCGTCGACTGACAGTTACGTCCTATACAGTATCTCTCATAAGTCCGTATCCATCTTCTGTTTTGGCTAACCTTGGTCGCTGATAGTCAAAATAAGTAGACTTGAATGGTGACGGTCTATTGCGAAATCGTTTTTGCTGGTCATCTATTGTGAGGGCTGACGTTGAGCTGGCTGGATTACGGCGAGTTTTAGCAGGCGGTGTCTTCGGAGAGGTTGACGACGTAGGTGGACTAGGTGGTTGGACTGCTTGTGTGGCCTTTGACTTGGTTCAACCGCGACGGCTGGTGTTGGTAAAGGTTCTGCCTGGGTTTTTGGTTGGTGGGACACGAGTCCACAAATGCATCTGTTTCCTCAAGGAGGTCTGCCCATACACAGCTAGTGAAATGAAAATAGCTTTTCGGTGGAATATCAGGTATCTGTCTATGCAGAATCTTCTATTCTGCTGGCAACACAACACACTTTATCGTGGCTTGATTCGTCTGGTGTATGGTAGAAACCGAATCTCGCCAGCTGGTTGGGCGTGGTTTTTGCAAGAGGCCAATTTTGGTACGTCCATGCTCTGGCTAGTGTAGAAGCGATTTCTGAATCGGTCCAGATAAAGTTTTCTGGCGCCGTTGTTGACGTGTTGACAATCGCGTCGGTGAGCGGGACGGGTAACGCGTAGACTTTGGGGTTTGCGGGGTTGGATCCAGGACTGAGAACGGTTTGTGATACGAAGAGAGAGGAAGTTCATTATGATCTATTTTCTTTTTTCTCTTTGGTGGCTTCTTTTTCTCCATCTATTTTTTAATGTGGAGTGTTTCTGTAGATACATATGTAGCGTACGCAGAGACTAGGAAATAAAAATATTGCTTCGATAAGCCTGAGTGAATTAATGCTGTGGGCAGATAAGCTTTGCAGCTGTAAGGACAATCGTAAATTTGTGTGGTCCGTTTAAAGACCATGAATATTTTGCGCCAAATCAGTCCCCGGATATGTATCTCGCGTCGTTTCACTTCCTTGGGAGAACTTTGTTTAGATCAGTGGCTTCCTCTGTCTAGTGGAGTACGCGTTTTCAGCTTCTGCTGGATTACCTTGAGGATTTGGTGTAATCTACTTGGACTACGGGATACCAGGCAATAATGGCGGCCGGTTGCAGGAGAAACCGTTTGAGAATCCTTATCTCATCTGAGTAAAAGTCTGTAGAACGATTGGCGACCACGGCATTTACAAGAATGAGCCTTGGCCCGGTAAGAATTATGACTCCTTCGAAGTATATAAAAATCCACTGTTTATTGCCGCCCAATCCATGGATTAAACTTATCTATTTAACAGAAAAAAGTTCAATACTGCTAACTTGCCACTTCTATCTTGAAACTGAACATCAATCCCTAGAGAGGTGATGTGGCTCATTATTTATGGCACTTTCAGGGGTAGCCAGTTATTTAGAAATAGACAAGAGAGATTTAAATATCGTGTTCCTTTATATGTTCAACATTGGATCTCACCCTGCTGCCATCAGAGGAGTTCCGCTCCTCCGCACTGGCTAATCCCTTCATTCATTTTCTAGCTAGGTATATTTATATTCAGGAATCTACCATTCAGTTCAATCCATTAGGAGCGAGGGTGTTCTCATCCAAGTCAGCGATCCATTCTGCGTTGAGTGAGCTTTTCAAATTGAGACGTTTTAAGTGCTCCAGGATAAACTCCGTATCGTATTTGTCGTATCCGTCATCCTGAAGAAGACACTCCACCATTGGGTTTGTTAGCTCCAGGATAGGAATGATACAGTGTATATTTGTGTGAACACGACAGCAGAAACCCTCAAGCTGCTGGATAGAGATGCTGGTATTCTGCCTTCAGCTAATAGTCAGATTCTGCTTGTGAATAGGTATGGGGTTGCTTACACCATTGAGATAAGTTTACGTGAGCAGATAACCAATATAGCAGCCCCTAGACCTGATACTAGGGTTGCCCATCTCTTGCCATATCTTTTTCTGTTGTGAAAGTTTGCCCGCAATTCCGATCTTTTCTTCGAGTCACAACGATCCCACCCAGGATGGCTTTTCTTGAGAATTTGGTCGATGATTCGACTTGCTTCACCTCGTCCAATACTGGCTGGGTCCTTCCGTGTGCAGTAGTTTGTTACTTTCCATGTCTGGAACATATCCTCGTATCCTAGATATAGAAGAAACAATGCCATACGCTCCTTGATTGGATCATTGCACATTCGCGTCTCGAGTTGACAGATGCAAGAGTAGATATTTTCCAGCCGCTTGTTATCAACGCAGGCTCCCCCAGTGTATGTGATAGGTGTTTCGTGCCATAGACCATACCTCTTCCATAGCGGTAAATTGGATTCCAATAAATTCATATAGTCTTCCCGGATACAGTCACCTATCGCCAGAGGCTCCTGTAGATGTCCAGTGTCCGTCATCGCTCGCCCGCTAAGTCCTCTATGCTTTCGACTGCAATTAGTGGACGAGTCACCGCTGCAGGATGTTTCCGGTGGGGTGTGTAATTGTGTCCTAGGCGACGTTAGGGACGGCAAGCTTGCTGTTTGTAAGTCCACTGTTGTGCTTGAGGTAGCAAGCCTGTCTACAGTTTTAGGAGTCCAACTCAGTTCAGCAGCATTTGTGCATACTTCGCGAGACAACTCCATAGAAGGTAATATGTCAATTATTTTACCCGCACTACCGTCAATAAACCCAGACTCAGCCACCCTGTCAGCTCCAGTTTCAGCCATGTCGACCAATGGAAAGATTTCTGAATTGGAAATCATCGAACTGGGAGGTAAATTGACAGGCAGGGAGAAAGCTTGTGGGATCAGTATTTTTTATGGATAAATAATGAGAACTGAGTACGTACACTCCAAGAAGGTCGGGATGGAAAGTCCAGCAAATGTTTGATTTTCTCTCAAATCGCTCACATCAATGTCAGCCTGAGATATAATGGTTAGATTTCACGCCCAAGTCTAGCGTGCAATACATACCCAGATTCTTTCATCAAAATTTGTGTATATGCTATCATTTGTGGACATGCTGGAACTCCCTAATTGTGAATCACAGCACTCTAAATCAGCAGTAGGTAAGTCAATCGGACTTGTCGGTGAGAATGTCACAACGGGAGCTCGGTCTTTTTCGCTTGAAACTGCTGTACCGGAAATTGGGTCCGCGTGGTTCTGACATCCTGAATACAAGATAGCTTTCGTTGAGTCCGGTGGAACTTGGTGTTCGAGTCCTGCGTACATCACACCGTAGGTTAAGGATGTGATCATACTATGACTCTTGCTTCTCACCTTCAAGAACCAGAACTTTGCCATGGCCAGCAATGAGCCCTTCACGATCCTCGACCCTATATGGCTGCAAACGCTCTGCCAGAAAAGCAAGTTTGTTTAGATCATACTCGTCTATAAAATTCCTTATGGCCTCAATAAATTCATTTATGTCAATTGGTAGCGCCATGAATGTGGTCAAACTTGTGATCAACAGCTGTAGATACTGTGACATATAGTAGCGGCAAATTGAAGCTTCAGGCGCTTACCGTTGCTGTAAAATCCGGTGTATGGCTGCTGCCTTGTACAATCATCCGCTTTCTCAAACAGCTATTTCTTACTCTTAGCGACCACACTCCAGCGGTCCAGTGTCAAGAACGATGAATATAAATGTATACTAGTGGCAGCGTTTGCCAATTAATTGAGAACTTCGGGTGCTGCTTTTTATAGACGGTACCATTGGCCTTTTACCGATAAGGGACTTATAGTAGCTAGAAATTTGAATTGTATTAAGGTTCAATAAGTTACTACCGGTAAAACCTTCTCAGGTCTCACACCATAGAGTCAGATATGGTCTCAAACAAGCCCGTAAGTGTTCCCTTGGTGAGGTGTCTCACTACGTAGGCTCAAAATATGGCAAGACTATCGTACAGGGCCCACCACCTAATCATTGATTTACATTAAAGCCGATGCTTCCGAGCTTGCAATGCATCTAGGCCTTCTCACTGAAAGTCCTGTATAGCTTCCCACCCAGCGCCCCCAAGTGGTGGACGTACTCTTGAAAAGAGGGGAGGCAAACTTAACCCTAATGCAATCAGAAATACTGCAGGCATCCACTCGCTCGGGCCGTGGTGTCACGGGGCCTGCTCTTAGACAGGACGAGCAAAGTTTGCTAGATTATCTGAATACCCCCAGTGATGGACAGACAACTCTTCGTGGTGCTGGAGATGAGTACTCGAGTAGTTTTTGGCGGTGCTGTTGCTCGAGGAAACCAAGATCTGCCCAAAAGGAGATGAAAAGTGTGGTCTGGGGTTGGTTGGACACGATCCAGACTTGTCCGTGAAAAAATTGACAAGCAACCAACAACACCACCGATGAATAGCCAAGATGCCGGTCTAACAACTTGCCTCGCTACAATCGATGAACTAAGGAAGTCTACCTATCTCTTGTCTATGCGGTGACTACGCTTGTTCCGTGCCCTATCTCGTTGCCGACAGTAGAGTGGTTTGAATTTCCGACGCGCTTTCCATGCACCCAACCGTACCAGCGGCGATAACGAAAAGCTAAGGCTCGTCTTGTTGCCTTAACTCGCTAGGATCAACTCAATGGTTACCATAGAATCGTTAGTGTGAGATGACTAGACCTCCGCTGTGCGGGTCTATCATGAGACCTTGACTAGAGCCAAACCGTCCTCCAACATTACCTACCGACTGCCTGCTTCCCGTCTGTTCTAAGGCTATATATACGAACGTCTATGGATGCTTATCGATAAAGACTTGGCCGTCTCAACACATGACTAGGCAACTGCTCTGACTTAGAGGTGTTGTCGATCGCCGCCACGTTCGACATCAGGACTTACCATCTCTAGTGTTCCCGTAGGTACTGATAGATCCACATTGTATCAAAGACTGTCTGAGTAATCGACAGCAGCAAGTCCGGTAACTACCGAATAAAGTAATATTTTGGTAAAATAAACGGATCGCATACGGAGTACATTGTATCCCATCGGACTATCTTTACGCCGCTCACTACTTTCGCGTTCTAGATATTGATGTACTTTGACCAAATGAATGCACCGATTTGCCCATGTATGATTGAAAATTGTGCACATTCTATTCTGGAATCTGTTCACAACGATGATTCAACTTTACTACTACTAAAATTTGGAGAACACTGGCTCAAACAATTGCTTAAACTTCCCCAGTATTCTAGAAACGGATGAAAGCTATAGATATTGAGTAGTAGCCGTGAAGCTATATCTGATTGGTTTGAATGCCTTATACGTGAGATATGTCTACACGGAAAAGTGAATAAAAATTTACAGAACTTTGATGAAACTGGTTTCCAGATAAGAATTGGAGATGATCAATGGATTGTGACTCGCGATAGGTTTAAAATGCAAGATATTTTTTTTAGTACAAATACCAACCGGGAATACTGTACGTGGTGGAGCCAATTAGCTCTACTGGTTTAACTTGTCTACCTTTTATCTTAACTAAAAACTGCCACCTGGTCGCTTGGATGGCCTATAAAGAAAAAGCGAGCAGGTTGCAATTTCTGAAACAGGCTACATAATTATGAGTTTGCATACCAATGGATTCAACAATACTACCGGGCTACTGTCCAGCCTAAAAAGGGCAGATATACTACTTATCTGCGATGGCTTTAACTCACATATAGGCTTTGAATTCTTGCAGTTTTGTGTGAGAAAAATAATACTATATCTTTCTCCCTACCTCCTCATACAAGCCAGCTACTTGAACCGCTCGATGTAGGTGGTTTTCCACCCGTATAATCACTGACAGTGAGGCCGTTGCTGAAGCAACACAAAGAGGAGGTTGAAATTTTATTAAATTAGAGATTCTGTCATCTCTTTCAAAGATAAGACAAAAGACTTTTAAGAAACGCGCCGTTGAGAATTATTTTAGATGTACTAAGATAGTTCCTTAAATCCTAGTGTTGTTCTTAATGAACTACCAGAAAGCCGGCCGGCAACTGCTTTAAAGAACCGAGCTCTGGAAGCACTCCAAAGACTGCAAAACGGTTTGAAACTGCAGGAAATGTTTTACTGGATCATATTAGTTTTTATGCGGAAGCTCCAGACCTTTACAAAGGTAGTATCTCTCGGTCCCATGTTACGAAGAGCTCCGACGGGATGTTGAGTCAACCGTGCCCTTACGCCCCACCACCCTTCCGGTCTCAACGGTTTTTTTGAATTAGTTGGTCTACTATACAGGATCCCCGACCGTATCATACCAAAAAAGTAGATCAACGGGATTATCTGGAGGCGAGATTTCACCTGATCTCTTTTTTTGCGAGCTCCTCCTTGTTTTAAAGTTCTTGCTCGGCCTGTTTATCAGCTTGTTTCTTCTCCTGACGGGCCTGCTAAGTCGTCTGATTGGTTGATGACGAGTCAAACGAGATTCACAACCATAATAGCGAGCCCGTAGTCGACGTACTGGCACGTTAAAATCACGGGCTAAACACGCAAAATTCAGCTTTTTTTGACCTTTAATGGAATTGCAGGCCTTGTTAATGCGCTTCTCAACTTCTTGATATGCCTCTGCCATGGTGGTTGGGCGAAAGGCATGGTTATACCAGAGATCGGCAGGAACGCAGGGAGCGAGCGAGCCAGTTCTTCAAGACGCCGGTATACAATGGAAGAGTTGTATCAAGGATAATAATATCTATCGTTTCTACAGTGCAGTTTTGAGCTACATTCTGTATTGTAACTTTATGTTCGCAGTCCCTTCTTTCTAAGGTTAGAATTCGGCAGTGGCCGAACTTCTCATGTCTAGGGGTGTTGGAGCTCCTATTGTGAAGCGTTATATTACAGTCGTCCGGACGCGCACTACAGCATGTCGGGTTAGCTGTGTATCTATATATACAGCATTATTCGTTACATATAGTTATCTTAATAATAACAACCACCCTACAGTCGCTACAACATCTAGAACACTACAAGTCCCACACGCGCAAAAGAAGCTGATTGCACGCAGGTGGCGCACAACCAAAGATATATTTTATATATATGATAATATTAAGTCATTCTGAATATAAGAAAGTGGGGAATATATTTTGATTAATACCTCATAGAAATCTCTGGAAGTAGAGTACTCCGTACCGTTCATGTGGGAATAGAGCTAACCCCCAATTTGGGGGGAAGCTGATCACCAAGTGCCAGATAACAAAGAGGGGGCCGAATGTAACGTTGCCTGAACATTCATTTTCTGATCCCTGTTAAACTCTATCTTCGATCCCCCATGGAACACCATCTATCTTAATTCAAATAACTAATATAAAGAACTAATGGCGTAACCACTAGAACTGTACTTTTTCATTTTATATAGGTTAGCGGTATTGGTTTAGGTTGACCGATTAAAGAACCCACCAATACTACTTCTCATTGACACCCCACAGCAACCAGATACAGTCTAAGACAAATGCAACCACGCTGAAAATTAACGAACGGAGTCGAGGAAGTTTTCTTCACTAACAATAATCGTGTTGTCGAGCAGCTCACTGGATACGAATTGTAAAATGGTATTAAATGATGACTTTAAGCCCATCAAGCTCGTCTTTTATTAAATTGATGATTATGATGATCATTCTTCTGATTATGTCTCTTTTATTACATGATGCCACGGCTTCTAAGCTAGGTAGCTTCGATTCCGTGATGACGACAAAGTACTATGTACATGGTCCGCATCCTAGTGCCATGATGTTGAAGCTGCGATACCAAGGAGATTATTCAACCATTAACTAGGCCCAAATTTGTACACGCGGTATCTGAGTGAGCAAGCGATTTCTTGTAACTATCTGTGAACTGAATATTGTTAACCAACTAGAACGAACTTACATTCTAAATAAATTGCAATCGCAACACTAGCGGCCACGCCCTTCGATCCTTTATACTAGGTATCTAGAGTTATCGGCTTCGCAGTCGCTATCATCTAAGTTTCTAACTGCGCACCATTGAACTCGCTGTACTACTGGCCTCGAAGAAACAAAGTTCGAGACGCACTGAGTTATTTTCTCAGCCAACGGGCCCAGCAGAGTAGGAACACGTACTTAGACCTTGAGTCAATCCGACGGGGCACTACGGGATTCGGTATAGGTGACTGAATGGTTACTCTACTCGGGACCGGGCCTGCGCTGTCGATTACTAAGGCATTTAATATTAAAGCAAACTTTCAAGTCGGCCTAGTCTGTTGTGGAGACGGCCAAGACTTTTATTGCTAAGCATATGCAGACACTACCAAGCATTTTGGTGTTTGTAACCCACCTCGAGGCAAGCCCAATCGTTCGATAGGGCAGAGCGTTCTAGAAAGATGGGAATCCCAGAACTTTATTGTAGTGGCTCGCCCTGTCTCCGAGCAGTTTCCATGGACCAGGGGTCGAACGAACGCCTGTAGTGTTTCTGGTTGCATTAAGGTTACATTGCCCCCTCCTTTTTAAGCATGTCCACCACTCGAAGATTAGTGATCAGGACAGCTCATTGGAGCATTATGTCATTGCCAAGTCCTGTTTGTCCGTTAGAAACAGACTGATAACTGTATCTCCGGAATTTGGCAGCCTGCAGCAGAGGTTCCTCTTACAACCATTTTTGTAACGGTTGACTTCCACGTCGCTCTCGGCTACTGCTCATAGCCACAGAGTATTCCTAGCGCTGCTGACATCCTTGTACAAACAGTCTGAGGTTCAGGCCAACGACATGCCTAACTCTTACTGCACAGTATTTATATATACTTAGATATTACCTCGTGACCCCTAACTGCATTGCATTACTGAGGTCAATGGGAAGGTCAGCACCGTAAAATAGGACCTTAAATTTGCTGTAAACTCAGGTATATAGTTCTAATTTTAATCTCCATTTTGCGGTCCTAAATAAGTTTCCGTAATAAACGCATTGTTTACAGAAGTATAGCACGTAAAAGTGGTATTGTAACACACATTGAGCAAGCAACAACTACCTTCCTATTATAGACTGTCTATCTTTCAGATCTTGGTGGGTAAGTCCTTTAGATTCGAGGGTCCGCAGGTTGTGCCTACCGTGGAAACTTTATTACGTTATACTTATTGCAGTTTTATGCATAACTAATTTAGGCTGACCGTTGGAGGGATTCGGGATCCCGGAAGGGTTCAAGCCCCGACCCATAATTTCAGTGGGAATTAAATTTTAAACTTTCGGGCGGAACTGTAGAAGCCGTACGTATAGAGGCTGTACGCGGAAGGGCCGGTTAACTAGTGAAAATAATTATCAGTGGCGGTTCCGACCACCCACCGCCTTCCGCCGGTGGGTGGTCGGCAGCGTAAAGGAATTTTCACCGTAAAGGAAGAAAATGAAGCAATTCGCATTATTATCACTAAACACCTGTAGAATCAATAAAATAAAGTTGATCGCCCGATTCCTCTGCCAAAACTGTATTTGAATCTGCAGTTTTATTTTCTATATAGGGCGCTGGTGGGGGGTGACCGTACGCCTTCAAATACGCCTTATTCGCCGCTTTCCTATTCTTTTTATTATCTTTGGCCTTCCTGTCCGTGATAGACCGATTCGCATCCTTTACGCGTAGTATGCCACTATCCCCGAGGCGTTGAACCTCTCGCTTAGTCTTTTTGCGCTTTCGAGGTGCTTGCGCGGCCTCAATTCGCTTAAGAGTTAAATTTATAACGGCAAGCTGTTCGGATTGAAGTTTTTGCTGATAAAATAAGCACCCGAGATAGCGCTCAACACAAGGATTAATTGGTGTATCGCTATTTAAGAGTTTAAATAGCTTCTTCTAATTCTTTTCGACTTGCTGAGCGCTTTTTAGAGGCGTATTTTCAACGCTTAAAGATAATAGGTTCGGAGGAGGCGTATTCTCGCTATACGCGCGAAGATCGGGTGCAGAGATTTCTAGTAGCGGTGGTAAAGCATTTTAAATAGCTTTAATAATTAAAGATCCATCTGTAGGGAAGATACCGCGTTTTTTAAAGAAGTTGCGAATAAGGCGTGGATTAAAGGTCTTCTTATGTATAGCAATAATATCGCGTAGAAAATCTGCTTTATCTCCCGGAACTCCACACCACTGCGCGATGAGGTTATTCGCACTGCGAAAATGCGTTTTATATGTAAGAAAGGGCTTTTTATCAAGTGGTTGGCAGAGATAAGTTGTATAAGGCCGGAAGTAAAAGGGGAGGATCTTATAGGTCTCGCAGAGTTGAAGAAATTTAACTGTTTTATAAGCTGTATAGCTGTTAAAAATAAGTACGCGTTTTTTTCCTTTTTTTGTACGATCTTTGGTCTCCTCGTGAAATTTTTAAAGCTATTTAAGTGTGATTTTATCGTTTATATAGCCTTTATCAGTGACTGTAGTATAGTAATTGGGAATTGCTTTATTATACCAGGCCTCCATAAATTTCTTTCCTTTAAAGATAAAAAGCGGAGTTATAATCCAGCCATCTGCAGCAATACACTTAAGCGCAGTAATATTCTCTGCATGCTCGGCTTTAGGAAGATTAGAAACTCTCCCCTTTATACCGAGCACTTTTTAAGGCTTTCCACTGCCTGGTTGAAAGCCGCATTTATTAAAATTATACACGAGGCGAGCGGGGACATCTTTAAGCAAGTTGGCAAGCTAATTATACCAGAACTAAAGCTGTCCGACATCCTCTGCATCCAAGCGCTTCTTCTCCTTCGTCCTTTGAATCACAGGACCCAATTTAAGGTTAGGAGGAAGCCTTTTAGCGAAGTGATACGCCCACGATCGGCTAACACTCTGCGTAGGATCAACGCGCTGTATAGTAAGGTTCGCCCATTTTAAAAGCAATGAGATAGTTACGGGGAGGTGGATATCACGCATTTTAGCAATCCACTGCCTTAAAGCAGCCTCTTAATACTGATTCAGCGCTTTATTTGGTGCATTTCGAGCCGTACGAGGCTTTCTTCGATCATGGATGCGGCCATGGAGTGTGCGATAAGGAACCCCGAATTCTCGCGCGATCTTTGCAATATTAGGTTTTTTTTTGAGATGGACAGCTTTAACGGCTTTATTTACGCGTATATCTAAAATTTCGGACGATTTAGGCATCTTTTTTGGTCTGTATAGCTTCAAAAATGTAGGAAATTGATTATCTTCCTTTACGGTGAAAATTCCTTTACGCTGCCGACCACCCACCGGCGGAAGGCGGTGGGTGGTCGGAACCGCCACTGATAGCCGTCACTTTTAAGTTTGTTCTAGACTGCCCACGTAAACCTAGAACATCTCAAGGGCTGTTAGCGAACTATAGACGTGAACCAGGTGACGCTTAAAATTTAAATTTTTCGGAAATTTTGGCATACTGCTTAAACAAGTTTATTTTTTTATTTTTTTTTACCTATCTGGGGATGTCGCAAGTCATACAACATGCCCCCAGCTCGGCGGCGCGTCACGTGGTCAGACCACGTCCCCACAGATGTTGATCCACGGCTCCGCCTGTGGATCCAATTTCCATGCTTCGCATTCTAGTCAATGGTAACACCATTGTTGGATGAGCGGCCCAACACGTTAGAAGGGATGCTTGCGCACGATGTACGAAGTTTGACATCAAACAGTATGACTAGACCACTCGAAACTTAGCCAAGAAGGCTTTTAGTGTTGCATCAAGTGTCCACGTTAGGAAGTACATGGTCTTTGTTCCGCACTTCATAGAACTCGGATCTGCACGAGTGGTTCTTGGCGGTCGCCGAACCTCGCCCATACCTCGAACGTTTGACCTAGTCAACCTTCAATCTTCAACTTCATACTGATCAATGGAATACCGTACGTTCTTCTTCTAAGTTAACTGCTTTTACAGTCTTGAAACTCTTGCCAAAAAGTACATCGAGAAATTCGACAAATAGGTACTACCCACTTTCCACATATCGCTGGCAAAACAAAGAAGTATTATCGAACCTTTCTGGTGAAGGACTCTGGAGTGACCGCGACTCTCTATAGAAAAAGACAGGACAAAAACAATGTGGTGATTCCATGGAGCATTGAATTGACAGTTACCAGAGCTGAGAGAAAAGGCAGGTTGGAAAAAAAAATTCTACAATAATATCAAGATGTCCCCTTGGTGAGAATATATCGGAGCAGTCATAGAAGGAACCTCCACACCAACAAATGTTGGTAGCTTGAGAAGTACGATGACACCGGGTGCACATCCAAGGCCCAAGAGTTGCAGCCAGCGTAGATTTGATAAAGTACGTATTGCAGTGTGAGGAATGCCCTGCACAAGCCGGCCAACCGATGCCCCATCATAATAAAGTTCCCCGAAACAATGATGATTACAAACCTCTGATTTACGATGCTCGACCATCCTAGTTAAGACGAAGTATATCGAAGACTCCACTACGGTCAAAGGCCACGTAATGGTCTTGAAGCTGCCTTTCTTTCCTTTCTTCTTTCGACGATTCCTTTTGTATCTACCCTAGATATTAGGGTTACAGAGATTCAGAACTTGACACCATAAAAATAAGTTTAGATAACCAACATCAGAAACACAAACTGGAGATTGTTGATAAATACCATGGATATCAAGTTATCCATTATTGTTATCACTAAAATTTGACTCTAAGCATTAAATACAGTATCAGTTCATATTCTGACTTACACAGGGAAAAAAAGAGATAAGAAGGATATAGTATATTCAATGTATTAAATTGCTGTGAAGTGAGAATTGCATTTAGTATACAAAACCTAAGCAGATATTGTCTTCCCGTATCCTAGAAGAAAATTGGAGTGCAGAGTATTTGGTAAGTTATTTAAGGCACAACATAGCAAGCTTCGTGACCTTATTCCCGGCACTTTAATAAAGATTTTTCACTCAATAAACTAGCAACTGACCCCATATTTTAGAGAGAGAGGGACGTGTCGTAGTGTTCCACCTTAGGCCTGCAAGTGGGGCGGAGTGAATCCACATGCGATTCGGACATAGTAAATCCATAGGTGATGTGAATTTCCGAGGTATCTTAAGGCAGATTATTTTGTAGGACAGGTGGGCAATCCGTGCTGCTGCCTCTTAGGTTGCGAAAGCTGGTTTTATCTCGTTGCAAATGCATCCGAATCGACTGCTTGCAAATTTGATCCAAACTCTGCTTGAAGTCATCGAGGATCACAGTGTCGCATAGACATTTAAAAATAAAAGAAAGCTAGCTCAGCAATCACTATTAGCAACATTTCCGGTAGATCGGGCTCTTCCCTATTGCAAAGTCTTACCTTCCAAAACGGTTCGATGCCAACCAGGAGTGTCGTATGAAATGCGCCTGCATTGGCACAAGTGTCTATAATAACAAAGACTAAGGAAAGGCACATAGAGAGCAGCATGATGCCAAACCGTGGACTGATTCGTATAAGATCTAGTAGACTTAGTGCGTAGTGCTGTTTGATTGTATAGCATAGCATACAAGTGGTAAAAAGCCACCATGGATCCCTTGGTGAACAGTCAGCCTAGTCTTATAAAATAATACCAGACATGCTAGCTAAAGGATATTTACCGAAAAAGCGGTTCTAAAGGCCGTGTTTTTAGAAATAAGAGATCATGCTTGTTAAAGAAAACAAAATTTGCGTAGATTTCCAGCACCCAGTAAGGTTGTGCCAGCAGTAATGTTACAAGGTAGACCCAAATGCCCCACCTTGGCAAGAAGGGCTTAATCTTGAACCAAGCAATTACATTATGTAAAGTGTATGACAAGTTCAACCCGATAGCGGTGACGGACAGGTACCAGCCGTATAATGGCCCATGGAGAAAGATAAATGTTCCGTGGCAAATAGCCAGGACTAGCTGCAGCCATTGTGAGAAGCTAAATATCCAACAGGGATAAAGGTAATGGAACGGTACTCACTTCGACAATAACTAATTTATGAAGGATCTTTCCTTTAGCCATGTTTGCTGCAGTAACAGATAGCATTACAACCAATGAGCCCATCATTAAACCCTGCCCCCATGCTTCTAGAACAAGTCCGCCTGGGTCTTTAGGCCTCCCAGGGGACATCGTGGATGATACTGATCTGGTTGCCTGGAAGAAGGGCGACATAAGTGTGTCTAGTTGAAGCAGCGAGGATTACAGTTCAAAGGATAAAATTTTTCAGGACAAGAGATGGCTGTATGTTTACCAAGCAAAGGACTTTAGATTTAAAGCATTCCTGATACTTATTCATCCGGCCTTCTTCCGAGCTGCTCCAGATGCTATGGAACGTAACGGATCCAACTGATCCACAGCAGGGCGGTCCTTGATCTTGTATATTCTATTTATTTAGGCCGACCATTGGGAGGGATTCGGGATCCCGGATATGTTCAGGTCCGGCCCCACAATCCCCACGGGAATTACATTTAGATTCCCACCCCGTGCCAAGATTTTCGGGAAGGGATAATCCCATTCCCTCTAACCTAAAAAATCACGCCTTGTTTCCAGTCCCATTCCCCATAACCGTGCCTTCGCACCCCACACCGTCCTTCAGGGTTGTTGGTGTGCTGCAGCCAGGTGCCGATTTGCAGCCAGATTTTAATCATTTTTTCTCCTATAATACTTGCCCACCATGGATCATTCATATACTGCTATCGAGAAGCGTGTCTCAGAGGCTGTTAAAAGCGTACAGGGTGAAAAGAAACCCAAAATAGCTGAGTTGGCGCGTGTTTTTAATGTACCATACGATGGGCTTCGGCGTAGCTTTCAGGGTGGACCATCACGGTCGGATCTCGGCGTGATTGTTCAGTGGTACAATGTTCTTGAACTCTATATTCAAGATATTAGCCGAGAAATATCTACAACTTTGACGAAATCGGCTTTCAAATTGGACAAGGAAAAGCTCAAAAAATTGTCTCTTCCCGTGGCCAAAAAGCCTCAAGATTTAAATCTCAAGAGACTCGAGAATCACTCACCGCTATCGAGTGTATCGCTGCCGATGGCTGGTCAGTACTGCCGTTCTTCGTCGTTAAAGGACAGTGCCATCTCGAGCGGTGATTTCAACCCACACTTTCAGACGGGACTGTGATTGCAACATCCGAAAACGGCTGGACAACTGACGAAGTAATGCTTGAATAGCTTCAACACTTCCACCGGCACACTCGAGATCGCTGATCAATCGCCCACTCAATTGGCTGAGGACTTTCAGGTCAGCCGGCAGACAATTTACCGAACGCGCGACCGCTTCCTAAAGCTCAATACCACTGATTCGCGCCCTCGAAGTGGAAGACCTCAAAAGCTTAGTTCTCTACTAAGTGCTATATCTATCAGATGGTCCATCGGAGGCCTTCTATTAGCTGGAAGTCCCTTATTGCAAGCACCCCTGGTGGTGTCTCTAAGTCGACTATGCAACATGTATAAAGAAATATAATCTCCGGAAGTGGAAAAGCAGAAAAAGTATTCCTATTACAAGTGAAATTGCATAAATCGGTGTAAATTTACTTGTATGTTGCTTCATTTTACTGGTTGGAATAAAATCCTCTATTCTGACGAAGGTTCGGTCCAACGAAAGCCTAATAATTCAACCCAATTTGTTTTTCGATTCTCAAATGAAGCATACAGGAGTGATCTTGTGGATTTAGTTAACTGTGGAAAAGATATTTTCACAAATGATATGGAGTGCTATCTGGGTTGGTGGGCGATCAAAAATGGCTATTATGGAAGACAATAAATCAGCATCTCGAGGCGGATACTCTACTAATTCTTATAGACAATGTCTTCTTGGAGGTATTCTACCAAACTATGAACCCGGTCAGATATTTCAACAAGATAGTGCAAAAATCCATACATCTTTGCGAACACGGGTTTCGAAACCCATGGCATATGGGTTATGGAATGACCATCACTCTCCCTGATTTAAGCCCTATTGAGCACCTTTGGAACCTTCTAAACAAAAGTTCTAGAACTTATCCATTCCTCTTTCTATCCGAAAGATCTAAGATAGATTGGACCCGTTTTAAAGAAGCAATTCGAGCTGCTTGGGATGCTATACCGCTGGAGGACATAGACCGGTTGATCTACTCTATGCCTCGTAGAATTATAGTTGTGCATTCTGTGCGTGGTTTGCATACAAACTATTGATAATAGGAAGCCATATTTTGCATTAGAACCCTAGGAGCGTTGTGGTTGTTGAGATATTTGAATTTTAAATGTCTTCGTTTTATCGAAATTTTGATGTGTCACCAGACTTGTGACATAGTATGTAGTTTGGTGTCGATTCGGCAGAGGTGATCACGTTTCTTGGATTTGTTCCATTCACATTTCCGTTCTTCAAGGGTCTGCTTCCGGATCGACACGATTTTCCCGAGAGATAAGGCAGCAGAAGAGTTGTTGTCTTTGTTAGGACCGGTCAGCTGTTTGGCTATGTGATCTGCAGTGTCGTTCCCGACCTCGTCACAATGCACCGTATCCATTCGAGACGGAGGCTAACTCCTTGGGCTCTGGCTTCCGATGTTGTACTGCCACAGTTGTTTCCACGACAGAGTGGGCATGATATCTTCATGCCACCCATTCATGGATTTGGCCAATTGGAGCGCTTGGTAGGCCTCCTGGCTCGATCTGGTAGAAGAGTTCCATAATGAATTCTAGAACCTGATTGGTTGGAAATAATCTGGTCACTCTGCATATAAGCTATCGACTTTTCAGATGAGACTAGAATAATTCAATCCCCCCCGGAATTAAATAATTCCAACCAGGCAGCAGGCAGCAGACAGCAGACAGACTCACCAATCCTTTGTGACCGGCGGGATATTCAAGCTTCTGTTGATTAGTTAGCCTGAACGGGAGCTGAAGCAAAGCTTTCACAGGTTATGATCGTCCAGGTGCGCTCTTTCCACGTTTTCTCTCAACAGGAGCTTTAGTGGATATACTGAGGCCTAGTCGGTCCTTGCAAGGACCGTATCACCGGGCGAATATTGTGCAACGACCCTCAGGGGGAATGTTGTGAATCAGGGCTCAACCTCTTACAAGAGCTTAATACACGAAATAAATTCTAGATCTGGTTGATTGGAAAACAATAAATTTGGTGTCTAACCTGTATATAAATCCTCAATTTTCAGATGAGAATACAACAATTCGATTTTTCCCTGAGTAACAACAGCCAGTAGCATGCACAGTATAAGAAGTTAGTGCGTGTCATGATTAGCAAATTATATAATACCCTTGCATGCATTTTTAATTGCAGATTCGTATACAAGAGCTGAGAAAACACCAGTAAAATCAGACTCTAAGTATATGAGACAATGGCATGCAGATACAGAAACAACATCTACAAACTTCTAGTGGATATCAGTGCGACCATGTATATATAACTCCAACCAATGGCTCAAATGTAAAGAGAAGGGAGAGGCGCATGAATGCTGAAAAAAGGTATTTTAAATCTTCATTCCAATCCAATCAATCAATCCACCACTTTTTTTTTTTACCCCCTCTCACACGTATAAGTTCCCATGACGCGGGTCGGGTCAACAGCCTGTTCAATAAGCTCTTGGCCCGTCTCCATCCATTTTTGGAATCCTTCGTCACTGGGATCCACAGGAAAGTCGTCCCAGATGGCAGTTTTGGAGTCAGGGTAAGTGGACACACACCCTTAGGAGCTTCTGAGGTGGACCAAGAAGGAAGTTTCGCAAGCACGCAGGTGTAGTAAACGTAAAGAATCCTGCACAGCAGGTCAACGCGATCTACATAATGTTGCTTGCCCGGATCTGGCTCGCGGCCACCATCGCCGAGGCGTTTCCACCAGGAAACTCGCCAGCGAAGAGACAGAACGATATGGCCAAGCTCGCTCAAGAAGCGAAGGTGCATTTCTTGAGATATCTGCTTCCATTTGATGCTGTAAAGGTCTTGCTCCAGCTTGCGGAACCCTTCTACTTCCAGCATCCGGCAAACAATTCGAGAAAGCTGTGCAGCAAGAAGAATCTCACGCTGATCACCCAGATTACAGATATCCATGGGTCTTCCTTCAACCCCTTCTTTAATAGAAACAAAACTGTAGCTCGCACGGCTGGGCATGTTATTCCATTGTGAGAGGAGAGACTGCGGACCAAAGTATTAGCACTTCCGTACTTCTGGGACAAACTGTATCTTGGACTAACATAGATATTGCTCATCGGATCACAGTCCTTCACACACGTCGGCCAGTTCTTAGACTTATCCTTCGACTCCACAATCCGTCGATCAACGAATTCCAGGAAGTTCGACCTAGAGTTGCCGTTGTAGTCACTCAAACTTCGGAGGAATTTATAAGTCTCACCCAAGTCCAGAATGTACAGCGATCCCCACGCTTGGCTGGCACGAATGTTGAATCGTCCTCGTCGCTCGCGGAGGAATGAAAGAAGGTCATCCAGGTCAAATTCAAATGGAATTTCCATCCGCACATGGCCAGATCTGTCCAAAGTGGGGTGATTGATAGCTCGTTGAGCTGGGCCGAGTCAGTAATACGACGAAGGGAAAAGGGGACAGTCGTTCATACATATATAATTACATGTTCCATATTCAACAATGTTGGCAAAGCAAGCTCGGACACACGGTTGTTCGTGGATCGTCGGACGACAAGCGTCACATGGAGAGTTACCATCACACTGGTTTACCACATGATCAGTATCTATCTGAATCAAAGCTTGTCGACAGTGGGGTACACAAACCTTTCGCTTTCTTAGTCGGCATTGGACACAGGTGTCTTTTTTCCTTCTCCGCAAACCTGCATTCGTCCGGCCCACCATAGTCAAAGGTCCCGTACGGCGCGCGCGGCGTAGTGGGGAGTCAAAATCAGCCGAGGCGATCGATCCATTCTGGCCATTTTCCTGTACAATCTGAAGCAGATTTGGCTGACTGTCTAACGACAGACTCGGGCCACATTGCTTACGCTTCCTGACCGTCGCTACAGACTGGAGCCCAAGAGACTGTGGCCGAGGAGTTAAACGCTGTGCCACATTTGATGGAGCCCTAGACATTGAGGGAGCCGGAGTAAGTAGGTTCTCCGGTGCAGTCTCGCCGACCACAAGCGCCCTTGCACCCCGTAGTCGCGGGATAATTTCCGATGGAGCCGCATCACCATTCTGCGAGACATTCCACGTGCTGTCTTCATCCAATTTTCGCTCAGGGAACGCTGGGATCTCATCGCTGGCGGCAGAGTAAGAGCATTCGTAAATAGCGGAGAAATCGCCAGACCCAAACAAGCTTTCTAAATTGTACTGAGAACCGTCCTCCTCCCCATTATTTTCTCCACAAAAGCTCGGATCGAGCTCGGCCAGCGGCAGTGGTGCAGCAGGCATATTTATAGGCAGTTGGGACTCGAGGCTCTGCAACGAACACGATTCAAGTGAGAGCGTCGGCTCATGAATACTACACAAAGCGTTTAGTCCCTTATTTAGCTGTCGAGACCCCGTCGACACTGCAATTGGTATCTCGTTAGGCACCTGGTTAGGCTTCTGGTCGGCCGATAGGCTCGTAGAGGGCTCGTCCCATGTTTCTGTCGATGGGAATTGGAACGCTTGGCTTGAATTCTGGAACGACAAAAACTGGCCAGGCGGACTATATGAGAGTCCCGTATCCTGTGGTAAATTCCCGACATCTTTAACGATTACCGTATTCCCCGCAGTGGTGAAGCCTTTTGTGTAACGGTAGAGGAGAGGAGCTTCCAGGGAAACTCCAGCAGCCATATTATTGAACAGTTGGTAGTGGGGACATGATTTATCTAGGTGGAAGCTGTCGTCGGCAGAAAGCAAACTTCTCGAGTTGACTGTAGCACCAATAGTGCCTTTAATTGTAGCATCTACCTTGAACTTCTTGGAGGGCGTAGTCGAATGTGTTCTTCTGGAAGAAACTTCAGTTCACCTCCTGCCACGTGCTTTATTATCACGGAGGGTTAGGGGGGGAAATTCAAAGGGTGTGCACCTGCTGTCGCCTCTCTGATAGCTGCATGACGGGCCTATGAATAAGGCATCAGGCTGCCCGTTTAGCAAGGGCCCGTTAAGAGCGTTTAAATCCACCGTCTCCTCATAGTTCTGACTTGAATCCGGGCTGGAGCTCCAATCAAGCGGACGCTCACAACCCGCGTGTTTCCAGTAAGAAATAGAGGTAGATTCCGTTTGCCAATTGTCGAGGGTTTGGGGTTCTATGCCCGCAACCCTGCCAGCACTCCCACAGTCCATCCTGGGGATCGAGGGAAGGGGTGTAAACGTCCTCGAGGAGCGAACCCTGTCTTAACCACGACACCGGGCCAAGCGATCTTAAAGATACTCAACGTGTTCTGCCTCGGCGGAGTGAAGATCAGGACGAGACTAGGGGGAGAGGGAGACGTGTTTCCCGAGATTCGTAATCAATATCAAAACTCTCCTTGCTATAACTGAGGCTCCACTGGTACATCAAGGGTATTACAAACATAGTTCGCATAAATCATGTAGTCACATGGGTCTGACAATATTTGCTTGTCTATCCGCAATACATCCAAATCCGCACCATTCATACAACTCACTATCTATGGTATTGTTGCGGACATACGGATCTGGATATGTCGCAGATGTTCCCCCAGGTTATATATTTGTGTGTACAGATATACATCTGGTTTTGGTTTCACCCTCTCCCATGCTGAAACAATACAAACTCGTTCTAATTGAATGTTAATTATGTCAATGTTCATAGTATGATGGGGGAAAATAAAAATAAAATCATTAATCGTGTGCTGTTCAAATTGCAAAGGCTTAGCTAACCGGTAAGCGGGCGAGCCACTGTATTGCAGAAAATCTCTATTACAACTGTATCTAATCCCCTTTATGTAATATAAAGAATATTATAAGATTATAGTCTCAATGCCTGCTTGTGCACTTTTATATCAGTCTGCATTCCAGAGTCTAGGCTGTATTGATAGGTTGTTGTTGAGAGACTAGCACAAGAAGTTCCATTTTGTATGCAATACGGAGGTGGCTCGTTCGCTTTCATGGCTCGCTCGCTTACCAGTAACTGGTTACGTTAGTTTCAAAAAGGATAACTTATAAGGGATTCTGTTATCATTGCCATTGCAGGAAGGTCTTGAGAGATAACTGAGATGGACGGGACCAGCTGGGCTGGTAAGACATGGACATCGCATATTCCCCAGCCAGAAGAAATTTCCCTAACTAAGCATTTCGTTGATTATTTTCAATAAAATATGGGGCGGACTGATCGCCTGGTTGTGGAGCTCCTATTTTGGAGCGTTATATTGCTGTCATGTAATCGTATAGTCGGCCCTTCGCCCCATCGCCCCACACCGCCTCCTGGTATCATGTGATCCACCCCGGCTTGGCGGTGGATTGTGTCAGAACAAAGCTAGTCCATATTGGGACATCATGTGAATATATGTACCCAATTGTTCGATACTCGGCTAGTACTGAATAGGAAAGTAGATACTATTCTTGAAAGGGTGCTTAAATGATGATTTTGATGATTTCTTGATTATACTGAACAATATAAGATCATTCTTGTGATTCCTATGGATCCTTAGGTTGCTTCCTTCGTTCGGTATAGAGGAGCTCGTTTGACCCCTCTTTTATGACATGATTTACGTCACCGTTACCACCATCTTATTTGACACCAATACTCCTCATAGAGGGGTTGTGCAGAACATCTTTCTGAATACAGTCTATTCAGACCTCCTAACCAGTATCCCATATAATCGAACAAGATGTTATAGGGTCTCACCTTACCCCTGAGTCACTTAGTTGAGCACCGCGGGACCGTTGGCACAGCACCCCAAGGTCGAAGATAGGAATGCAAGAGACTCGGTTGAGATACTGTGGTTCCTGGTGTCTCCGCATATGACATCTTATATTCTATAAGCCCTGCAGCTGGCGTGTAGCTGATCTATAACTACCTGCGCTATTCTTCCCCTGAATCTCACAACGTTCACAACAAAAATAACCCTTGGATCTCTCATCTATCTCTCCATTGGACCGCTCTATAACGTCGTCGGCTTTCCCTTCCACAACAGCCATCCCAGTCCAGTCACAAACTTGAATCCTGCCGCTATCCACAGCGCCGACTGCATCTCTCCACGGCTGCGACTCAGCCATCCGCCCATGATCGCACCAACCAGGAGACAAACCACGCCACCGATACGGCGGTTCCGCTTGGGATTCGCCATGGGCGCCTGCGCCAGCTTCGGATCTGACGCCACATCAAAGTACACGCTGGTCAGAACAACGGTTGGAATCTCATTGTATCCCAGCGACCGACTGGAGGTGATGGACCCAGCGGACTGGAACGCCAACAACGCAATGGGAATAAGCTCCAGGAAGAGCCGTCCCCCTGTTAGAGAAATATCCCCCGCCGTGTGCGGGGTCAGATCCGCTTCGATCAACGCCACCGCTGTAATGATCAGAACCGCTTGTACCATAAACGACACGAACAGCGTACCCCGGCGCGTAGCCCCTACGCGCCGCGTGATGTTTGAGAACAAAAATGACCCGACGAAGAAGGCCGCTATCGACATGAGTGACTTTAACCAGCCCCAGGGCTTGTTGCTAGGTTGGTTGGAGGCGCCGAGACCGAGGAAGATCGTGTTTCCTACACAGGGCAGATAGCATCAATATTTGTAAACCAGATAAAGTTTCGAATGGACACAATCATACGGGAGAGGAGAGGACTAACCGGTCTGCATCGCTAGGAAACATGACCAGACATTGTAGGCACTGCTGTCACAGAGACCAGTGACGAGACACAGCAGTAGACAGACCAGGTCGGTATGCTTGGGGTCCACTGATTCCTTCCATAGCTGGGAGAACGAGGATGATTGCGCAGGTTGTGCTTCCACGTCGGAAGAATTATTTTGCGGCATGGAGCAAAGCAATTAGGCGGTCGAAATGGGCACAGAAAGAGGGTTTACTATAAGTAGTCGTCCAAAAAAAAGAATTTGCAGTCGGATTGGCGTCTGACCTCCGACAGAGACCGGGAATGTCTTATATGTAATTGTTTCCACGTCCATGAGTATGGGATTGTCGTAGACAGGAGATGATGTTTGAGAAGCTGGGGCTACGGGCTTCTGTCGGTTTCGCAGGGCAACATACTACATTTCTCGCAGGGAGTGGAGAAGGGGTTTGATCTCATAGTGGGGTGCGGATGGTGCCTGGAGCCACCACGTCCGCCGCTCTTCAACATCGGAGCAGCTTGTCTCCTGCGGTATTACAGTAAAACACGGATATAAGCAACGAAAGCAGTTCAGCCCTAAATTTGCTTAACTAGTAATTTCTTAAAAGTTATTACGTGAGAATGCATCTGCTAATATGTTTCCGCCGGAGGGGAGCCAACGTGGCACAATTTGGATGTCTCTCGCCGCCGCTAGGATAAGCAGCCTCTTTAAAGTTGTATTAGGTGGACTTACTTACTCCCGTGTGCGCTGCGGAGCCATCCGTGTGGATAAAAATGGTATGATGAAGCCAGTGGCGGCTGAAGAGTAGGAAGCCTTATAGAATAGCATCTACTACGTTGGTATTAATATGCGCATGTGCGTCTTCAGCAAGGGCCAGTAAGCCAGCATTGTATATATGAAGTTGGTGACAATGAGCTAGCCAGGAGTCTGATATAGACTTGGAAGAGAAAATAAAAAGGCCCCTGGCCTATAGTGGAGGCGTCTACATATAGATGTGTAATGTTGCAGCGGCAGAGGTCAACGAGGAGTGCACTGTTAAAAAAATACAAGGAGTCCCTCTACCATTTTAAATCATCACATACCTCGTAAGGGATACAGCGGCGCGCGCTCCTTTCATATAGGAAGGTGGCTTGGAAGGTGTAAAGAGACTGTAGCCTTGTTTCACCAAGTCGGACAACTCTTGAGCAGAAGGCTAGTAAGCCTGTAAGTCTCTCTATTTACTTAAGGGTAAGACTCGCTACGTTAAGGGCAGTTGCGGCGTCCAATGTGGCGCGGCATAACTTCTCTGGAGGTAGGCGAGCTTCCATTACAATAGTGTTAATTTAAATGCCTAGGACTGTAACGCATGTCCCTTGCTTGTTCTTTTTTGTATTGCGAGGAATGCTTAGGTAGTCAGCTACTATATTATAAACTTCATTAAATACACCGACGGGGTTGGACATTGAGGGAGAGTGTGTAATGGCGATAAAGTCGTCTAGATAATGGTTTATGTAGAATGATGGAAGGAGGCAAGAGAGTATGCAATGGAGCGAGAGGTTGAAGAGAAACGGGGAGTTATAAGGCCAAAGGCGGGCAACATTCAACGTAGGGGAATTATTTTATTAAAAGGCTAGGAGATGCTGGTTATTCTCTACAACAGGGACTAATCGGAAGGCGTCCTTAATATCCTGTTTAATAATCGTGCAACCTGGGCCCGCTTGTATCATCTGGTCGTATATATTATTAATTTTCATGTAGTTAATAGCCGACCAATTGTCTGGTATACCCTGGTTAACGCCTCCCCCAAGGGGCCAAGGGACTAACCCAAGCGGTGAAATAAAGATATAGAGGCCGGTCTAATCCGATGGAGGCTAAGTTCCTCTGCTAGTTTGCTCGTGATAATGCTGGGTTCGTGTATGTAGTAGTTGGTAGAGTAACAAGAGTGTTTCTTGCCTCCATAGCCTATCTGGGCGCCGTAGGTTAGGACGCCAGCGAGAGTAGGTCCCAGATTACCGGGATAGTAGCGAAGGAGGTTGCGCTATTATTATATATGTAGTGGAGAAGGACAAGACTGTAGTTCAGGGAGTTCTGGGCTAAAAACAGGGTACTGGACAGCCGTTAGGCCTCGCTGGTTGGCCACAAGGTATTTTACTTGGTGGTAAAAAATAGGAGGCTATCCAGTTGTTGTCTCTTCTCAGCACTTTTTTTGCTTGCACTTTTTTTCTTGCGGCAACGAGGCACCGTGCTCGCGTAAATCATATTTTATGTATTCTTGACGTCTCGTACAGCCTTCCCAGAGGCACCCTGTTGAATGAAACCTATCGCAAACCTTAGTCTTATTATTGGAAGACTTGGCAAATCTTGGTTGGCGAGGTCGGGTTGGTGAAGGGTGCAGAGGTGTCTTAGCTGGTAAAGTAAGGTTGTGGAGGAGATATTTCTTGCGAAACTGGGCTGTGACTAGGTAGCTATCTGTCGATAGCTCTCCTTTATCCAGTATATATTGGTGAAAGTTAAGAGCAAGTGGGAGTACTGCTTCGGACCAATAATAGGTCTAAGTAAAATCCAGGATCTGCCTTATAAACATAAGCATGTTAAAGACTGCCTTAGTGTACTTATTACTGAAGAGGTATCCTATAACTGCCAGGTAGGTAAGGAGGCAGCCGGTCCATATTTATGGGTTAGGACCCAAGCCCTTAAGTAATAACACTGCCTTCTGGAAGTCCACTGCGCCTCTTAGCTCGGTTATCTTAAAGACGCTGTCCTCCTGGTCTGCATCGGTGACTAACTTCTTTTTAAAGCGTATAAGTTCAGTCGCCTTTAACTTCCGCTCGAAGTCTCGGGTAAGAAGAGCGACAGAGACACCAGGGAAAATGTCGATAAGTGGTTTAACCTCGGGGGGTGGCTCACGGTTTTCCACTTAATTATTCTCGTCATCTTGCAGGTCCATGCGAGGCCTCCTCCGGCGGAGGTCAGTCTCAACTACATCCATCTCAAGGCGCCTGGCCCAGTCTCTTTGTATCTGTCCTAGCCAGCTGGCGCGATCTGTCGCGCTCATGGTTTCCCAGATGTGGGCTGGAGGCCATGCGGAGTCCTGCAGCGTAGGCGTGATAGTACTGGATTAGCTGGAGGACGTCATCGTGAAGGCGGAGAGTAATAAAATCTAGTATTAATAGCGTGAAAGAACCGAGTCTGACAGCGGGAGAGACGAAAACCCGAAACTTGACAGCGTGAGAGATGACGAGCTACTTCAGAGGCGAGCAATTGACTCCCGTGAGGCAGTTGCAGGAGGGAAGAACTCGGTAACCCCTCAGGGAGCATAGAAGCCTAGTCCGTGTGGTCATCATGTGACTCGATGGAGCGTGAGGATGGTGTGGTGGTGATGGCATTTTAATACCTTTACCGTCGCCATCAGGGTCAAAGCCGGTAAGGTCAGGAATGGGAATCTCAGGTTCTTCGAGTGGCTGTGTGGTTTCCTCTGCATTAAATAGGAAGATCCCTCGTTCTTTGAAGCTATTCTGGATCGTACGTGGCTTAAAAGCTGTTGTCGAACCGAGGTAACGCTCAAAGATAAAGCTCTTATCATCGACCTCACCACCCCACTGACTTACAAAGCCATCGTTTTTTCGATAATATTGCCTATACGCGAGAAATGGCTTGCCATCAAGTGGTTGAGCAAAATGTGTTGTGTGTGGGATAAAGCAGAATAGTAAAGTATTGTGTTCTTCGACGAATCGAAGAAACTCGAAGGTCATATGCGAACCGTGACCATCAAAGATTAGGAATCGAGTTTCCCCTTGTCGTACAAGCTGCGGTCCATATAGTCTCGTATCTTCCTCTTCACCGCAGCTTGCGTGTGTCGGACTTACATGGGCAGCTCATTCTGTCGATCGACATGGCCAGCCCGCCTCTGTGTGCTTCTCCGCCCAATCGCTTCTTTCGCGGCCTGGTCTGCTCGCTCGTTCCCTTCAATGCCTTGATGCGCAGTGATCCAGTGCATTTCAGCCTGCACTTGGAGGCGCTGGAGATACTCGAGCAATCCCATGATCTGTACCAGGATGTATTGACCGGAAGAGCTCGGATTCCGAATTGCTTGTAGAGCTGCCTGACTGTCTGAGAAGATTATAGCCCTCTCCTTGGTGGCATATGCTGTTGTTAGTTGGATCGGTAACTCCAGCGCCATCTGGATGCCTTTCAGCTCCGTGGTGTAGACTGTAGAGACGGCTTCCGTTCCAATGTATGCCTGTTTGACGAGGCCGCAGCCGCGTATGACGGCCGGTGACCTATCTTTCCGTTGGTGCGGCTTCCATCAGTGAGAAGATCAGTTTTGGACCCGATGGCTCTGATATCTTGTCGTAAATCGCTGTAGCTTCTTCTGCATTGTCCTGGAGGGTAATCTGCGGTGGGGTCCATCACGGAGTGACCCACGGGATCTTTTGCTCCATGTTCTCGAGGCTTTCTCTCCCTAACTCGTTTTTGCAGCGCCACTCATGCCGTTGAAGTGGGTTCCATCGTTTAGGAACGCGGTCCCAATCCTTGGCTGCTCTTCCGATGCGTGCCAATGATCGGGTCTTTTCTAGACTTGGAAGAGAGGACTTGTTATCAGTCACGTGTACGACTCAGTAGTGATCCTTTCTAGCTGGATCTTCACTGGCGGCAGATATGCCTCGACATCCAGAGTCGGGATCGATGTGGCGCGGAACGCACCCGGATGATTCGCTCTGCACGGAGTTGGATGCCCTCTAGAACCTCGATGACATGTTTGCGGTATACCGTTGTTCCGCTCTCTGTCGGAAGAGTACTACGCTGAGCATCCGTATACAATCTGGGGCAGGCCTACTGTCTTGTATACCCGTCGCACCACCTCCCCTCTACTTTTTGCAGTAGGGGGTCGGCTGCAGCTCAACGCAAGACACAGTTCAATGCAAAATATTCAATTTTCATACTTTTGAAGCTATTCCCCCCCCACCACAATCATGCAATCGGTATATAAAGCAGAGGAGAAGGTTGCTCAGGTAGCCGTTCGCGAATATAATAAAAAACAAACACGAAAAATCGCGTGTTTCTGTGGCTAAAATTGCGAAATATTATGGTATACCCTATTATCGTCTGTACTGACTAATTAATGGCAACGCAAGCAGATTAATGCAAAAACCTCCAAATGACCGTCTTGACTCTGCTCAGTATGATTCTTTATAGAGCCATATTGATCG